ACGGAGTCTGATTCTGAGCTCAGAAGGTCTGTATTTAAATAAAGATTGATAAGTTTATGCAGTGTTGACACTGGCATCAAAAAATAGAAGACAGCTTTTAATTACCTGTAGATCAGTTTGTTTTGGCGGCTTGTAAGAAAAAAAAAAGATTAATGAAAGTAAGTAAATTGTCGCCCTCTGCTGTCACTAATGCAGACAAGGCCTTGATTTGTACTCCAAAATTGTGGTAATTTATGAGCAAATAGCCTCAAGTTCGATAAATGATGCTTTTTGGCTGCACAGTTCCAGCGTTACTGTGTAATGATTGCTAATTGTCTCAGTCTTGCCAGTGTAAGTACATAAATTCAGAGCATAGTCATTAAATTGCTATGGACAAAGATTAAGACTTCTAAATAGGTTGTAAGGACCTTAAACGACAGTTATATTTGCCACTTTTGCTGCATGATAGTTTGTAGAATTTGGGCTCGGTTAGATCAGCTCTAGTTAATGTTGCTGTGTGATTACGGTGACAGAGAAAAAACCCCAGAGCACACAGCCCATCCAGCCTGATGGAAGACCAAGCTGACTCAGAGTCAAGCCTGAGAGCACCAGAGCACATATCAATCATATCAACCACGTGTTGCATCAATCACTACAAAGTTCAAAGAAGAAGCATCTGTACACAATATGTGCATCAGGAATTTCACAAAATTAGCTGTCATTGCTAAGCAGCTGCATGTGTGTGCTGCATCACAATGAGAATTAAGATAAGCTGAGAGCTGGACTGGTGGAAAGCATGTAGCTTCATCGTTCAGCAGCAGAGATAAACTATAATGAACTATGTTTCAGACTAATAGACTAATAGATAGTGCATAATTGTTAGAAGCAATTTTTAAGGCAATACTGTAAGCCCCTTTATTCAATTGAAGGTTCTCAATGGAGTCTGTGCTGTGAGTCATTATTTTAACAGCTATTATCTAAAAAGAGAAGTTTAAAAGTTTATCCTTCACTTTTAATACACAAACATGCTCAGTCTTGCTTACGGTACAGGCTGCATCAGAAAGAAAACTAGCGAGAAGTGTGCAGCTCATGACTGAAATCATTGACTGTATTACTGTAAAGTGCATTCCTTTATCATCACAGACTTCATCTGCATAACAAGTGTGTGTGCGTTGTCCAAACAGGTAGGCAGGCCGTTTGCTTTCTCAGCAGGACTCTGCCTCTCTGCACAAATCTAGATCCATCAGGACATGGTTGGATGAGTTTGCTGTGGAGGAACTGGCATGCAAAGAGCCTGGAGCATAACCCCATTAAACACCTTTTTGGAAGGCCTTCTGACCCACCTCAGTGCTTGACCACACAATTGCCCCTTTCCATTGAATTGCACCGATTGCCATAGACGCTTTCCGGAATTGCAGCTGTTATAGCAGCTAACAGGGTCAATTTCTAATCAAACTGAACAACACAGTGACAATGAGTGCTCGTTAACCACTCTATTCTCACCCAATCCGTGAAACACGGAGAATGTGAATGAGTAAATGAATGTAATTATGTGTGTCTATTTGGTTTGTGGACAAAAGTAGCGGTAAGATCTGATAGCTGTAATGATCACTGCAGACAAAACTCAGACACTAATTAACTAATTGACGTCACTCATCAAGAGAAATGAGTCTTTTTTGTTCTAGTCAGTGCAGAGGTCATTACATGTTAAAGAACCAGCGTACTTATCTAGTGAGATGGTTGAGGAGTCTACAGTTTTCCTTTTTTAATGACAGTTTGAGAGGAAGAAAGTTAATCAAGACCTGTCTGTGCTCCCCATATTTACCTTTAGACATTTGTCTCAACTGGCAACAAGACAATACAAAAGCTTTATTGATTCCCAAAGACTAACAAAACATTAAACATAAACACTCATTCAACAACCAGACCCCCTCTAAACCCCTGAGCAGATTCTGCCTCTGTAGCAGCACTTTTGAGAGGCTGGTGAACTTATTTTGATTTGCTTTGTGGTCAAGCTCATGACTCACAGTAGGTGTACAACTGTAACTTGTTAACAGATGGTTATGCAAATAGGTATCAGGACAGGGTGAGAAAGACCGTAGCAATTCTGATTCACACATTCACCTGTTCACCATCCGTCAACTCACTTATTTTCTGTCCACAAACACAAACAAGTTGTCACAAATATCATTACTAGATTATTTAATTGATTTTAAAGGATTTTTCTGTACAGCTGTCCAAGGCCAGGGGACAGGACAGTGGGCAAAGTGACATGCGGGACAGGAGACACAGACAGGAAGTGAACCTGAGCCAATGTAACCTCCATTTATGGGGCACAGGTGTAGACCACTAGGCCAGCAGGGCCTGAGTTGCAACACATTTTGATCAGCCTCCTTGAGGGGCCAGTCAACATAAAACTCAATATTGCCAATCATGCAGTATCTGAGCTGAAACACAATCCTGCTTATTTGTCATAATTTACATTAAACTGAACAAATGAACAGGACTTCTGCAGGAATGTTTATACTGACATTTTGGTCCTCTTTAAACTCTAATTGTTCTCAGAGCTTTGCAATTGACACCTTTAAACAAGTGAAACAAATGTCACTACTTTTACTATCATGGCTTCTTCTATTATTACGGCTTACATCTGTGCTCAGCAACTGTCATCATTTCCTGACTCTTAAAAGTCGCCAGAGTAGAAACCGACAGTTAGCTATTTAACATTTCTGTGGGCAGAGATTTGACTGGCGTGATCAGGTTATCCTTTTAGTAGAATCACAGTTATGATGCTGTTACTATATCACAGTCAAGTCTTTCAAGCAGCTGGGTAAAATCGATTTGGAAATCATCCAACAAGAGAAAATAAGTTGCAACACATGACTCGTGTCCAAATGATGACAGTCACCCTACTGTTTTCTGTTTGCAGAAGTATCATTGCAAAATATAACCCTTTTGACCTTTACACTTAAGTATTTCTCAAACAGCAAATTCCTAAAATAAAGACAGTAACTTTCCTTAAAGAGCACAGATGTGCGGAGGTTATATTGTTAGGGATTGGTACAGCTGATTTGCACACTTCATTTGAAGTACACAGACATTGTCACGGCTGGTTTCAAGCAGTGATAAGTCAAATCAAAGCACTTTTTTGGGTATTGCATGTTTGAAAACCTACAGCACTTGAACATAAATCCAGACTGATAGAATTTGTTGGAAACAACAATGAAGGAAGCAATTTATAGTTTGATCTAGTAATGCAAAAAGGTATTACATCTACCTTGTTGTAGTTCGCATCAGTGTAAAATAGGGCAAATAAATAAAAGTGATTTAAGAGGAAAATGAAAGAGGAAACTCAGTATGTGTTTTGAGGGAAGATTCAGAAAAGTTTGGGGGCAAAAGCAGGAGGAACTAAAAAGAGAGTAAAGTGGGTTCAGGAAGTGGAGAAAATTCCGGGAATACAGAGAGCAATTCAGCATCAAATTGGTATACTGACAGAGGGTGGAGCCAAGTTGTCCATAGTATATACAGTCTATGGTTACCACTAACAATGGTGTTACAAAGAGGGCTGTTAAAGCTGCTGTGAGGAATGTTGTTTAGGCACCCTCTGTTAACAGAGAGATACTTATGATCTCTTGTTTCTGTATGTGCAAAAGTACTGTTTTTTAAACAACAATCTCATACTGTTACTGTGAGAAAGAGCCCCAAAAAGTAAAAAAATCTTTTTCCTCAGCCTGCTGTCAGTCATCTGATTGGACACCTCCCCCCTACCAGCCGCTTCAGCTATTATAAATCATCACAGAGAAAATGACAGCTTTATATCTGATGCTATTGTCTGCTTCTGGAGATCATGGAGAGGCATCAGAATCAGTTCCAATCTGTTAGTGAACCAACAAAAACTTCTCATAGTGCCTTTAATGAAAGTGGGACATCTGAGCGGGAGACAAAGCTGTCCTCTGAGGATGCAACAAAGTATAAAGGGTCTTTCTCCTCTGCTTCTCTTTGACAATAAAAGAAGTCCATCACTAACCTGGTTGGATCGAAACTCCCGTTATCTAATTAAGAGCTATAATTGGAGGTTGTATTAAAACCAGATTACAGTGCATTTAAGTGTAATAGACATGTTCAATTGCAAACAAGTGTGGAGAATAAATCATTAAAGAATTGGAGACCCTTGGAGGGTATATATTCTTGTTCATTTGCACGCAACCTAAATTCATTATTTATCCCATGAAATGAATAAATTGTCCCTGCTAGCCTGTGACTGAACTTGAGCTGGTGAAAAATTCAGTCTGTGCATGCAGCCGAAACCCTAGTGAGCATCTGTTTAATGAAAATAACAGAGCAAGAAAAAAGGGCTGGGGCTTTAATGATTGCATTTGGGTTGGGAATGGAAATGGAGAAAATAAGGATGAGGGCGAGAGAAGACGCTGAGGAGGGGACTGTACTTCCAAGACAGAAAGAGAGGGTCTGTTTTAGAGTTTTGTACCTTTTATAACGTTATACCTTTATATTAACATTTATTTAAGTTCTTTTGAACCACCCCCTTCTATATCTACACATGCACATGTGGTTTTAATAAATAACTCTCCTACTTGTTGTTGCTTTTGTGTAATCTTTGTATTTTATCACCAAACTTAAACCGTTCCTTTTCCTGCTACCTGTTTTTCTGTTACCTGTTCTTTAGTAAAGCGCCAAGTAAGGACTGATTTGATGCACTGTGTTTGAAAAAAGTAGATGGGAGCAAAAGCACAAAAGGAAAAAGAGGGAAAGAGAGGGAGTGAGAGACTGAGAAATGAGTGAGAGAAATGGGAATACAGATGAAAACTGATTTGTCCCTCTCATTTCCACTTTGACTCCATTCTCCTGGAGCAGTGAATAGGCGTGTGTGTGCTTGCATTAGTGTGTGAGCAGGGTGGCCACAGTGATCGGGGAACCTTCTTCCTCCGCCTCTCTGAGAGGGAGAGACGAAGAAGGAGAGCGAGTGAGAGAGACAGAGGGAGAGAGAAAGAGCAGTCACATGCAGAGAAGAGCGGGACGAGAAACAGAACAGAAGAGAGCTGTCAAGCTGTGAGGAAGCAGAGAAGAGACGTCTTAGTTTTTTTCTTGGAATACATTTCCCTGTCCAACTCTAAAGCCCACACACACACTTACACACTTAGACATACACACAACAGAAACACACAAACGCGCAGATGTTAAAGTGTGTGAGTGAGTGTTTGCTGGTTCCCTCTAACGAGGAGCGCTGAATTGTTTCCAGGACCTGGACTCATTGAAGCCTGACTCACTTGGGCTGTGAGAGTGTGTTCAACATCTTTGTGACTTGGACTTGAGCTCAAACTGGATTTAAACTGTGCAGCACTTTGGACTCAGAGTGTGAATCAACACTCCACCTGAATGCATCACTGAGATCCGGACTGAAACTGTGTTTGCTCTCATCAGGAGATTTGAACCCACACTGTGTCTGTGCTGATGAGGAGGATGTACTGGCCGGTGACAGCGGTTCTACTGGCCCACCTTGGGGCCACCTTAGCAGGAGCCTGGAGAGCTTCTCAACCAAGACTGCAGTTCACTCACGCTGGTGAGATTTTGCTTTTGACAAATTACACACCTGCCTTCTTCTTTCTCTCCGTCACTCTCTCCAGCTCTTTATTTAACTCTTGAGAATTATTTTTCCTCTGGTCGTCAAGTTTCTCTGCCCACCTCGACTTTCTCTCCCAGGAGGAGGTCAGGTGAAGTAGCATCATTTAATTGCTCATTCTTATCGCCAGTACAGTCACAGGGTTTAATTTCTGAATCACAAATCTGGTGTGGAAAATGATTCAAGCATATCTCTGCAGCAACAAATGTGAGGTACCTCACTGCTTAGGCTTCATTTTCTTAGTTCAGTTTCCAGTCATCTCTCCCTTCACTGAAACAGGCTGACGTCTCTACAGCAGAGTCAGTAACATTTTCAGACAGCGTGTAGTCAGGCAACTCTGCTGCTAATTCTCTGCTGTTGAAGTGGAAACAAGGTGAAAACACTATGGGAGAAAGAACAGTGGGTAAAAGATGAAGTCTCTAAAAATGGTTGTTGAAAAGAACAGTTAAGGGATTATTGAAAAAATACATTTTTACCATCAAACCTTTTGTGTTCATTGCCCTGAAGTTCTAATCAGAGATGCAGATGTGTTTCCAAACCTCCAAAGTGAGGACAGTGATACAATGTAAAACATGAGTCATCTCATAAACTGGTTCAATGGCAGAAATTTACTGAATAACTTTGAAATGCAGTGTTGTTAGTGTTGTTGTTGTTGTTTTTGTATTATATTAGATCAATTTAGATACATCTTAATTCATCTTTTCGGGAGGATTCCCTCGAGGAAATTAAATGAAGTTATTGGTATGGATATGGGGAAATGCAATAAATAATAATACCATAAAAACAGTCAGAATCAAAGTGTGGGCCGTGTGTAGAATCCAAATCTTTCACCAACAATTTTCAAGCTTCAATGAAGCCTCACATCCGCAGGCAGACTCCCCTGTCACAAAGTGACTGCCTGACAGCAAAAACGCCCCCACAGGATTCAAAATCAATAGTCCGTGTTTGTTAGCTTCAGTTGTGGCTAACAAAGAAATGATTATCTGATGGCAGGAATCCCAGATCCTAATCAGCTCCAAATTAATTTTGCCTTGGCCCGGGGCCGATCAGTGCACCACAGTGAGACCCATGCAGCAGCTTCTGGTGAAAAACCTGCAGTCAGAGACACAGAACCACACCTATGTGACCCTTGGGGTAAAATATGAATTCACAGCCATTTGCTGCTCATCTTCTCTAAAGCAGAACAGGACAGTCTCATGTATTCTGTTTCACCTGCCTTTTTTTATGCACTTGTAAATTTCCACAGTGCAGGAAGTTGCATAAACACATGCTGTTGAATCAATATGCCTGCATTGAGCAGTCCAGCAGTTTGTCCTGTTAGTATGTTTCTGCATGTCTGAATAGAAAAGGAGGGTCTTTTGAAAGGCTGAGAAGGTACTGCAGGAGCTGCTAGTCACTCTTGATGTTTGCTGTAATGTGGGAGAGTCTCTGCAGTTTGTTAAACCTGGTGAATCCACAGATATCTGGGAAGCACTGAAGCGTTGAACTCCATCAGTTTCAGCAAACATGCTGACCCACATGAGGTGTTTTGATGTTAGGGTTAGACAAACGTGACGGCCAAAAGTACTGAGAAAGCAAAGATTTGCAGCGTGTAATTATCACAGGAACTGGAATTCCTCTGTTATGTTCTCAGCTTTATTTACAGTGTGTCGGCCTGAAATTAAAAGCTTTTCTGAGTGAAGTATAGTGAGATAAACTCATCTCCCTTTAATCATGTTTACCAGAGACACAGAGGAGAGAGAAAGCAAGTGATTACACATTCTTACATAAGCCAAAACACAAAGGTCTGGGAAATAGATGTGATAAGGTTAAAGTCGACCAATGGTGACCTAGAAAATACAAGAAGAGAGAAAGAAACCTTGTTGGGTTCTCCCAGGTGGGAATTTAGCTCTAATGAAATCTGAATGTGGAAATGTAAAGGGCTTCTTAAGTAGCTGGGCGTGTATGTGTGTGTGTGTGTGTGTGCCTGTCCTTGAGAATGAATGTGTATCTTATTGCAAGTGCTTGAATGTGTTAAGCGTGTTTCTCTGTTTAAACCACTTTGAAGATACAGTATGAGACTGTGTGTGTGTGTGTGTGTGTGTGTGTGTGTGTGTGTGTGTGTGTGTGTACTTAAATAGGGTAGTTTCAGTTCCAGCATCTCTGCCCACCTCAGTCTTTGTTGTGTGTTTTGCTGATGTGAATCATCATGTCTTTCAACAACAGAGGTTTGTGTGTATTTTCTTTTTTCATCATAGAGGAGAGGAACAAAAATCAAATGTGTGATGTGTGTGTGTGTGTGTGTGTGTGTGTGTGTGTGTGTGTGTGTGTGTGTATCTTGATGGCTGTCTTGACGGTATTTTGTGGTTTTTCCTGTATCTCTGTGGGAGCTGCATACAGTGGTCATTTTCCTTCACATCACCACAGCTTTTTTCCTCGTGGAACTGCAGTAATTACTAAATGATCTCAGCCACCCTTGAACACATTGACTCAGGGGTTGTCTGGCAGCTCAGACAAACTGCAGCTACATTTTGATTTCCCCTCATTTGTCAAGCTCACCGCTAATTGGAAACCCAGACTGACAGTGGCGTGAAAGTTTTTGCCCCAATTTGAAGGAAATAGAGTTTTATGAATGCTGTGTGGCAGAAACTCAACACATACTACAAAGTGAAGCAAAAATAATGATAGATTATAAGAAAACAAATAGACAAATTACAGGAAGAATTACAGGTAGTATTTTTATTGACACTTTCATTCAGCAAACAAGGAAAGTGTGACAGCATGTGACAGCATTTACTGCATGTCAGTGGGAGAAATTGGCTGTCCTCTATATACTTTGCAGATGAAATAATAACAATTTTCACATTATAATTTCCTCTCCTGACTGAGAAATTGCTTCAACCACTGTGATTTTGGAACCTGTTCAAAACCACGCCGGAGAAACTCTGAAATCCATCAAAGTAAAAATGAGGCTTTATGACATGAAAGGTTTCGCTTGACTGCAGCAGCAGAGGATCAGTCCTCATCAGGCTAAAACTGGTTTTAGTTATGTATAGATAAAAAAAAAACAGCCCCATGTCACGATGTATTTCGATCTCAGTGCGCAGAGAATACTTGCTGTGTTGTTGTTGGTTACTTTTAGGCAAAAAGAGAAATGCAGGACAGCCAAGAAAAAAAAAGTGTGAAAAATACAAAACTAACCATATTAGCCCAGCAAAAAAATGTGCTTAAGAATTAACTCACACACTGAATAATCATTTTTTTGGCTTTACAAAGACACCAATCCAATGTCCACCCTTCAGCCTTGCAATGAGTCAGTTGTCATAACATGAAACCTGCACCCACCTTGCTGTAGTATCTGGTGAATAACCCTGAAGACTGCAATAACAAAAGTGAAAAATTAGAAAAACTACAACATAAGTCAGTATTGCAGTGAACTGTTGGCAATTTAATCAGTGAAGTCAGTTGAAATGTGCATAGCAGAAAACTCTTTTGGAGTTTGCTTTAGGGTCCCTGTGCTCTGGGTTTATTGGATTTTTACCACCTCTTACCAAACACACCTGCAGTATGAGGGAGTGTGAACGAATGAGAGGTTGTTCCACACCTGGGAATAGATTACTTGAACAAAGTCAGCAACATTTTACAGAGAACAGAATTAACGGGGAAGCTTTGTTGAAATTATGAGGACTCCCTTCAAATACTGGAGTGGCTCTGTTGAGGACTCTTGTTGTGTTTGAATCGTAGTTGCTTGGATTATGTTGTGTTTGTAGGCAGATCAACATAGTAATGTAATGCTGTCCTGTCTGGTGTGATACAAAAGTTTTACCCTAGCACTACATATCAGTATATTTATTGAAAAAATATGGAACTCTAAAACATATTAACATAAGTCAATTTTCATTACTTTATGACTCCTCGTGGTGGCACTTAGGACACAAAAGCCGAATACTCAAATAAATCTAGTCTGGGACTTTTACACTGTGATTTAAAAGCTGAAGGATCTCACACCACAACCAATTCATCAATCATCAACCAAAACATTCATATTATATATCTGCATGGTAGACCAGTAACACTGTGCAACCTGACAAAACAGTAGTGCTTATGATCGCTACTAACTTTCTGTTGTCACACTCACTCTGTCCTTTTGCTATTCAAACACACAAACTCTCTCACACACACAGGTACATATGCAAACACCTGCCTCCTCCCGCTCCTCTCCCTGCAACTCCTTCTGCTTCTTTTCCTCCTCCTCATCTCTCTCTTCCTCCTCTCCTCTCCTCCTGCTCCTCTCCCTGCTCTCCTCCTCCTGCTGTCCTCTCTTCTCTTTCTTCCCCCTGCTCCTCTTCCTCCTCTCCTCTCTCCTCCTCCTGCTCTCCTCTAAGTCCACCTCCTGCTCCTCTTCCTTCTCCTACTCACAATGATCACAAAGCAGTGAAATATACTAACTCTACTGACTTTACAACTCCACTAACTCTACAGAGTAAAACTACACTGTTTAATGTTCAAATGTGGATAGTATGGAGTTGTTGAAGTATTGTTAGATTCTCCTACCTTTGAATTCTACGCTATGAAATCCATATTTGCTGTGGGTGTCATAAAAGTGACATCAGAGCTACACAAAGTCCTCAGCATGTAGCTTTATTGCTCTAACAGGGAGGTCTTTCGCTGAGAGGTGAAGTGTAATCTGACTGACTGACAGACCAGGCAGCTTTGCAAATCTATAAAAAAAGTTTCAAATACTTCAACACATGAGTAATCAGAGTAATGTGTCCATTATCCCAGCCATTAAGTGGATGTTTGTGTGATTTTACTGATTGTAGAGGGCAGTTGTGATACCATCTCCGAGCCACACACACACACACACACACACACACACACACGCCTCACACACACGCACGCACGCACGCACGCACGCACACACACACACACACACACATAAAAACAGGCACTGTAGCAAAAACATGTTTAACAACAAACATGATGGCATGGGATACACCCCACCTGTAAACACACACAGTGATCTACTGATCTTAATACCATTTAAGAGGCTGAACACACATACATGTAAACAGAGGAAAAGTCAAAGGTCAAATGTAGGTTTATACACATACACATGTAAAAGCACGGTACACAACTCAATAAAACTGTTGCTGTATCTGCTGTACGATGGATCTGCAGCTCTGGTTACAATAGTAGAATACCAAGATTTATTGAATAGATTCATCCATGAAGGCCTTAGAGGATGTTTTGATGGTTTATTAAGTCAGTGTGAGTCTATTTCCTCACATGCACTCATGTTTTATTCATACAGTTTTCAATTTGTGAAGCGATTTAATAGAGGTTTTTGATCATTAACAGCCACTAGAGAATGATAGGACTCTGTCCGAGTGGAGACATTGGATTTGACCTTTCACCCCTTTACTCTCGCAATTGTTGTTATCCTGACATTCCAACTTGTTCTGCTGTTTGCTCAGTCGTTCTGGACAAATGCCCAGATTGTAATGTAAATGTAAATGAGTGCTTTTCAATTTCACGCTATTAGCATGCAAATTGCTCAGTTGTACTACACAGTAGATTAACTAGGTATTGTCCAGATGCTTGTTTGCTCGTGTGTGGTTGTATATTTCAATTTAGATTTCATCAGAGAATAAAATTGTGTTGGACAAATGAAAGCTGCAGTTTGAAATGTCCTTGTTTAATTTTCTTTGTGGCTTTAGGAAAGATAAAGGAAATGTGTCTCTATGCAGCTACACACAATTCAGGAAATGTAGGCAGCCAAAACAAAAAAAAAAGATGAGCTGAAAGTTTATAATAAAGTTGAGGTATGGTATCGCTGTGGTGACTGTGACATTCAACAGTCAGGTTAGCTGACTTTTACTCCAAATATCTAGGCAAACATTTCAGCCCCTTGAATGAAAATGCTCTGCATAAATGAAAAATATCAACCTCAGATGAAGAGATTACCGCTTATAAATCAGCTTGCATTAGTCTTAAAAGCCAGTCTGCCTACACTCATGTACTCCTTTTCAAAGCATCCCATGCACCTGGCATGTTTGTGATTTTGCATTTGAAAGTGTGTAGAATTAAAGGGACAGTTTAGTGATTCTGAAGTAGGGCTGTGTAAGGTACTTGTCAATAGTAGGTGTTAGGACTGGGCAATTTGGAAAAAAAAAAAAAGATCACAATATACTTTGCAATATCGTCTGATCTCGATTATTATCATCATTTAAAAAAAAAAAAAAACTAACTGCCAGTTTTAAAGCATCTGTACTAAAAACTAAAGAAACTAGAGATAAGTTCAACATTTTATTAACACACAAAGTAAATAACAAAGCAAATTAAATAAGATAAACATAGAAAAATCTAAAAAACATTTTAACTCAACAGTACAACAAATGTAGATAAATACAAAAAATACAGTGAACTAGTCCTGAGTGTTTTTGCAGGTATGAAAGACCAAAGATATTACAAACAGCTATGATCTGAGTTCGTTCAAATGGGCTAAATAGGGTGGTGGAGCTGACTCCGTCTGCAGTAATTGATAGCCCAGCATTCAGTCTGGCCTTGCTCTCTGATGAAACCATATTCATGGGTAAAAATTTTAGCAGCTTCACCAGAGTGTGTGTATTATTACTCGTTTTATTTGATCCGTTTTGCATTTATGCATTTTTTTGCAGTGTTGAGATTACAAGTAAGCGGTGAAACTTGTTTTTGGCATATGCTGTATGTCCTCCTCCTCCTCCTCTTTCCTAGCTTCACCTTTCGTTTCTCTATGTACTAATAAAGCACAAAAGACTTCACAGTGATATTAAAAATCAGGAGATATTTCATTATTCATTTATTCTTTCAGATCTGTTTCTATCTAGGCCAGTGCTTTCCAGGCTCAGGGCTGAGGATGCTGCTGAGATGTGGATTTCATTGGAACGGTTATCTGGCACAGCATCAGGCTATTCTCTGTTATTAATTTTAATGGAGGCAGTCCCCAACGGTGGCTCTACTGTTGCTTGTCATTATTGAAATCAAACGACAGCTGTTTCTTTATCCCACACTTTGGAAAGACAGAGGAATTGAAACAAATTTCTCTGGAAAGAAAACCTTCTTGGATGAACATAAAGTACAGCTTTGACCCAGACCCTTTTCTGTTTCATTGAACTTTCAGAGTATTTAAGTTTTCTTGCAAACATCAGGTCTTTACTGAGACGTAAACCCCCAACCCCCACCCCAGATTTGGGGTCTCAGTGCTTGTGGGTCTACTTCTCTCTCTGGACAGAGATGGTGAAAGGAGTCTAATTATGCCCCTGTTTTGGCAACAACAGCCCTTGACAACAGCGGACATGCTGTAAATTTACCCTCAGGAGATTTCTGCTCTTAATATTTTGAGACTATCTTTAGCCTGAAGCCTGTAATTAAGTACAAGAATCACAAGCATCATATTTCTCCCATTCCCCTAAAGTATTAATTTGCTCCAATTTGCCCTCCTGAAACAAATCAAAAGCTGATTTTCTCACCTCAACTCCCCGATTATTACTGTGTGTCAGCATTTCCTTCCTGTACAACTTTCAAGTGGCACAAGGAAAGTTTTCTTTCCTGACAACGATGCCCTCGGTTCTGTCAAAGCTGAGAAGTGTAAAAACTACAGTCATGTAAGCTTCACTGGCTGTAATAGTCTATAAGTCAGCCTGATCAAGTTGTCTTGGGTTGTTGCTCTTAGCAGCTTTCGTGTAGACATATATTTATCACTGCATTCCTTTGACTTTAGCTGCTTCAAAGATCTTAATCCAAAAAGGCACATTTGACTTGTTTGCCAGCTGGAAGCCAGAAGTAGACAGGATCAGCAGTGATAGGGCTAACTCCAAGAGTTTGCCTCATTAGCTGCAGGCCAGAGTGGGCTGGAGACCGAGGACATACTGATATACTCATTCATAAAATGTTGCTTTCCTGTAGTGATTGACAAAAACCTTTATTTGGGAGATATAGTGAAATAAAACTTAAGGACAGAGGCAACAAGTGCACTCCAGTCAAATCTCGGTTGTTGGCTACATTTGCACTTGTGCATGAAACATTTGATCTTCAACTCTTGGTGTTGGCGATCTGATGTTCCCAAGGCTGCGTAAACATGAAGAAGCCACAAGAATTCGATCCTCCCTGTTTTGTCAGCGATGGAAAGATCAGACAACTGCCACAAAAGGCTGGAAATCTGACTTCCTGTTCCTGTTTAAAAAAAGCAGGACTTATCAGAAAATAAAAAGGATGTGCAGTGACAGATAGGAGGGTTTTATCCTCAGGCTGAGCTTTAAAGTAAGGATTCGTCATAAGGTTGACCCTCAAAGTTGACTGTAAACATAAATCTTAGCTGTGAAGATATCTTGACCATCCATAACCTGCACAAGACAGCTTCTTTACTTTATGGTCACCCATTTTTAAGATGAAGGGACGCAGTCATTGCTCATGTACTGAAGCAAACGGTCACCTAGTACCATATGTCTAACATGCTTTGATACAGAGCCAAGAAGTCTTAACCACAGACAATTTACAAGCTGCAGTGGATTTTTTCACTCTGGGCGGTAAGACTCGCAGGATTACTGAGCAAGGTGTCATCTCACATGTTGAATATTATTATTTGCTAGTCTTCCAATGAACAGACGTTTTTCTGTGCAAGTGCAAAGCCTCAAAGATGATTGTTTTGTTGTGCTAAAAGCCATTGTGAAATAAATCCGAAATCACACGAATTATGTCACAACTAACCTGATAGCTGCGTAGAAACAGTTCATCTTGTTAATGATGTTCTTACCTGTTGATGCAGATCTGACTGTTTATTATCCAGAAGAACTCCATACTGAAACTTTGAGTTCTGCAGTCCTGTTCATTGATAGTTATTGTTATTCATTGATGTTAGTGTTTTACTATGTATGATAATTGCATTAGGGCTGCAGTGATTCTTAGAAAAACATGAGTAACTCCATCACTAAAAGACTCAAGGTAGATTATATGCCTTCAGGTTTATTTCCTTATATATGTAATCTTTAAAGTCAGGGCAAGCAGAAGACTCCTCTCTGTCAGTCAGTGTGAGTTAAATCACTCATAAATTTGTCCTAATGATAAAGTTTACTGACTTGGTATTTCAAAAAACAGTACTGGTCAGTCAAGGAGAAGTCAGAAACTTAGATCAGAGTGGAGCTAAAAGGCCAGCTGTTACTTTTTCTTCTTACAAACTCTGCTCCTGAGGTTGTGGCCAGAGCATTTCACAGATGGCAGACATTGTTCTGTTCTGGGCAGCTCCCACATGAGACTGTTTGTTACTGTGTAAATATAAAGCAGAGAAAACAATGAGCATTCCCAATGAACCCTCTCTTGGATAAATAAAGCAGAAGAAACACAGAATAAAAAGCAAAAAGCAAACAGCAAATGAACTCGTATGCACAAGCACAGCCACTCAGGTCGAGCCGTCTGATGATGATGAATAATCATAGATGCTGAGGTCAAAGGTTAAGCTGTCCACGTGGGTCTGGTCTGTCTGACACAGTCCAGATGTAGATTGTTAAGAGTTTGGATGTAATTTTGCTGTGGTGTGTGTGTGTGTGGCCTCCTCTGTTTAAATGTAAAAGTTTGGAGTCAAGTTGATGTGTTAGGCATGCTCTTTCATTCACCCTGATTTTACACAAGCATCCATACACACCATTCCTGAGTGACACAGACATAGTGTGGTAAAGGTTTGGCATAGAGTTGAATGGCGTGGACAGTGGGGGTTCATGCCTGTGAATGCATGGCGACATATGTGTCAGAGAGGAATTCATTCATTACTTCACATGAGTGCCCATCTGTGTGCCTATAGGCATCGTTCCCAGGCCTCCTGCTGTAATTGCAACTGTAATTTGTGAAGTGATAACCCCATTTCCACAGGAAACTTGCCCTGGTTTCCTCGCCCCAGCCACCAACAACTCCCCCCCACCTACTTTAGTTGTGCAGTCATCAAAGATCTCCCCATGGGAATGTTGCACCAGACAGCTACAGTTCCCTAGGGCTTAGGATGCAGACGAACAGACGGACAAAGACCGACATACAAACAAAACTACACACGTTTGGGAGCTAACCAACACTGTCACCCGGACAAGACTGTGGAAGAATAATTAGATATATTACTGATAAGTGTAGCCTGTGTGTGTGGGTGTTTGTGTTTGGGTGTAGAAACGAGAATAACTCACTGTGGAACAAAAGAAAAAAACAACAAAGTCTTGTCAATTATACAGTATTTCACCCTGTATATGCAATCTCCTGCATACGGTTGGAAAACTTTCCTCCTTGACACTTGTAACCAATCATAAAAAGCATTTGGCACATTGACAAGGAAACACTTTCTTTTAAATGGGCAGAAGCCTCGAGGAGGATTAGATGCACCAGTGGACAGCTATTTGTCACATATCACTGGGCTGAGGGAGTGGGATACAGGCAGAGAAAGACCGAGGGATTATTTGAGACTGACAGAGAGACAGACTTTCTAAAAAGAAGGTTGGAAAGGTAAAGGAAAAAAAAGGTCTTGAAGACCTAAGCACAGACACACCTGAAAACAATAATAAAAAAAAAAGCTTAACAGGTCATCTCTAATCTTTATTATTTTTCATATTAAATTTGACAGTTTTCCTATCTGCTTTGCTTCTGGGCATCAGAAACAGCATGTTAACATTCTGCAGTACACCTCTTTGTGTAGACCTGACTCTCCTACAGCTACTGCAGCTCTTATGTAGGACTAGACGAAAGTGGCTCTTAATAAGTGATTATTTTCTACTGGTCTGCACTGCACACTCTGTCACAGAGCTGAATTATTCACTTTGAGCTTCAGTTCAAACGTACGCTTATTTACCTGCATGATGTATGGAGTATTTTTGCCTGTGTGTGGTCATGACAGTGCTGTGTGTGCCTGTGTGTGTGTGTCTGGTGCAGTGCAGGAATGTTCTTAGCTGTATCACACGCCGCACATTTGCTCTAATCACATCGAGGTCCATCAGAGCTCCCATGACCAGCAGCCTTTAATCTAATGTCCACCATGGATAAAAATACCTACCACTAACCAACAAACACACACATATGATAGCACAAATGCTACACAAACAGAACAGTCACTCTGAGGCAGACATGGACTGGCAGGCACTTGTATTAACATAAAGGAACCATTCACGTTCAGTCATTCTCAGTGTGCGTCTGTATGTGTCTGTGTGCGTGCCTGCACTGGTAGGATTATGTCGCAGCGTTTCTGGTCATTTATGTCTTAACCTTCCAGTCTTTGATTCCCACCGACAGAAGTCAAAGGCCAATTGGCTTAGGTCAGAGGTCATGACCCCCGTCGACCCCTGCTGTCAGCTTGTTGCTGATAAGAATGGCTTCTCTCTGCAGGCACTCGTGTGTGCAGACTAAACAGATTGTGGCTTTGGTTGAACTAGAGGGCTCTTAATGCTATCATCATGAGCTGCTCAATAATCTATACTCTTCTAACTCCCTCATCTTTAATGGATCACATGACTGAATGAGGTCAATCGCTCCATATGAGCTTCATGATTCAAGTTCAATAAAGTAACTGGGTACAAAAGAAGCACTCTTTGTAAAAGGTCACAGCTTGTACCTGGAATCTGTTGAACTAGTGTTGACAGACACTTAAGAGGTGCACTATACTCAACAGTTTCAGATCCATCTCAAGTGGAAATGTTTTCACAAAACTGGAGAATTGAAATCACACTACTTTCTTGCTGTGAAAACTCGTGCCAAAGAGCTTCTGTGTTCAGTTTGTTCTTCCTGTATCATAAAATATGAGGAGTGAGTCAGTCTTGAATAAGGTCTGCTCAGGGCAGCCCCATAAATTTGGATGATTCCAGTCAGCAGTTAAGAGTAACACAAGTCACTCAATAAAGTTGAACAAAGTTTGTCTAGTGTCTGACCTTCATTTAGTTGCATCATTGTGGCCAGGCTGCTATGTAAAGTACTCATCAGTATTAGTTCATTGATTCACACGCCACTGGGCGCTGCTGGTCAGGCACTTTGAGGTCAGTCGTCTTGCCCAAAATCAGTCATTTCTGATGAGTTTTGAGACTGACTATAAACACTTCGTGGTCTGTCAGTACTCTGTATGCAGTGTTGAGAATCCATCTTTGTTAACCCTGTATTTGCTGGGCTATGGAAGACTTGCACAGTGATCAGTTTTCTATGTGTTCAAATGAGGGGCTGCAACAGAATGATCTCAGACTTTTTTACTGAAGATGAATGGTGGAAAATGAAAAAGTGGTGACAGCATGGTATGGTTCAGGTCATATGACTGAATTTGCACATGCTGCAGTGTGACTATTATGCATGTGCACATCTCAAGGATGCAATGTATGAGTCAGCCTTAGGTACAGTTAGAAGTCTTTACCAATAACAATTTCAAAAGAAGTACAGGCTACTGTGGAGTAGGGAGGAGAATCAGTGCACAGAGAAAATGTAAAGTCACCTTTTCCTCTGAAATCAGACCCTCTCACATTATACACGATAATTGCCCCCTAGTGTCCTTTCTCTTTTCCATATAACAACTCACTTTCCTTTAATAGATTGTTCCAAAGCAATTTGACAGCACTTGGAGCTGGGACCATTAAAAAATCGATTCTTACTTTAAGTTTCTCAAAAGGCTGCAGAGTTGGAGAACAGCTTGTTGGATCAATAGCATCCCCATGTCATTTTCAAGCAGTCAATGACAAGTAATTGTGGACTTCATAGTGAACTGGTCCACCTACAGTATGCTAACTGTGTGATGTTGAAAATGAAAATTTGTTCACCAAGATGTCTTGGCAGGTGTAATAGAAGATAAGTGGAATGTTGGGTTCAGATAGTGCTGTTCATATGTCCTTAAATATCTGTAACTGTGTGTGGTTGATTGTATGGTGTGTGTGCACGCGCACGCACATGCGCATGTATGCGTGCCCTCCCATTAACTTCACAGCTTTGATGTCTTGGAAAAACACTCCATTATTCCACCGTGCCCTCTGTGTTTCAGCCAAAGTGTTGATGAGAGGTGTGGGCAAATCATTCATCTGTGTGTGTGTGTGTGTGTGTGTGTGTGTGTGTGTGTGTGTGTGTGTGTGTGTGTGTGTGTGTGTGTGTGTGTGTGTGTGTGTGTGTGTGAGAGAGAGAGAGAGAGAGAGAGAGAGAGAGAGAGAGAGAGAGAGAGAGAGAGAGGGAGACCCAGGTTAGGGGGGCAAGGGGGTAAGACCCACACCACACCACAGCCCCTCACAAATTATGCTGGCATGGTTGCTGTTGCCAAGGAAACTGTCCCATGAGTAAGGGTGGGGTGGGTGCAGCCGCTGTTTTCTGACTGAGCCAGGGGTGTGTGTGTGTGTGTCTGTATGTGTCTGTGTGTGATAAAAGAAGGACAGAGCCATACTCCTGGTATTTAATCATTTGATGTTGGTGTGTTTTTGTGGTTGCTAAATCTAAGTCTATTTCTACATTGAACATGCTCTGCTGATTCACCGTTTCCTCTCACTTTCTGTCACTTCAAGTGTATTTTTGTGTGTTTGTTTAAACAGCTGCTCTCAGTTCCCTCTTGCCATAATGCTGATTTAATGCCCTCCAAAGTGAGGATAGGAGCTGGATTTTTAGTCTGTCTGACCCAATTGGATGTCACGACAGTAACAGATGCTGAATGCTGCTGGTGTTTCCACTGCAGAGGTGGTTTCACATTCAGTTAGGCTAAGCTCTTCCCTTTATTGAATCAAGAGAGGTCATGCCGCTCTTGTGGCACACTCACTGTAATTCAGATGAAGAGCTGGATGCCTGCAGAGCAAGGCATGAATTCCCCTAGGACTCGATTCTCCATTAAGAGGGAGACAGAGACATTATACCTCCTAATAGAAGTGGTAAGGTTCTTCCAACATAGGGTGCTAATAACATGAAATGACTGAAATTAACAAATCATATGAGCAAAGTTGAATTGTAGGGATGCATGACATGAGTATTTTCGGGCTGACACTGATACCAAGTAATAATCATGTCTTAAGGTATTTTTTATTTTTTTTTATCATACTGTTTAGTGTCTCAATCCTGAGAAATAAAATTAAGATTATATGAGCAAAGATTAAGACTTAGAATGTGTTCCCAGAATCTTCTTATTAATTCCTTCTCTTTCCTCTACGAGGCTCCATGATTCCTCGCTGATCCATGGCTTCTTCTTTTTTCGTGGTGTACCCAAGACTGCCTCAGCTACTTCTACGTATGCCCGCTCCATCACTTGGAATTCACGCTGTACTTCTTCTTATTCTACTCCTTGCCCTTCCTCTTCCAGTACATGATACCTGTTTCTTAGATGGATGGCAAAGGTCTTCAAGATGTTGTCATTCTTCAGTTTTGCTGTATCATACTTGATTCTGGTGCTTTTCCTTTCCTAGTGTCGCTTCTTGAGTCTTAACTTGATTGTTGTGCATACAAGGTAGTGGTCACTTCCAATGTCTGCAGACCTGTGTACTCTTGAGTCATTCACTGAATTCCTGAAATGTTTATTGATGAGAGTGTGGTCAATCTGATTCCTGGTCTTCCCAACTGGAGATACCCACGTTGCTTTGTGAATTTCTTTATGTGGGAATAGAGTTCCTGTTATGACTAGTTCATTCATGTCACATATTTCACACAGCCTTTCTCCGTTGTTATTCAGCCTTCCGAGTTCATGTTTGCCCATGACCCTGTCATAATCCATTTCTTGCTCTTCTGCGTCTTCTGTGGGTGCATAAATGTGTATGATTGTTAGCTTAATGTGCTGGGAGTGGTATCTGGCTAAAATGATTGGTTAACCGGTGTCCAGTCAATCAGGGCTCTTGCTGCAGTTTTCGACATGAGTATGCCTACGCCTTGTCTGTGGTTGTCGTCGTCTCTTCCTGAGTAAATGATGGTTTCTCCTCCTGCCAGTTCCACTTTTCCTTGTCCTGTCCAGTGTGTTTTGCTGATGCCCAAGATGTCCATTCCTCTTTTGGTCATTTCTCTTGCCACTAGTGTGATGTTGCCGCTTGCGTATAGTTTCAGTTTCCAGTCTTCATGATGTTTTTCTGGTGCAGCGGTGGTCTATTCAGCCCAAGGGCGTCCTGTTGGCTTTGGCCCTTGTGTGTCATGGTGTCTCTGGTTACAGAACTGGCTACTGTGTATGTGTACTGTGTATGCTCTGCTTCTGGTTTCTGTAATAGTGTATTTTTTTTGGGAGTGGGTTATCAGCCCACAGCCCAAACCCCAACCTTGAGGGCCAGTGGGATCACTCTTCGTCTGGTCTCTACCCTTCGACCTGTTCGGCGTGGGTGACCCTGCTAGGAGTGCAATACTCCTGCCGACATAGCTCTAGGGGTCATGGAGACGCGCAAACCACCCCACCACGATAAGGTGGTGATCCCGTCGGGGTAGGCTTATGAATAGTAGGGGTGGGAATCACCAGTGGCCCCAGATACAATGTTAAGATAATTGGGCCACGATTCATTATTATTGCGATACAGTGAGTATTGCGATACCATATATTGTGATTTATACCAATTTTTCAATTCCTTAGCTGATTTAGCGTTTGTCTTTCCTTTATGTTTGTCTTATTTATGCACTATTTTATTTTCATGTATATAGCACATCTTGAAAACCTCAAATGTCAGGTCCATCTCATTTGTGCCCTGCTTGCATTCCTAATGTCTTTCCCCAGGTGCTGCTATATTTGTTGTACTAACTTTCTCCTGCTCTATGATATAACCTCTGCCAACCTCACTGGACAAACAATTGATTTTATTTTTCCAATATCAAAGACTTGAGTTAATATTATCATACGATTAATTTGAAAAAATTGACGCTTGGTGGATGAGACAATATGATAGATCACCAGACAAAATATCGCAATACTATGCTGTATCCTTTTTCTCTCACCGCTAACGAATAGAGCCTCTAACTACTAAACATTCAGGTAATGACACTGATGATGAGTGAAACTGTTTAACTGGAGATAATCCACTAACACCACTTTTGTCTGATATCACTGACAGATCTTCCAGAGCATAAACACACATTAACAACCAGTCTATTATTCTCTGTACACTTACTTATCCTCTGATAATTCACCCTCTAATGCATGCTTTCTATCAAGTGATAATGACGTTAATGTAACCAAGTCCTGTACATAAACAAACATTATTCAGTATTGCCATATTGAATATGGACTTTAGACAATGGGCCATTGAGTTGAAAATCAGGTTATGAGGGCATTTTGTAGGTCACACACACAAAAAAACGGGGCTTCTCAATGGCCCAAAGATTTTGTCTGTCTGATGTATTGTTTGCATGTCGGGATGTGGTGTCTCTGTCATGCAAACAAACAAAATGACTGAACCCTAACCACATCACTCTTTGCATGCTGTCCAGTTTTTTAAATATTTGATCTGCATTAAGATTTTGAAAGTAAGTTTTACTCAGTGATCAGTTTCAACCTGAGGCAAAATTGACTAAAACCTTAAAACAGAAGAGCAGTTGTGATCGTGAAGTCGCTGCTCTGCTGATGCACCTACTGGGATGAATACAACTAGTGTCAGTGTAAAGCAAAACATTTTACCTCTCTGACCGTTTCCTGAATATTAACAGTGTCTCTGGTGGCTAATAAGCAGATTTCCTGCTGAGCTAACGCTCAACTTTCTACTCTCTGCCTTTAGTCTGCTGAACTTTCCTCTCCTACTGTGACTGTTTCTGTGTCTCACATTATTTCTCCATTTCCACCGAGTCATGTCTTCTTCTCTCTTTTTCAATGGTCTTTCCCTTCTGCTCATCTATTTCTTGTGTTTTCTCCTGACTGTCAGCATGTCGTGTTTCCTCTCATTGCTGTCTGCTGTTTTCTTCCTCCTTCTTTTCGCTTTCTCTGTCCTGATTTCTCAGCTTTTCTTCTCTACCTCCATTAGCCTCTGCCTTCACATTTCTCTCCCCCTCTGTCATTATTTTCTACTCCTCTCTTCTCCCCCTGCTCTTCACTTTACCCATCATCCATCCAATCATCATTTTTAACCCTGTCTTCATATCATTCTTCCTCTTACTTTCATCTACCCTCTTCTCCTCCTCCTCCTCAATCTGCCTATCTATCCATCATTTTCCACCCTGTTATTACACTACAATTTTCCCTCACACTCTCGGCTACTCTTCCCCTTCATCCTCCCTCCACTTCCTCCTCGATTCCTCCATCAACGCCCATCAATTCCCCACCCTGTCCTGTCATGGCAACATGATTTTTACAGGCACTCTATCTTCGACCCTCATCAACCTTTCCTGTCCAATCGCCACCTGTCTTTTTCCATCCCTCCTCTCCCTTCTCATCCTCATCATCCTCCATCAATGTTTATTAATTTTTCTTATCAGGATTCCTTCTACTCTCTTCCCCCCTTCGCCCTCATCCCTTCCTTTACCCCCTCATCTGTCTATCATCCTGTCATGTTTTGACATTTTTCCTATTCTCATCTCAGAGCTGTCTTTGCCCATCAGACTGTTTTCATCTCCTTGTCACTTTGCCATGTCATATTTCTCATCCTGTCTTTCTGACGCTCCTCTCTCCCCGTCACCTCCTCCTCCCTGTCCTCCTCTTTTTGATTTTATCTGCCTTTGTTGTTTTATTCTCTCACAGTGACTTTGTGGTTTATGTGCACTGTGAATACAGATTTAAAGAGGTTTAAAAATGCAGCAGTGCATGTTAATGGTCCAATCCGATAAAGTCCTCTGAACATTCATTCTTTAAGGTGAAATAAAAAAAGTTGGATCCTAAATCGCAGGCAAACCAGGAGCTGTAAACAAAAAGTCACATGAGCTCACAGCATGCTGCGTCTTAATTGGGTAGAGTTGTGGCAACCCGTCATCCCACCTTGTTGGATATGTGATGCATTTGGCGAGGGTCCAGACAAATCTGATTTATGTTCCTATCAAAACGAACCGCTGTTCTAATCATGCATGATGAACTTTACTCTTTGTCTGATGTTTGATCTGGCTCGGTCTGAAAAACACTGACGTTTAAGTACCTGTGAATTTACTCAGACTGGGGTTTACCTTGGGTTCACTGGTTGCTGCCATTTTTCACAACTGGAGTGTGAAAATCTATATAACTGAAGCTCAGACGAGGTCTAACATCACATTCCCAGCTGTATTACTGACAGATTAAAGGTTTCCTTCTTTCCCAAAGAGAGATTGAGTGTTTGGTGTTTAGTCAGACATAATCCATTACCATGGGAACCAGATTGAAGTCACTTTGACACGACTTGAATGGTGAATTTCTCAGGAGTGTTACCCTCACCATGACTCCTGCTCAGTTATCTGAAGGTGAGCCTCTGGGGTGGGGCGGCACGATTGATTGATTTTAAATTGTAATCAGATTATTTGATTATAACGATGTTAAAAAAAATAATTTCGTGGCTAAATAGAACAAGAGCAAGTCAGTCATGTGGAATTGGTACGCCTTCACAGTTTCGGATGACGAGCAAAACATTCCCCGCTGCAAAGTCTGTCTGAAGGCGGTATCAACCCGTCCACACGGAAATGAATTCAGGAGTAAACTCTAAAGTTTTCGATTGGATCGGCGTTTCATCCACATGGAAACGGTGTTTCGTATGACTTTTAAGCAGTACGGGTCAGAGAGTGGATAAATCCGTAAACGTCTACCATTTCATCTCCTTGTGGATGCCTATTTGTATCTCTCTTGAAACGATTATGTGACACACAGCATAACTCTTTTATGGCGCCTGTGCATGTCCGGCCAAAACAACCCTTATACTCATGCTCTGTCACTGAATAGAAAATCGAAATCAAAATTCGAGTTTTCAGAGAAAAAAACTTGGATTTTATTTTTGGCCCAAACCGGGCAGCCCTACTATGGAGTACTGCTGGAAGTTAACCAGCCTCCTTCTGTCAAAAGCATTTTGTCCATAAAAAGGTGAAATTTTACCGATTACTCTAATTGTATATAAAGTGTTAGGTTTAGATTAGGTTGCCCAAAGAAAATAAATGTCACGTCTGCTGATAAACTCGGAGCCCTTGAGGGGGTTTCATGAGGACTTCAGTACAGAGTTTTCTTTGAAACACCATCTTTCAGCTGATACAACTTCCTCACCACTTTCACAACAGTTCAAAGATCCAGCATGGCCAAACTGTTAGCCCTTTGTTCACTCTGTGATGACCAGCCAGCTCTGCAAATGGAGGGACTTTTGGCTGTCACACATCAGCGTTCAGCTCCAAAAGTCTGTAAGGAGAAATCTGCTCATTCAGCCAAGTGTTGATATGAAGAAACTGATACAAGTATCTTCACAGTCAGACTGCCCATCCTCTCATCATCTCTCTATTTTTTATTCATGTGTTTTATGTCCAGTCTGTCACCATTTCGGACTCCTTCACACAGGACTTGAACCATTTCTTTCTTAGTCTGTTGGATCATTCTTTTGTGACCCACTCCTCATCTGGTCTCAACCATAGACTGTATATACTATGGACAACTTGGTTCCGCCTACCGCCTGTATACGGATTTGAAGCCAAAAAGCTCTCAGTATTTCCAGGATTTTTCTTCATTTCCTGAAACCAGTGCTGTGCAGTAGTGATGTGCGCATTCGGCCGCGCAGTCACAGAGAGTCACTGTGATGACGCTCGGCTCAAACAGCGTATCCCCCGGGAGAGCTACTCAATCCCTGAAAAACAGAGCTTCACAGAAAAAAGAGGACTTGAGCACAAACCAGTCTTACTGTAACTACATGTCAACATCGCAAGCAGGGGGGAGAAAAATTTATATTCTGTGTAATAAATTTATAAAGTTTGTCCACAGCTCCATAAGCTTTGCTGGCGGAGGCGGGATTTATGACCTATACTGCAGCCCATGAACAGAGGGTGCTGTTCTCAGAGTGGCTTTACCCAGCAAGGAGGCAGACGGTGTATGGTCTCAACACTTCATATACCTGCTCAAGCGCCCCTGCCCGCTGACTTGATGTGTCACATAAAAGAACAGAGACAGCAGTATTTGTAGATACTCTGAGCCAGTCATCACCATTTCCCTGTGTATGCTCCGGTGAATAATTGCCATGTGTTCAAAGACAGCTGTTTGGGCAGAATTTACAAAACAGATGACAGATGGATATTTCATCTTACAGATGTAGGATTTGATTGGTAAGGGTGACGAGCAGTTGTTGTAGGACATGTTTTCTTTGTTTTTTGTAAATGTTCCTTCAGTCCATTGACAGGATAGGTTCAGTATACTGTAACAGTAGTAGAGGTGGGAGAAAAATCGATACAGCATAGTATCGTGTTATTTTGTCTGGTGACATATCGTATCGTCTCATTCACCAAGTATTGATTTTTTTCAAATTAATTGTTAATAATATTAATCATAATAATAATGAAGTCAAATCTAAAATGGAAAAAATAAAATCAATTGTTTGTCCAGTGAGGTTGGCAGAGGTGACATCATAGAGCAGAAGAAAGTTAGTGCAACAAATATAATATAAAAGGTTTGCAAGATGTGCTTCATGAAAATAAAATACTGTATAAATAAGACAAACATAAAGGGAAGACAAATGTTAAATTAGCTAAACAGTTAAAAAATTGTATAAATTGCAATTTATGGTATTGTAGTACTCACTGTATTGCAAAAACTTAAAAAACACAATAATATGGTATCGTGGCCAAATATCGTAAAAATATTGTATCATGGGGCCGTGTGTGATTCCCACCCCTAAACAGTAAACAGGACAAATAATCCATAGGTCACCACAGATTAGATATCATGTGTGAAACAGGTGATTCATGACAGTAAAGATATACAGCACAAACAATCAAAACTGTATTTGATCCCTCCTTTGTTTAAAGTTAGCTGAATTTGCTGCCAGTTGAAATCATGAACAAGGATTTCTCCTCTCCTGAGGGAAGCAGTTTTAGGGTAAAGGGGCATTCTTTGAAGTGGATTCAGATTATTCTCAAAGCCTTTATTCTACTTCTCCTTATGGTTTAGTTTATATACTGAGATTAGTCAAATGACCCCTCTGCCTTGCAGCACCTTGCCATCGCTTGACACACAGGTATGCCAAAGCAGATTTGATGTGCACTTAATTAACATCCAAAGCCCGGTTTTCTTAGTTTTGAAGCCCAAGCAGTTGTCTTTTGTTTTTCCTTTTATTCTCTACCTCTCTCTGCGTCTTGCTGCTATTTAGGGCTGCCAAGCTGTGAAGCTATGCCTGGTGCTGCTTAAAAGCCTATATATGTTTATGCTTTTAGCTTAATGAGCCAATGCCAAGTCCCATCCACTGAGACCAACACTTGGCTGTTAAAATATGAATGATGTTAACACTAGACAGATGTATGTGCAGTCTGCTCATAGTTCTCATAGATTGCACGGTGCAAAAGTTTAAAAAACATTTAATCTGTGGGCTGATCGGTCTTCTCAGGATCAGTTTTATCGCCTATCTGTCTGGAGATGTAGTTCAGGTACTGTTTTCTGTGTGTAAGTGTGTGTGTCAGTGTTTGTTTATTCACCAGAGATACTTTTCTTTGTTTGGCTCAAGTGTCCGATGAGATAAGAGAAATGAAGCTGTAAGACAAACACAGACAGTTGTCATGTGTGTTAGATACTATCAACTGTGGGAAATTTTGTGTCTTACTTCGGCAAGCAAGTCATCTGACTTTTTACTTGGCCTTAAAAATAAAACCAGGGACTTTAATCCAGGTTTGCATTGTCTTAATATATATTTTTCTGAATGTAGTTAATTGATATTGTAGGTTAGATGCCTTCTTATATGTAAATGAAAGGACACGTGCACAATTTTTTTCCAATTTTTATGTTAATTGCTTTTACATTCTTGCTGAACTGCAGTAAGTCACTTTGTTGTTGGGTTAGCAAAACAAATGCATAAAAAAGACACAAAGTATTCATTAAAAAAGGATGTCTGATGTGAATGAAAAACACCAATTTAATTAACTCTATCTTTTTTATCCTTACTCATCAATTTGATGTTTATTTCCCACACGTCATCCACATTCCTAGTCAATCAAGCTGCAAGGGTATCTTCACAGACATATGTCCTGTAGTTTATACTGTCTTTGTTGTCTTGTCTCCTTGTCAGAGTTAATCCAGAATGGCCGTCTTCTCACGCTGCCCCTGGTGGCAGGAGACCTGCACTCCCTGCTGCCTGATGAAGATCGAAGGCGTCTGTATGTGGCCATGAAAGACAACCTGCTGTCTACAAGTCTGGATGATATAACGCAGAACCCACGCAAGGTCAGAACTGGAGGATGCACACACATGCGTTCACATACCATTTGAGGCAAGGTTTTATACAAACATGCGGAAGACATACTCATGGAATTGTGCAAAGTGAACCACACGAAATACCAACATATGTAAACAGTCAAATCAGACCTAAATCACATAAGATATGTATGGCATTAGGGAGAGAGCTACATACCTCTGAGAAATGTGTGATATCCTGCCCTCTGCATTTTATAGAGTTTTTTGCTTCTTTAGAAGCATTGAGAATTACAGCAGTATCTTCAACTCTGTCCTCCGTCTTCTTCATTTATTTGTTTGTTTCACCACCAGGTAAAAACATCCAATAACATTTATTTTTGTTAGAGAGATCTGCTTTTGGCTTGATGATGTTGTCCGTGTTAAAGGGCTTAATATGTGTCATGTACTATCATGATAATCAAACCAGAAGAGAAGGTCTGTTTTTACAGATCTGTCAGATGGAAAAAAAGTTATATGATGTATACCACTGCAGTCAGTGAAGTCCACCATGAGCCGCTTCTGTGCAGCTGTGTAGCTCTCTCTTGTACCACCTCTATTTTGGTCATTTTTTGCCATGTGGAGTTTGTATCTAACACCACATAACATTTACTGCCGTATTTCCACGTCTCCAAGCATGCTTTGCACAGTGAAGAAGCTACTTGCCTCAAAATACTGAAACAGAATCAAACAACTCTCACTGCGTTTCACACAGGTGTACTGATGCAACTAACTGTTTAGATGGAATATAAGATGTTAAAATGTGTGTCTTATCCACAATTTCCTCTGCATGCAGAACGGCACGGCAGCGATTTTCGCTGTCCGCCAATTCCTACCGGATGCATTTGTGAGGCGAATTTCGTGGTGAATTTTGGACAGCGGGAATCATGAGGACTAACAAGAACACGCGAATTCACATGCAATCTCGCAATAACAAGTTGTGTCTATCAAGACAGCCACATAACCGTATAAGCAGTAGATTGTGTCCTTCCAGAGGAGGAAATCCACTCTGTCCAGACAACATATATTGTTACTAATTTGTAATGTACCATCCACTCCCATTACTCCTGCTATGGAATCCCACTCCAAATCCTTTTTTTGAATTGATATGTCCTTATATAAGGGATTAGATGGGTCAAAGATTATTTCGTGATTTTAAACTTCCAGAATCAGCATCTCAACGGGGGTGTCAACAGGGTGAAATGACATCGGAAAACCTTTGACTTGTTCATCCCCGCCCACGTTTGCATGGTGTGAAATATGATCTGTCCAAAACACGTAGTGTTTTATTTTGAAAAAAAGCTAGATATATTATTTTGTGTCTGTGTCTGACTCCCTTTCCAGCACGGGTTAATCTGTGCTGACTTTATGCGACATGCTGTGGTGCCTGGAAAAAATAGAACCCTGGAGACTGGCTATGAAGCCTACAAAACCACAAGGGGACGGAAAGAAGCCGGTGAAAATAGACACATTAACTTGAATGGGAACGATCAGCGGCGATCGGCACTGACTGCCTTTTCGCCGCATGTGGTGGAAATTTGGGGTTTTCCACAGAGACTGTGTACTACATGAATGTCATGATGGTGACATCACCCATGTGATTGTAATCCATAAAGAAATGCTGACTCAACCTCACTTTCAGCAGAGGTTGCCTTTAGCCAACAGCCCTAGTGTACCAAAATTAAATCTGCATGCCTGTTAATGGTAACCTGCAAATACTGCAGATGTTTTATCTCAAGCCAACAACAGAGTCTAAGATCTTCACACAGCGCTAATGTTAAGAAGCTTTAAACCTTAAGGCAGGACGCATATGGCCAGCTCTGCCCTGTCCTGATTCAGCTGGTCAAGTTTACACACAACATATGTTGCCTCTCCTACACAGACTGAGCTAATATCACTCATCAGACTGGACTTACTTTTGTTCCACAAAAACAGGTTGTCTATCTAAAAAGTTTCATGTCCGTAAGACAATCCAGTGTGATGGGAAATCTTTGACATGATATCCAGACAGACACATTGATTGTTTCCCAGACAGTCTCAAACTCACAGCAAGGCCAGCGACAGAGCTGCCTTTTCATAACTCTGCCCTGCCACGTTCAATCAATACCCTCATGTGTCAGACAGACACACCAGCTATCAGAGAGTCAAACAGGTAGGCAAGCAGACAGACAGACAGTGTGAAAGACAGACAGCAGTCAAGCAAGCCAGCCACCCACACAGCCAGGCAGCCGGCCAACAAAGGCAGATAGATAGTCATGGTTTCCTCATAACTTCACTCCATGCTGGCTGTAAACCTATATGTTTGTACATAGAGTATTTATAGTCTGTTTATTCTGCTCCAGCTTCTGAGCAGTTCTCTCCCTCACGGTGTTAAAACCACTCACAGTACCAGCTCCTCGTCTTTTTCTCCTCTCTGTTTACGTTCTCTGCCATTGACACCCAGAGATTCTTATCAGCGCGGCCTGCACGTTATCGCGGCCTGCACGTTATCCCCTCTTCTCTGTGAGTTCAAACCTCACGCACATGAATGTCTACAGTTTATTCCACCAGTTTCAGTTCCCTTGGCTTCAAGAGCTGGACCTGTAACCAGTTTCTTCAGTCCATCACAGCTCATTGCTGAACGCGACGCTGTTGCCTTCAGCTGCGTTTTCTTTGATGCAGCCAAAAACCATCACAGCATTCCTTCTGTGTGAGTCTACAGCTGGCAGCCCACATTACACAAAGGGTCACTGAAGGGATGAGTGTGTGTTGTGGCTTTTTGTTGCATGTGTGTGTGTTTTTTTCGTTGGAGCAACTTCTATTGTTTCCATTTTCTTTCTTTCGTTCTCTGTGCTGTTATTCCCCAACAAAGCGCACTAACCTATCATTTCTTAACATCACATTTACTTTGTGTCAGCTGTACAATCCTTTTTCTATATTGTGCTTAAGGCCAAATTCTTGCATGTTATATGAACTGACAGCCAGCATGCTCTTCACAGACTGGCACATTCCCTCTGACTAAGTCTATAACCTGGTGTTGGTCCTTGAGGGGTGGTCCATATTCTCATCATTTTGTGGTATTCGTAGATAAGGGAGAACGTGGTCTGATATCTTATCTGATCATCTCAACTCTGCTCTGGGCTCTGTGGGAATGACTGCATCTGGCAACCATTACTGGACGTCCAGAAGAAATGGTTTCCTAAAGGCATCATCATTTGTCATTAATCACTTTTGAAAAGCAGGTGGCACATTTTCCAGACTACAACAAAACTGGGAAATTAACCAAAAAGAGTTCAATGTCATATTCATGTTTAATGTCAGCTGACACACTTCAAGTTTTACAAAAGAACAGTTTCTGCAAATTCTGGCTCTTTTATAATATCAGTTCAATCTGTCTCGGTCTCTGAGGGAATGACTGACTTAAGGAAATAATTAGTTTAGTCATGAAGCTGCTATTTGACACTAATCTTCAGTTCTTTCTTTGTCTCTCTCAGTCTGTCTCCCTCTCTCTGGACCTCTGTGCTGCCATTATTCCCTCCAATATTGGCTTCCCATCAGAGCTTTGGACTAAATCCTGTTTGTTTTGTGTTTTTATTTTTTACTGATTGAGTTTAAGTGCACAAACAGAATGGTGAAATATGATTTGGACTACAAACGCAAGGCGTATGTTGTTTAGATTACATTAATTCTATTAGGTGAGTCAGTTTTCAAGATGATAGTCTTCTGGTGAAGTCATCTTTTCATGGTTGAGTGTCTTACCTGAAATCAGGATGAACTAATCCTTGTGAAAAAAAAAACAAAAAAACATAAGTCCGTCAAAAGGACCTGACTCTGAAACAGCATGTGGATTTTATTTAGATATGGTGGTTGCGGTTGAAAAAAGGATAAACACTGTCTACTTACCCTTGTCTACATTTTTGCCCCTTGGCTGCAGTTTGGACAAGCATAGTTTTGCTCAAGTTTGACAGGTTTCATTGTGTGTCTCTTTTCTACATTAAAGCAGTTGAAAAGTTTGGAGTTGTGTCATTTTATTTTCTGATTAGATGGTGATGAACATGACAGAGTCCATGTACAGTGTGAGAAGAATAAGGTCATAGCTGTAGGGGATGATAGCTGATATCAGAAAAAGACATAAACGTCACTAAAGGTGGTGGTGGGGTATTATGCATTTCTTTTCAGATTCCATACTTCCTTTCTGATATCTCTTTGATATCTTTATATGAGTTTCAGATAAAAAAAAGCCTCCTGTTGCTCACTCTGGTGCATTACAATATCGTTATTTCAACCTCCGACTAAAATGCTTCATTATAGCTGCAGTCTCTTTAAGCAACGTTACCCTGCTCCACTGTGGGTGTCCCCACACACGCTGTTGGAGGCAGGCTGTTACGCTTTGCTGGAAGCTCAGATGAACCATTAAGGAGAGACTATTGTGATGACATGGTTAGTGAGTGAGTCTTGCGTTTTCTCACAAGGTCCCATTTTGAGCAGTTTACATCTATTTTCTTGGATTATGCCAACATATATGTATCTCGTTATTTGAAACTTTGCATACATCTAGTATGGACACCAAACATTGAAGCTTTGCAGTTAGCATAGCAGCATAATACTGACCTCAAGATAAAAAGCAAGTCTTCTTTGATTATGTTAGGTCCAAATAATTCAAATAAAATCAAGATGATAAGTAGCAAGGGTAAACACAGATATAATTTCATTCAGAAGTTTGCTTTTACACACTGGTATATCTATGTACAGGATGCAGCTCACTTTTCAGTTGATTTATAAATATTAAAAGTGAGTCTTTAACCCCACATTTTTCAGTAAATCTGACTGACATAAACCCCAAATGTTCTGGCTTTGATCAACCAAGTCTAGGGGGTCAGAGGAGGCCTTTTACAGTCAGCGTAGTCCTTACCTACTCTCGGATGTTCCCTCCATGCAGAAATAATCCTTGGGTCTTAAAAACTACCATACATCAGAAGATTTGAATTAGCGTGTCAAAACACTTGGCCCAACAGGAACGGGTGTAATCACATGAAAAATAATGTTTTGAAATAAAATGTTATGAAAGTGATTTACATTTACAATATTACCATGGGTGTGCTGATTCAGTCAACAAGTGATGGCAGTAGTTGCATCACTGCACACACAACTGTAGCCGAAGAGTGTGTAGTCACAGTTAAGCAGTAGATTAATTAGTCATTCTGCCACCATGCTGCTCTGACAGCTTGGCTCATAAACAGGACACTGTGGTGTTGCCAGTTGGTTTTCATTTTCTCCTCCTTGAAGCTTGCTCACTCGCAAGATGTATTAAAATCAGCCGCCTTTCTTCCTCTTCATCTAGTTTAATCAGTTTTTGCTGACTCTTTCCGCCCTCTATCCTTGTAAAACACCTTTCAAAGCCAAAAGTCTTGTTTTGAATATTTCAAATGAGCTCTAAAAACAATTTTTAACCATTTTCTTCCCCTCTCTGTGTTGCCTTTATCTGTCCTCTCTGTAGCTGTCCTGGCCAGCCAGTCCAGACCGTGTCCAAGAATGTCTCATGGCTGGGAAGGATCCAGAGGTGACTCAGCGTTCGAGTCCACACAAACAAATAAACACATGGACATTGCATAAGCAAAGCAGTGTGCAAGACTACTGTGAAGCTGAGAAATCAGTTTTAGAGTCCCACAAGGAAGGAAGTATGTTAACTCAGAATCCTTCACAGATATGGATCGGTGGCCTACAGGTCAGCTCATATCAGCCGTTTTTATCCTGTCCCTCACAGAAATGTTACACTGCCACACAAGAAACAGTGTTGTGCAACTATAAAACAAGACAGTGGTACGATGGATAACAATCTAGAGCGGAACTTAAGTTATAAAGAACTGATTCATTTAGAAACAACAACAAACAAGAAGCTTCTGATACCTGCAGAGATATCAGGGTACAGTTTACCTTGAGGACAAATCTGATGCAAAGATGTGTTCACATATGGAGATGTGCATTTTGCTGTGAGGTTCGGTGCAGCAGATAGCAGATAGCTTCTGGCCTAATGTGCGTCCAAACTCGCGCAGGTCAAAAAATATTTAAATAACTTTTCTGCATATAAGAAATAAATCTTGAAACTTTCTTGATATGTTTTAAAGATTTCCTGGAACTGACCTAATCACTAGTCTTGCATGATTTACAGAGAGATCAATCAATCCATGTAAAGCTACCAGATCTGAAAGCTCCTGTAAGGAACATTTGGTTTCAGTCAGTTTAGGCGCCCCCTGTGGCCAAAGCAGTCATCAGTAATATTAAAAACACTTCTGTTACTCACAATGAGGCCTCATGCCCTTTTTCATGTGTTTGTTTCTCTTGTTTTCAGCTGGAGTGTGCCAACTTCCTGCGAGTCATGCAGCCTTTTAATCAGACTCACCTGTATATCTGCGGCACCGGAGCCTTCAACCCGCGCTGTGCTTTCATAGCTACCAGCATCTTCCAAAAGGTATTACTGCAAGAACTACATTTTTGGAAAACACTTAACAGCACTGTGTCTTTTGTTTCAGTTATTGTGAGTCACCCTGTGAGTGCTGCACATTCGCATTTCCATACCAACTAAATTCAGCTCACATTTAGTGACAAATAAGCTCCATGCAGGAAAAATACAGATGTTTAGACGAACCAGACCTCCAGCAGCAACAACAAAAGCATTTTGATGCAAATGCAAGTTGTGTTAAGGTCATTGCACATATTGGCTCCACAGGACACACTTTTGTCCCTGCCACCCACCATTCTGTGTGTGTGTGTGTGTGTGTGTTCTCACTCCCAGGCTCAGCCCCTATACACATGTCTATCTGCAGCTGAAATGTCACATTTGTGGTGTCTGCCCTCATACCCATATACCCACCCAGGCCAGTACTTGTGCCATCTGTCTGTAATATATACAATGTACCTTTTGTCATTGAGGCTGCTGCACTCTGGGAGACACTGGACACCAGAGATTTTTCAAGAGCTTTTCATGTCAGAAGTAATGTTGATGTAACTCCAGTGAGTGTTTCTCCTGAACTGATTAAGTGGTCATTTTTCAAACTGTAGGCACATGTAGGTTATCACTTTGTCAGAAATAGGTTAATGGTTCTAAATTGCCTGAGCTGTGTGTGTGTGTGTGTGTGTGTGTGTGTGTGTGTTCTTGTTTGTGTGAGGTTTTGTGCCATTTGTGGGAGTGTTTGATCAGAGACTGTGGGTGATCTATATGCGTGCAGGTCTGTGCATTCCTGTGTTCACATTTCCGAGGCTGTGTGCATGCCTGCCTGATGTTTATACCTATGTCTGTGTGTGAGAGTGAGAGTGGGTGTCAGAGGCTAACAGCTAATCCCATAAAAAGGCCATGTGTGATCAGAAAGGTTCAGACGTGGAGCTTAGAGGAGCTGGTGGTGCTGACTGATTTAAGACCAAACTTCACACATTTTCAAATCCCTCCACTTAGCCCGATTACCCTCAATTATCTGCTCAATCTGTTAGTTTGTGCATGTGTGTGTGGGAGTGTGTGTGTGTGTTACGTGCTAGCTGAGCCTGTTGAAAAGCCTTTGTAAATAGAATTAGTGGACAATTACAATTAGTATGAGAATAAATGAAAGAACAGCTAACACAATGACAGTAATGAAATAATGGATCTTCCCAGACAACTTGTCTTCTCGGGTCTCTTTCTTCTGTTGAGCCGATTTTCTCCCTGTCTGTCTGACTAACCCCTGCCTCTGTTTTCTTTGACAGTCGGAGCACCAGACTCTCTCCTATAGCCAGACAGAGTGTGGGAAGGGGAAATGTCCCTACGACCCCTTCCAGAAAACAGCGTCTGCTGTTGTTGGTAATGAATTTGAAGCTTTCACAGGATGTAGCTGGTTGTCAAAGTCCATTTTTAACAGTGTTACTGATAGATTATCAAACAGCTACACAGAAAATATTGGTTTGCTGCAGCCCGTAACTCCACCAGCTGCAGAATCATCAGAGCACAAGTCTCTTTATATTAGAGTCAAGAAATTAAATGTTCCTGGGACATCATCTTGAAATGATTTAGTCCTTTATTTAAGACTGGGAAAGATGTTTTGTCTGAAATATTACTTCTAATGTCAGTAGCTGATATACCAAGCAGCAGCGCTAATCAGGATGCATTACGATCTCACATTCAGCTGCTGTTATAACTAGAGTTATATCTGAATCAGAGTCATTGCATGTTTGAATACAAGAGGAAATATTGTGACTTAAAACTTTGAAGAACCTCTACACTAATAGTTATCAGTGGGTTAGGGATACCCTCTATTTTAGAGTGATCAGTGTGAGTGATAATTCGATGTGACCTAAAATCCTCAGTAAATCCAACATTGATCACACTTTGTCTTAAATAATGGAAAAAGGTGTCTTTGTTTTGTGTAGATGGAGAGCTCTTTGCTGGGATTACTTCAGACTTCATGTGCAGGGACTCCGCCTTCTTCCGTAGTCTCGGCAACCGTCATGTCATCCGCACCGAGCAGTATGATTCCACTTGGCTGCAAGGTAGGTCTAAAAAATTGATATCAAAAACCGAAATAGAGAAGTAAGAAAGTCCCTCCTTCTGAAAACAAATGCTGAAACGGAGCAAAAGTCACTTCTTATAACCAAATTTGATACAGAAAGATATTACTTTAAGATAAGAAAGTTGATGCTGTGTCACTTTGGAGTTTTCACTTAGCAGTAGTCATTTTTATTGTGAAAATACCAGATAAAGAGGTTAATATGTCAGTTATGTTTGCACTATTTTGAAATCAGCTTCAAGCAGCTGCTCTAAAATACATAGTTCATCTGTTTCTATGACTGTTTCTTATTTCTTACCCCAACTTTAATCCATGAAACATATTCCTCTGGCTGTAAAGTGAATGTTCTGAACTCCACTGAAGGTCTTTTGCCCTGAATCTTTATCACTTGAACCATCTCCTGCACATCCAGTTGGTGTTTATCAGGCCAGTGTGTCAACGTCTGCTCCTGATAACAACTAGATACATGTTGATTCTTTCTGCTATTTGTAAACTAAAGTGAACCTTCATCGTCCCCTTGCTCTATCTCCATCACTCTGTATACACTCTGACATATGAGATTTATATCAACCAAGGCTGATGGCGTTGCAGTTGATTTTATAGTTTACCTGTCTCCCTGTCTCTCCATCCAGATGCCCAGTTTGTGCGGGTAGCGCCACTGTCTGAAACTGATAACCCAGAAGATGATAAGGTCTACGTGTTCTTCACTGAGCGTGCTCAAGAGGCTGAGGGGGCTGCTGGGAAGGTTCTTTACTCCCGAGTAGCCCGAGTGTGCAAGGTATGGAGTGTGTTTGTTGAGAGACAGATAGAAACCAGGTTTGTGTGTGTGTGTTTGTGTGTTTTTGTGTGTTTCATATCACAAACTGTCTTCATGTAGTTTATGTAAACCTGTTTGCCTGAACAGGTACAGTATGTACGTGCCGCACACTGTGTGACTGCGTCTGATAATGTGTGTTTACATAAAAAGAACTATGTGTGACTAGATGCTTCTTACAGCTCCTATAGATACAACTTTCACACCAATGCAGAGATCTGTTAATGTTTCTCACTGGATCTGTGCCTTCACTGTTCTGCTGCTACACTTTCTTTTCCTCTACTGAACAACTCTGAAACTGTCTCTTCATGTATGACCAAATTACTGCATTTGCAAACATGACTTGGCATTTTATATTATACATTATGTTCTTTAAGTATTTCAGTGCTGCATGCAGATCTTTGATCTTGGACTAATGAGCTACACATACCTTCATAGTTCCCCCTTTTCAATTTCAGAGACTGAGGAACTGTAGAGGAAAAAGTGTTTTCAACAAAGTCCACAATGTGCAGTGTCTGTGCAGCTGTGAAGCTCTCCGATCCCTTTTTGCTCTCCTGTAGCATTTGTTGTGGTGAGGTTTGGGCAGACCATACAAGTACATGAGATTTAACTATGGGACTGACCTGCTGCGAGCAGGCAATTTTGTTAGGACTCTGTTAATTTTCAAATTAAAAAGTTATTTTTTGATTAAAGCAGCACTCCACAAGGTTTATACAGTATGTTTAACAGTGAACCACTATATTCTAACACATTAATACATTTTTTTACCTTATCTATCATCAAATAGTATGAACAAAGAGAAAGTGAAAAAGGAACAAAAAAAAAAAAGCAACAGACATTCCAAGACATGACAAAGGCACACATCGAGATGATATAAGGACAAATATATAAGAAATATAGAAATGAAAAGATAAATAGGTGAATAAATTAAAATAAATAAATAGATCTAACAAAGAAATAAAGTATAAAAAGAAGAAGATTAAAAGTAAAATAATAAAAAAAACACATTAATACAGTGAAACCTAATAAGGGAGAAAAATGACAGAAGTGACCGGTGAGCCGCATGTGTGTCCAGTGTGGGTTGCACAGAGACAGGGTCACTTGCTTCTATGATCAGAAATTTCTGGGTGGTGTATTGGTCAAAATGGCGTGTAGAAAGCAGCTCACTTAGTCAATTTTAAGAAGGAGTTAAAGGTGGGGCAGGATCTGAGGAAGTGCCAGTTTTTAGGAGAAATATTGAATGTAAACAGCTCCCCTTAGCTCCTCCTCTTCCCCCCGTCTCTGCTCCAGCAAGCCCCGCCCACAAACAGACACTCCTGCTCACTCGTATCATTTCAATTAAATATAGATATAATGCAGATAAATACTTCAGATAATTACAAATGGAGCCCGGTCAACGTGAAAGTAAACAGCATTGGAGCTACTGACATAGTCCAGGACCCGAGGTAAACAGTTGAGCTGCGCTACAACACGCAGAAGGTCCCGTTTGACAAGAAACACTTCTGTTACACTTGGCTTACTTTGTTAAAGTGGTTTACCAAAATTTTAAATGTTGACTACACAGACATAACAAAACACAGTGATATTATATTACCAAATGTCATCAATAACTAATAGCTACTGACTGATATTATAAGCTTTTTTGTATATACACCACAAAAAAAGATGCTTCTTTAACAGAATCCTGCCTACCCCACCTTTAAGGTACGCCTCATACACCAAATTTTATGGTAGGTGTTAAGTAGTGAAATATTTGTCTTTTGCAGTACATATACATTACACCAGCCTGTAATGTGAAGTCATGTGCAAGCATTTTATTTGGAAAGAAATTTCAATTGAAAACCTTTATAAACTAAAACTGTCAGAGCTGCAAAAACCATCATAATTTGTGACTTCAGTCATTGGCCTTGTTGTCTTTAATTGGATCCCTGCTGTCTTCCACTGAAAGGATAATCATTCAGGGGTTTACATGAAAACTTGAAGAAGTCAGATCAAACTTCAGACATTGTTGCAGTTTGGATTAGAAAGATCAGACTGGATGAAAGCAACCTAATCTTTTGTTCCATTTTGCTGTAGAATGACATCGGGGGCCAGAGGAGTTTAGTGAATAAGTGGAGCACCTTCCAGAAGGCTCGTATGGTGTGTTCAGTCCCAGGACCTGACGGCCTACAGACACACTTCAATCAGCTGCGTGAGTACAAAAGTCATGTGACATAAAACATATTACATGAACAGTAAAACAAATCATATCAGACAGGCCTGAAGAACCGGGCTCGTCAACAGCAGGACCTTTGTCTCTGAGATCTTCATAAAAGAGAAACTGGATTCAGAGACTTAGCCAGGGTATGTGTGTGTGCGTGCATGAGTGCGTGCGTGTGTGTAAGTGTGAGACATTAAGAGCTGTAACTTCTTCCCCAAATGTTTTGAGGTTACAGAGGAAAGTTTGTACACTTCAGAAAACTCTGAAGAGCTCAGCCAATGTGTGTGTGTGTGTGTGTGTGTGTGTGTCTGTTGGTATGCATGGCTCCACTGTTGCCACGGTGATCAACAGCCCTGTCGGTCACCTTGGGTTCGTCTTCGTGTCTCAGCCTTGGTAACCATGGCAACTAGCTAACATTCAATTGCTGTGGGTTTTATTCATTATCAAGGATTTGTGCCACTGTCCTGTTGGCTCAGTGTGTGTGTGTGTGTGTGTGTGTGTAAGTGTGTGTCAGGAGCAGGTTCTTGTAGGCGTTACTCTTTTTATGTATTTTGAGCAAATTGAGCTGAAAGCGTCTATCTGCTCTCTGGGTAGCAGTTGGAGGTTCCTGTATTTCCACGGAGGTGTCCTTAATCACTGAGTGTTGTATTAGAATTTTATCTAATTCTAGTACATATCAAGTACCTGTGATGATTTTTTTGAGTGTTATTTAGATGAATCCAGTGACATTAGTCTCTAAATCAGAGAGCCAAATGCACTGCAGCACTGTCATTATGCGTCGAGGGGCTTTTGCATCACACATCTGATTTAAATCTTGTGCAATCACCTAAAACATCACTTAAACCCAGACTCTTTCACTACATGGCAGACTGCATGCTTGAATTATGAGATTTTAATATGTTGATTCAAAAACGTTCCCCCTTGCCTTTTGAAAGAGCACCATTATTCAGGAATCGGTATTTGGTGAGATTTGATCAGAGGACCAGTCTGGAGATGCCAGCAGAACTGTCAGCTACCTCTGTGTGAAAAGATACATGATCACCTCTCAGCTGCATCTCTCTCCTGTGTCATATTGCTGTGCTGAACTTTAGTACAACGATACTACTGTTTCCAACAGGGTTATTGCCTTAAAACTATGGTCTAAGATCTGAAAACCAGTTTTGCTGTTTAGACAGATTTGAAAATCACAGCCTCCCCCCCATTCAATCAGCAGCAACGCTAGCTTCGAAAACAACTCAGGATGTCTAGGTCGGATTCACAGATTCACAGTGCGATCAAAACCATATATTAGCGGGGCGAAGCGGGTCTGGTGTCGCCACTGCTAGCAGGTCAGAGCAAAGCCGATTGTGGGTGAGGCTTTACCTTTCTTGGCTTGTCTTCACCAGCTCAGTTTACAATGCTCAAGATGCGTGGCTAACTTAGAATAGAATAGAATAGATAGAATATTCCTTTATTGATCCCCAATGGGGGAAATTTTTTTGTCACAGCAGCTTCACAGACAAAGTGCAAAAATGCAGTTATAACAATAAAGATCGTATATTAAGAACTTAAATAAATGTTCTAATTAAGAAAAAATTTAGAAAAGAAAAAAGGGAGAAGAAAAATAAAACTATATACAATATACACAATTTAAGTACCAGAAAAAAAGTGGTGGTGTGAGTCCAGTTTTATTGCAGTTCATTGTAAAGTCTTATTGCAGAAGGGAGGAATGACCTGCGGTAGCACTCCGTCTTGCAAGGTGGGGTTCACAGTCTGCTGCTGAAGGAGCTGCTTAAGAACCCCACAGTCTGGTGCAGTGGGTGAGAGGGATTGTCCATGATAGATACAAGCTTTGCTAACATCCTCCTCTCACCCACCTCCTCCAGGGAGTTCAAGGAGAAGTCCAGGACAGAACTGGCCCTCCTGACCAGTCTGTTCAGTCTCTTCCAGTCCCCCTCGGTGCTCCCTGCCCCCCAGCAGACCACTGCTTGAAAAAGTGCAGATGCTACCACAGAGTCATAGAAAGTCCCGAGCAGAGTCCTGCACACTCCAAAGGACCTCAGTCTCCTCAGCAGGTGGAGACGACTTTGTACAGGATGTCTGTGTTTGTTGACTAGTCCAGTTTATTGCTGAGGTGGACACCCAGGAATCTATAGGACTCCACCATCTCAATGTCCAGACCCTGGATGTTCACTGGAACAGTCTGAGGTGTCCTCCTCCTGTGGAAATCCACGACCATCTCCTTTGTCTTACAGGCGTTTAGCTGGAGGTGGTTTGTGCCACACCAATTGACAAAGTCAGTGATGACAGTCCTGTATTCCCGCTCATCCCCTTACGATACACATCCCAGAGTTGTAGCTGAAGTCCGCGGTTTACAGGGTGAAGAGGAAGGGGGAGAGCACTGTCCCCTGTGGAGCCCCCATGCTGCAGACCACCATGTCGGATACACAGTTCTGAAGCCTCACAAACTGTGGTCTGTCTGTGAGGTAGTCCACAGTCCATGCAGTTAGGTGACAGTCCACTCCCGCCCTCTCGAGCTTCCCCCTGAGCAGTGAAGGCTGGATGGTGTTGAAAGCACTGGAGAAGTCAAAAAACATGACCCTCACAGTGCTGCCGGTGTTCTCCAAGTGAGCCATGGACCTCTGCAGCAGGTAGATGACAGCGTCGTCCACTCTAATGTTTGGCTGGTACGCAAACTGCAGAGGATCCAGATGAGAGCTCACCAGGAGGCGGAGGTTCCTCAGCACAATCCTCTCCAGAGTCTTCATCAGGTGAGAAGTGAGGGCCACAGGTCTGAAGCGGTTGGGCTCCCTGGGGTGTGCTGTCTTGGGGACAGGAATCACGCAGGAAGTCTTCCACAGTGTTGGGACCCTATCCAGACTCAGGCTCAAGCTGAAGATGTGCAGTAGCACCTCACAGAGCTGGTCTGCACAGTCCTTCAGGAGTCTGGAGCTGATGCCGTCAGGACCCGTGGCTTTCCTTGGCTTCATCTTCCTCAGCTCACTTCTCACCTGGTCAGCTGTCATGGAGAGGCTGGGGGTGGTGCTGGAGGGGGTGGTGGAGGATGAGTGGATGGGGGGTGATGATGCCAGTGCCATAGAACTGAAATGGTGTACAGAAAAAGCAGACGGGTCGTTGGTTTGATGAATCGGGGGAGGAGTGGGAGCATAGTCAAATCTATTGAAGAACAGATTTAGCTTGTTGGCCCACTCCCTGTCTCCTGCTCCAGGTCCCCTCTCGTGGCCCCTGCTGTGACCTGAGATGGATTTCAGGCCTCTCCAGACCTCCCTTGCGTTGTTCTGTTGCAGAAGGTTTTCCATCTTGGTCTTGTAGCTGGCCTTCCCCTCTCTGATCTTCTTCTTCAGCTCCTTCTGCACCCTCCCAGCTCCTCCCTGTCCCCGGATTTAAAGACCCTCCTCTTCTCCTTCAGGAGGACTTGAAGTTCAGGGGTCACCAAGGGTTTGCTGTTGGAGAAACACTACTTTCCTGGTGGGTACGGTGTTCTCAACACAGAAGTTTATTCAATCTGTGATGCAATCTGTCATGGTGTCTATGTCATCACCATGTGAGCCGCACAGTACATCCCAGTCTGTGGTCTCAAAACAGTCCTGCAGAACCTCAGTGGCCTCCTCAGACCACCTCTTAACATACCTGATGGTGGGGGGTTGTTTCTTCACCATAGGTATGTAAATGGGCTGCAGTCTTACCAGGTTGTGATCTGAGCGGCCCAGCGGGGGAGATGTATGCATCCTTGGTGTTTGCATACAGTTAGTCCAAAGTTTTATTGTCTCTTGTTGGGCAGTTTACAAACTGGCTGAAGGAAGGGAAAGTGGAGGAGAGACATGCATGATTCAGGTCTCCAGAGATGATGATCAGAGACTGAGGGTGTGATGTTTGTAGCTTGGACACTTCACTATGAAGGAGTTCACAGGCTGCAGCAGCATCAGCCGAGGGGGGGATGTAAACAGTTAACGCGATGACGTGCGAAAACTCCCTCGGCAGGTAATATGGCCGCAAACTCACAGCCAGCAGCTCAATGTCCTCAGAGCAGCGCTGCTCTTTAACACTGACGTGCCCAGCATTACACCATCTCTCGTTCACATACACCGCTATCCCGCCTCCTTTCCTCTTACCACTCTCCCTCACGCTCCGGTCCGCTCTGACGAGATGAAATCCAGCCAAAGTTATGAGTGGGTCCGGAGTGAGTTTGTTCAGCTATGACTCCATGAACATCATGAGGCTGCACTCCCGGTACTCCCAATGCAGCCGAGTCAGCGCTGTGAGCTCTTCCATCTTGTTGGGGAGAGACCTCACGTTTCCCATGATGATGGACAGGACATTTGGCTTAAAACGTCTCCGCTTCGCCCGATGCTGAACTCTGGCCCTGCATCATCTCCTTCTCCTGCGGAGCTTGGCGGGGATGTCTGGTCTCTCCCACGAAGGTGGCCGGGTTTGGCACAGCGCCAACAGCTGTTCACGGAAAAAAACAACAATAAGAAGGCAAAAACGTAAACTCTCGTAAACTTGCTGCCACTCTCAGGGCGCTCAGTCACTAACTTATGCTAAAATCTATTGACAGAGCCTACCCGTTCCAACCAACAACGTTCAGTCATTCGCCTCCCTTACTCAGTTACTCAGCAGACATCTCCCACTGTAGTAAATAAAGTAATTACCTGTTCAACAGAAATTTGGCTGCGTCAGTTTTCAGTCCCAAGTCCTTCTGCAGCTTTTTCCACCGGCCGTACATTTCTCCATTGTAGACTCTCCGTTGGCACCTGTATCGCTCACATTTCTTCCTTACTTCAGCCTTTTCCTCGAAACTTTTATGTTTCCTTCTCTTCGATGTGGAGGGTAACAGAAGCAGCCTCCTAGTTTCAGTGTTTGTCTTCTCCATTACGCCTCAGTAGCTGTGCAGCTAGCCAATTACATACGTGAGGGGGGTAGTGGGGAGGAGGCGGGACCATGGGCAGGACGGTGTGGAGCAGGGGAGACAGGGGATTGGATGGACTCACGTACCACTCTGGTGGTTCGGATTGGTCGATTGTTGTGCCTTTTTGCAGCAGATATACTGAATGGATTTTTTTTCGTTCTTTTTGATCTTTATATTGCATAGATGGGACCACAACGGCCTCCAAATCCAGGGTGATGTGCTGAGAGTGGTTTTGGTGCCACTATAAGTGACTTGCACCTACCTTGAAGCATGCTGATCTTCTTGGTCACGAAGAACACATTCAGGAGTGATCATGTTTGAGAGCCATGCTGTTGTCAGTTTAATGGAGATGGTTTGAGCAGCTTTCATTTAAAAGCTGATAGCAGAGGATGGTTTCGATCCATCGACCTCTGGGTTATGGGCCCAGCACGCTCCCGCTCCGCCACTCTGCTGACAGTCACCCCAGATGGGACTCGAACCCACAATCCCTGGCTTAGGAGGCCAGTGCCTTATCCATTAGGCCACTGGGGCTCACATCAGTGTCATTGACACAACACAAACAATAGACGTATATTGTCCAAACGTCCAGCAGAGCAAAAATGGAAAGAGAGAAAGGGTTGGGGCACATAAAGCAGTGAGCCAACATAATGTGAAGAGCACTGAGAACACACAATGTGAGACAAAAGCAGACATATAGTGAGGGAATAAAGCTGGAGCTCAGCAGTCTTTGCCTGAAGCACAGACGGTTTTCTGCTTTGTCCTCTCTGAAAACCCACAGACTGTGTCAGTGTATTCAAAACTGAATGGAGTCATGCTGACAGCAGCAAGAGAGACTGAAAATGCTTCACATCTAATCAGACAGTTCAATATTTAACTTTCCTCAGCAGCAACAATTAGGAATATGACTGAGGGGAAACTAGTCCAGTGTCACTACTGCTACTGTGACATGAAAACTGAAGCAAAAGATCCAGCAGTCAGAGATCTGCTGTAGCTCTGTTATATCCTTTAACCACTCAACACAAACCTCTCCCTCTCTCTCTCTGTCTCCCTCTCTCTCTCTCTCTCTCTCTCTTTCTCTCTGTCCTCTCTCTCTCTCTCTCTGTCCTGCCACCCCTGATATTTAGAGTGATGCCGTCTGTCCTCTATTATGCATCTGTAACTTTTACTACAATGCTAGCTAAGCAGCCCTACCATTCCCTCTGAAAATGTTTTCCTGTACAGACAAGCCATAAGAACGGCTTAACAGTCCAGCCTAAAATGGGAACCATAAAAGTGGATATCATTATGTGGCCCCCAGCAGCTAGTACTCAGATGTTGGCACAGCTATGAAACCACTTGGTTGTCTCACCTTCAGACTTCCTCTCCACCACTCATCTGTCTGTCATCTTGATTCGATTTGAACCAACAGACCTTGTAGCCCTCTCTTCATCTATGAGGCCACTGGGGCTCAAATGCTTTTACTGCGGCTTAGGAGAGAAGCATGTGAGAGATGCAGATAGAGAACAGTGAAACAGTGGTGGAGAATTTTTGAGACCAGACTGGTTCCTTATCTCAGCTGTCTTTGTAAACAGACAGCTCTCAGGGTAAAAGACGTGACTCCTCTCTTCACACACAAACACACACACAAATATGCACACCTTGGAGCTGTTACACACATCCTCCAGCCTCAGCCTGTCTGTGTACACAAGGAAGTTCTGACTTGTTAGGAGCATAAACATTTCTACCCAGCATGCCTCTGACCACGTTTTTCACAGCAGAAACACAGCAGATAAGGGTCCATGAAATTTGTTTGTGAATGCACTTCAGACACACAGGCATACAGACACAGACACACACAAACACACACACGCAAAACCACAAACCCATATGCAAGAGATCAACCTGTCAGGTTAAGAATGCTCTCAGAGTGGTGTTTATGACATGCTCCACCACACAGAAACACTACAAATCCCAGAAACCCTCAACTGTCTGCGGGTCCATAATAGCAGGACACCTGGATTTCACTCTGTGTGTATGTTTGTGATAATGGTTTCATTTTTCTGAATTTGAAGAGCACAAAAGAGAGAAAACAGTCACCTGACCTAAATCAAACAGGAGCCGCCCTGGGAAATGTAAGGATAAGCTCAGGAGAGGTCTGAGTATTTGGGTTACAATCTGTGAGGAGGTTTGATACACATCCATCCTGATTCTAAAAATCATACAGCTCATTAGCTTGACTATACATGACGATAAATCTGAATTAAGCATATTGTTTTTGAAAGATTAACACTGATTTAAAGCTCGCTAACAATTGCTCTGCTTCAGTGAGCACAGACAAATCACTGCTCTGTCTCTTGGTACATTTTTGAAGCTGTTACATATTTGATACAGTTTTTTAAGCAGCTTCACAGACTGATTTGTTTTAATGAGCATGTAGATGAAAATTAACTGACTTGTGAGTTTGCAGGTTGTGATTGATTTGTGATGTGTCATGCTCTTCTGTTGATGTAACTCACTGGTGAAATTGCGTGTTAAGCATCACTGAACTACAATTACTCCAAACCCAACAGTCAGGTTGAAGTAGTTCCTGTTTACTGTTTCCTCTCTGGTGGAGGACAGGCGTCCCTCCTGAAACCAGTCAAAGGAGTCCAGCTCACAGGAAAGGACTCTCTGCTGTTTACTGCTGCTTCCCCTGTTGTGGTTGTTGTTGTGCAGAAGAGACATGCTATGAGGTTTTGGAGTAGGAAGAAGATAGTCCTTTGTGGCCAGACACAGTGTCATAACACCAGAGACAAAGAGGTATTTTCATGCATTTTGAGTGTCTATTTCTGTCTGTGCGTGTAAGATTTAATGTTCCAGACATAAGACAGCACCCATTTCCTCATCACTACATCACCCACTGCTGCTGGAAAGGAATAAAGAAGTGCTTTTGTTGTGGAGGACGTCACAGCAAAAGCGTGGGACTAAACCGACAAATGAGTGTTGCTTCTAAATAAGTGGAAGTGAGGAGAGAAAGGAGGACACAGAGTATGAAGTATACTTTTTATTTCATAGGAAAACTTTAACCAGTGGGGCTCAGGAAGCCAAAGAAAGTCTGACAAACTACAGAGGCTCGAGTTTGAAGATGACGTCTGCTAAGACTAGGGAGAAATCATTTGGATGATTTAAAAAATTTATAAACAGGGGAGGAATTAAACAGGGAGACAAAGGTTAAAGTTAGGACATAATATACTGCACAGCTAATGTCACTAACCAGGTGAGAAGTGCAAAAAGTTTGGATCCAAATCAGGGATGTGTGTGTTTAGTTGACTAAAAGATTTAACATCCTCATCATCCCTCGGTGACACAGGGTTAATGATTTAGTTTTAGTAGGCCTACATAATTTTTTACTTTCACTGAAATGCCACATTTACCAATGGACATAGCAGCACAGAGATGAGGGTAGACCTGAATACTGACAGGCTGAAGCAGCAGGAAAACACTGCTGAATGGGTTTAAAAAGAATGAAAAAAAAAACAACAAACAAACAAAACAAAACTGAACTTCATCTGTGGTTCAAGAAAGACTATAAAGATGAAGACTCATGCAATGGTGGGAAAGATTCACAAGCGTGACATGCCAAAGGGATTCCTCAGCACATGATTTCAGCATCAATCGGCACCACAGTCTCCCCAAAGTGGATCAGAAAGTCCAGAGAACTTTACAACACAATGAATAACAACAGCAACAACAACAACTGCGGGGACTCTCCAGAGGCCTGTACTATGAAGCTGGATTAACACATCCAGGGTAACTCTGCCACAACTCGCTCAATTTCACCAGATCTCCGTAATGCTGATCAGCTGTACTACAAGGCAGGATATCAACTCCTTAACTGAATTAAATTGTGGCCAGTCTAGATCTGTACGCGCACAGGTAAACAGGGCGAGGTCAGTGCCACCAAACCAAACTCCACAATGGAGAAGGCTGTGCGTCATATTTCACCGCCGGGGAACAGAGCACTATTTTCCACAAATATGAGGAGTAATATTGCATTAAACTGGTATTTAATTATTGTTAAACAGTGGACTGGAGCGATGCCTAACCAATGCAAGCTGGTCGTGCTAGCTCTGCTAATGTTAGCCTCTTTTTGAAGCAAACCAACTGGACTTCATTTACTATCAGACTCTGAGATACTGTGCTCATTTTCATCTGCTTTCTGAGTGTTTTTTTACATCTTGACTTGTCAAATAGTGCCGTTAAATTTGTGTTCACATAACCACGACACCCGTTGCTTAAAGTGATAAGTATATATAATCATTTAGGTCAAAGTATAAATTAAACTTAAACTATTATGACAGGTAGATAAAACCTGGCTCGTTTGCAGAGCATTAGATTAGACAGAACTTTATTGATCCTTTTGGGAAGGAAATGTCAGCAGCAACAGAAAAAACAAACAAACAAAAAAACCAGAATGATCAAATAAGTAAGAAATAAAAATACAATATATATCAAGAATGAAAATATTAAAAAAAAAACAGATAAATTGACTATTTACGTATCAAAAGTAAGATATAAAGCTATGGAAATTTGCACATTACTGTTAAAACAAATACTATAACTACTACTACTGTTGCTGCTCCTTCCCATCCTCTGTCCTCCTGTTACTCCTCCTCTCCAGAGAGGAGTTGTACAGTCTGATGAAATGATTTGGCACTTGGCAACCACGGCCTGATAAAACATTCACAGGAGTTTTCTGGATGTTGAGAAGACCACAGCCTCCTTAGGAAGTACAGCCTGCTCTGTCCTTCCCTGTACAGGTGGTCCATGTTTAATGTCCAGTCCAGCTTGTTGTCCAGCCACAGTCCAAGGTACTTATATGAGCCTACAGCCCCCACCTCCGCTCCTTCAATCAGAACTGGCCTTGACCTTGGTCTGGGCCTCCGAAAGTCAATGACCAGCTCCTTGGTCTCCTTGGAGGTGTTGAGGTACAGATGGTTCCTTTGGCACCCGGCAGCAAAATCCCTCAATAGGCCCCTGTACCCCTCCCCTCTGTCCTACCTAATTCACCCAACGATGGCTGTGTTGTCGGCGAACCTCTGAATGTGACACAGATAAGAGATGTAGCAGAAGTCTACAGTGTACAGAGTGGTGAGGGGAGGGGCCAGCACCGTCCCTGTCCCTATGTACTTCAACAAGTGATTTGGTATTTTAAATCAGAAGTTCAGGCAGGCGACAGAGTACAGGAACTATTCTGCCTTTGCTAATTGAATAAGTCAGTGAGAAAGGATAAGCTAAATCTATGTTTTTCAGGAATTTGTCAGTTTGGGGAGCTTTTGTTGTCCAGTGTTAAAGAATTGTAAAATGTTGAAATTTCCCGTTTTTCTTGGAAATATGCTTTTAGTAGAAGACTTCATATTGACCCCACAGCCATGATGGATGAAAACTGAGTTCAGGCCCAGCAGGTGTGACCTCTCGAAGAAGTTGATGTTTCATAGGCTGCATTATCTTATGTGGGGGCTCTGTTGGCATCGGCTGATAATAGACTGTGAAAAAGGGGGATTATGTCTCAGTCTATTTATGTACCAAGGATAGAGGAGTTATATGTAACACTGAGCCAAAAGGACGCCTTACCCTGTCAGACTCATCTGACGAATGCTTTCCCACTATTTACTGTGTAATTACCTCATCAACAAAAACACACTCTGTTTTCAGGAGAGAGAAAGCCTGTTTTGTGATACTGAATATTAAAATTAATCATGTTCTGACTCCTCCATTCAGCTTTTCTAATTTATCATAGGTTGTTTGACAATGTTTGAATGGAAGGCCAGTTCATCAGAAGGAGAAACAGAGGAGGAAGTTAGAAGGGAGAAGAGGAGGAAGGATGAGAGAGAGGGCAACAGAGGAAAGATAAAGTGTTACAAGTAAGAGGAGGGTAGCGGTTACAGCACGAGGTGACGACTAGGCAAGAGAAGAAAGAAGGAGGAGCAGATGATGAAAAGAGAGGCAGAGAAGAGTAAGAAAGAGAAGGTCAAGGGGAGAGAAGTGAGAGGAGGAATTGCTTACTTGGAAAAGGAGTGGGAATAAATTTGGACAAAGGACAAAAGAAAAACAGAAAATGAATGGGATGATGAAGAAAAGGTGGCTGCTATTTAAAGGTCAGCTGAGACCCCTGAAGTGGAAATGAACTTGGCATGGGCAGAGTCGGCCTTTGTTTAAGCAGTGATGTGGGACAGCTTCTCACTCTCCATGTTTCCCCTGAGCTGCAGTGGCTTGAACTTGACAAAGGGGCAGGCACGCTAAAGTGGAATAAGGTGACTAATTAGCTGCAGAAACCCTCACCTAACCCTCACCCTCAGCTAAACATTAATTCATTCAATTTGGCAATTACATCTGACCTTCCTATTTATACTTATCTGGTGGTTTTTATACAGACTGTCGAGGTGTCCTTATCATCAACCAAGCTGTCTTTTTCTGTCGTGTAAATTTCTCAATCCGGCATCATACCACAAACAAACTCAACAGAAGGAGGTGGGGAGGGGATTTAACATAATATCATGTCAGGGTTTGTATAGGAGACACAAGAGATTCATTTTAATCATCATTCGCTATCATGTTTATTTTCAAGACTAGTAATTCAAACCATACAACCTAACAGATTTTGACTGAGATGATTCTGTTTTGTAACTCATGGTCTACTGGAAGTTGCATGCTTCAAAATAAAAACACATTTTTACACTGCAACCTAATACAGTTAAATATCAAAATGACACTCAATCCTTCAGCAAGCCAGTGTCTACTATGAAAAGGCAGTTACAGTCACAGGGCAGATGATAAATGCCAAATTTGAATATCATAAAAAATTGACAATGACTTGCAAGGTAATTGCACTTATGGCATTAAAGGGATATTCTTGTGTAAAATTAGGTTATGGTCAAATATACTATAACATTGTGTTAGACACCCCCTCGAGAGACAAATGATGACGACTGCTTGCTTCTCTAGTTATACCGACTTTAGCAACGACTGCATGATAGCAATACACAGCAGTCTAAGTCTCCATGCGTAAACCTCAACCAAAAAGCCACTCTAAAGCCACAGATAATGCTCAAAACAGCACCTAACTTCATCAACAGTACATATAGGGTCCCAGCTGTAGTACTAGCCACCAAAATCTTTTTCAGCTTTGCCTGGTTTCTTTAGCAAAGAGACTAAACACAACTCACCCACTCTCCTCTAGCAGCTGCTTGTTTGTGGGGAAGCCCTGACGAGTTGATCACCGAGTGCAGCAGATCATTTCCATAAAGTAATAATCATCATAATAATCATTTTGTACTGCAGACGTGATAGTTCTTCTGCCTTAGCGTCTTGGTCTGATTGTATTTTCAAGAAGTAATAATCATAGATTTTCTGCTGCACTCGGTGATCGACTCATCAGGGCTCCCCCACAAACAAGCAGCTGCTGGAGGAGAGTGGGTGAGTTGTGTTTAGTCCATTTGCTAAAGAAACCAGGCAAAGCTAAAAAGATTTTGATGGCTAGTACTATGTCTGGGACCCTATATGTACAGTTGATGAAGTTAGGTGCTGTTCTGACCATTATTTGTGGCTATAGAGTGGCTTTTTGGTTGAGGTTTGTGCATGGAGACGTATATGTAAACCGCTGTGTATTGTTATCATGCGGTCAATGCTGAAGTTGGTATAACTAGAGAAGCAAGCAGTCGGCATCATTTATCTCTGAAGGGGGTGTCTAACTCGATGGTAAGGTATGTTTGACCACAACTTAAATTTACGCCAGAATATCCCTTTACTTTACACCATAACTTTACCTTGCTCTCTTCCTGTCTTTCCTTAGTTTGACTGATTGTGATGTTTTATTTCAAAGTTTTCCATGAAATATTGTGACACTGTTGTTATAGTAACATTTTATGGCCATGCTAATCGTGAGGTGACAATCTGATACTCTGTCGTATTCATACAAGCCAAATCAGCTGTAGTGGTTTAATCTTGTTTTATTCTGCATGATTGTTATCCGACCGAGGTTAGCATTCAAACACAAACTTAATTAGTTGTGAAATGATTTACACTACAGAGTTAGTAAGCATTTTTAGTGATTCATTTTAAACTGAGCATGCATGGTGGATTTCCATTGACATGTTTGTTTAGCCCAGGGTCTACGCTGGAGCACTTTGTGCGTTGAAATGACACTTTGCCACTTGGATTAGGTGGGCAAGGAGAAAAAAGTCAACACCAAAGAGAAAGTTAGAAGATCTATTTGCAGACCATGCATAAGTCATTGAAGGTGAGTGATATGAAGAAAAGCTGGAGGAGTGTGAGGCTTGATCGTAGGTCAGTGGTGTGAGGGAAGAAGAGGGGAACTAGGTTAATAAGAAAGAATGGTGCAGATAGAGAGATGGACGCTGAGGGGAGGGGCATAGAAGACAGCAGGGAGGAATTTACCAGAGGGCAGAAGGGATTGATTTTTTAATTTCTCCTCATTTATGATGAGAGACAGACTCTAAGTCTTTTAAAATGTTAAATGTATAATCAAATGTATTCATGTATTTCAAAGATATAACAGGAAACAGTTTTTAGGTCCTCAAAGGTAGAGCACTTTCTCAGATGGAGGTTATAAAATGGAAAGTTTTCCTCCAAAATAAAACAAAAACACAGAGTTTTATTGCTGATGTAAAAATACTGGTAAATCAGCTCTGTTTTTAAAATTGGCATTGAGAAAGACCCGTGAAAGTAATGGTGTCCTTTGGTGCCACCTTGGACGAGTAGACAGCCCTTAATGGATTTCTCAGTCTGTACATTAATGCTCAAATTGAAGGAGACGTCAATCTGGGGATAGCAGCAGTGGCCGGAGGGGAAAATACAGCATGTGTCATGGAGAAAAAAGATGTTGTGGCTGAAGGAATAGGGCCAATAGCTGAAGGGGTTTAGGAACCAGACGAGAGGGAGGCAGGGTTATTATGGAGAAATTACTATAAGATGGCCAGGAGGACATAAAGACAGGGATTGTGGTCAGAAAAATGACCAGGAGGAGGAGGAGGATGTAAGCATTCAGGTTGACTGGACTGGAGAGGAAAGAGGGAGCAGTGGAGAAATGAGGGGGATGAGGGTGATCGCCGAGGGGGCTACGGCCAGACAATTAGGAAGAGGAGGAGGAGGAGGAGGAGGAAGATAGGGACTGAGGCTGTAGGTCTGCGGGCTAGACAAGACTATCTGCCCTCAGGGGAACATAACCTCTTTTTTTTAGAGAGAGAGGAAGACACAAGAACAATCCTCCGGAGAAAATAGGCCAGACAGACAGATGGACAGGGAGATGGAGAGATAGCGGGGAGGGGGATTGGTGAAAGTGAGAAACAAAGAGATTGAGAGACTCTTGGAGGGATCCAGGTGGATTTGAGTGGAGAGGGAGGTGGGATGAGCACCTGATGAGCAGATAAAGAGACTGAAAGAAAAAGAGAAGAGGATTTAGACAAAGAAAAGCAGCTCAGGATGAGGGATTACTGCTATAGTGTAAGATAGTGGCCAGATGTTTGACAGTAAAAGAGAAAGAAGTTACGGTTAAAAAGATAAATAGAGAGAAAAAAGGAGGACAATAGCTTGTTTTTCATCAAGAATTGATAGTTGTTGACTAAATCTGCACTCCTTCAAACTTAAACGTATTAAATATTCAAGCTTTCACCATGACTCTCCAGGTCAGATTACTTTACGGACAGAAGCAGATTAACCTCATTATTCCTACTATCAGTGCTTGTCATAAAAAGTGTGTGTGTTCGTGCGTGCGTGCATGCGTGCGTGCGTGCCTGTGTGAATGTGGGACTTGTTTGTTCTCACCTGTTAAAGAATAATCAGTAAAATAAGTCAAACTGATGACAACTGTAGAAGTGTGGTGGAACAAATCAGTCCTGATATAAACTTGTCATGGAGCAATAAGAGGAAAGTCTGTGCTGAGCCAAGCAGAGCTGTAAATAACGTCTTCCTCTTCAAAGTCTCTAAAGGAAAATGTTGTTCTGTGGGCGTCTGCAAAGTTTAACTGTGTTTTCTTAGGAAGCCGTGTGCAGAGTGAGGTGTTGAGAAGAGAGACAGTCTGATAACTTCAAGCAGACAGCAGAAACTCAGAGCTTTCCCCTGCAGGGTTTGACAAAGTTTGAGTCAAGCTAATGCAATACTTTTTAAAAATTCAACTGAATATATTTGCTTTAACATGCAGGTGTATGCTTAGCTTAAAAAGGCAGCACCCTCACTTAACAGTAAAATAAGTTTTTTTGGCCATTGCTTGGTTCTTTGGATGTTTTAGCCATGCCAGCATTTAGGTCAAGTCAGTCTAATATGCCAACCAAGAAGGAACATACGTATATGAATAAATCATAATCTGCTTCTGGAGGCTGATTGCCATAAGCTTTCCTTTATTTTTCCCTTCTTTGATATGTGGTATATCATGTGTGTACTAAAGTTCACAATAGGGAAAGAAAGGCAAAGATAAACATATCTTTGACTTTAGGTACTAACACATTCAGACTGAAATCACCTTAAAGTCTAAAATATACAGGATCAGTATTGGGCGAATTCTGTCAGCAGCAAATAGGTTCCCATTCTAATCAATGCAGCATCGCACACAGGACGCGTATCAGCTCCGTCTCAAAAGCGTGTCAAGTGCTGCTCTGCTAAAATTAGGTGCCAAGTCTATTTTTGCCGCTCTATGCTTCGAACAGGTGTCAATCTTTAAAGAGAAGATCATTCTAGGCAGAATGTCAAGCACGAAAACCGTGCATGTCATCCGGTATTTCAAAATAAAACACCATATGCGGACTCCTGACTGTGTGTCAGTTTGTGTAGATGAGAAATACTTCCTGGTTATGGATTTATCGGTAACACAGAACAATCTGATGGTCAATCACTGATCCATGTGGACCCTAACAGGACTTTTAACAGCTAACTCTGTTCGAAGGTAACAGCACAGCAGAAAGGAACATAGTTTACTTTATTAAACACAAGTAAACCTGTAAAAACTGAAACTGTAAAATTATGTTGCTTTATCACATACAGTTGAGGCTCAACAGTCACTGAATTGTATCCAAATGAGCAGGAAATAGACCAAAGAAAGGAAAAACATCCTGTTGTGAGTGTGTTGTTTCCTCTATACTGAGCCCAGCTGACCGGGCCTGCACTACGCTGCTGCTACGCTCCAAATACGCACCCTGCTTGACAGAGCAGATATGCAACGCTGACAGAATGCGCTCAATACGGATCCTGTGTGTTTACGGCTTTAATCCATACAACTGTGGTATAACTGATGCAACTGACATTGCAGATCAGACTGTGAGTATGTGAAAATCAAATCATACATACATCCTCCCATCAGCAACAACTTGGTATAATGTTACAGATAAGCCATGAGCAGGTGAAACTCTTAGTCCTCTGGGATGGAAAAAGTTGATCAGCAATTCTTTTTTCCTCATCTCTAATTACTTGAAGATTGAAATATTATTAACCCCCTTTAACTTAGAGAAAAACAGACATGGGTTATGCTATTCATACCCTCATCAGTGTGTTGCAGCCATTCCTTTTTTCGGTATGTAAAAGGTGATTCCTAACTATTTGATAATATGTATGCTTGTAGATATGCAAATACAAGTCTCTTTTTTTTTGGTTGTTTTGAAGGAATAACACTGCAATTATCAGCTGATAAGTTATTGGAGTAAATGTTGCCCCCTAGAGTTACACGACAGCTATGGTGTCCATTATTAACCCAGTACTCCTGGCAGGTCAGTAACATTTTTGGCACAGTTTTTGGGATCAGATTAAAAAAAGTGTTTGTCCAAAAGTGAATCATTTGCATTGCTTAATGCCTTGGTAATGCATTCCCTGCTCTAGATAGAGTTATCCTGCATGGCCAAAATGCTGAACCAGCTAGCATATGTCCTCAGAACATCGTTTTCATGGTGAGCAATTTTTGAATGCTGTGTTAGCTTTTATCTCAATCTAATTTCACAGCTGTATGGCTGTTGAGTCAAAGTCTTGTGGATTTCATTTTTGAAAGCATGTCTATGTCATAGAAACCTGATTGAGTGTTTCTGTCTTCAGAAAAACCCATTTTTCTTCAGTAAACTCACTCACAGTATGTCATGAAAAAATAAATGCTGTCACAGGGAGACCTCGTCTTCTTATTTCAGTGAAAGTCATTTAAACTAAATGTAGTCCTGTAATAATTTGCCTGTGTTTTGTGTCCTTGCTTAGCTTTACAGCATCTGTAAGACATTTTATTCAGAGACATCTCAGAGATCTCACTATTCAGCCAAATGAATCTGGACTCAATGTACCCGTCTAGACTCTTTTTGACCTGCACTTTACCTTTCAAAGGCTGTGTGAAAAGGGGATTTTTTTTTTTGGTTGCAAAGTAAAAACTTCTTTTGGTTATGACCATATAAGAATCTTTACAAACCTGTGAGTCCATTTATTTTACATTCCCCGGCTCAGACATGTGTTCAGCAGACAAACTGCACCAACACTTTGTCAATGAGGCCGAACATAGCTTTGATAGGGGATGATTAGAGGTTTAGTGCATATTTGGGCTCTCTAATGAATGTTTCTTTCTTTATTTGATCACAGTCTGATATACATGTTTCCATCAGGCTGACTGTAAAAGGGTCTGTCTTTCATCAGTGCCAAAATGGCTTCCATCAGGCTCACTGTAAGGCTGTAAAACTTCGCAGGTTTAGATTTAAATCTTCTGATGCCCTTCTTTTGACTCCGGCTCATCCCTCCTCTGAAAAAAAAACTTTAGATGAAAGCATCCACCAAACAGCATATATATCATCCAGAGTAATAAAGCAAAACTGCAGAAAAAAACTCTATAAAGAGAGGACAGGGGGTAGAAAAAGGAAAAGGGAGCGATATTAAAGGATTTGATTAATGACAGGGGATGAAAAAGGAGGGGCATTCTTTGGAGGGAGGGAGCTGAAAGAAAGCTAGCTGGAAAAGATAAGAAAGAGGAGGCTGAAAAAAAGAGAAGGCATGGCAAACTGTATAATTAAATCATGGCAGAGGAGAGGGTTTGAACAGAATTAGAGAGAAAAATAACCCCACAAACTCAGAGACATCTGCATTTTTATTTTAAAGGGAGGGAGTGGTGGAGAAGACAGATCAGGAAAACTTAATAATGAAGGAGTGATATATTAAATAAGGGATGGATGGAGGGAGAGAGAGAGGGCGGGAGGAATGATAAACCCCGCAGGCTGCCAACTACGCATAGTCCTTTCTGCTCTGCCTTTAGGAGTCTGGGGATTGTATGTGTGTGTCTATATGTTCATAAGCCTCGGTGCAGTTTAACACAGCAGTGTGTGTGGGTGTGTTGGAACATGCATGTGGCCGTATGATGAGTATTGATGTGTATGCACCTCTGATTCTTTCAGTGTGTGTGGCAAGAATGAGTTTGTAAAGTGTGTGTGTGTGTGTGTGTGTGTGTGTGTGTGTGTGTGTGTGTGTGTGTGTGTGTGTGTGTGTGTGTATGTGTGCGGGTGTGTGTGTTTGTGTTTGATGAGATGAGATTAGACTTCCTGCAGGGTTTCAGTTCCGTGGAGGCCACCTGAAGCAGCAGGAACGACGAGAATGTGGGAGCACTGATATGCTTCGCTGTGTCTGTCACCACAATAACATCTTTGCCTCATCGTGGGAGAGAAGAGGAGAGGGGAGGAGGGGGAAGACAAGAGAGAAAAGAAAAGGAGGGAAGAAAGGAAACTAGGAGAGAAGAGTAGAAAAAGGCAGAGACATGCAGAAAAATCCAAACCTTATGTTCAAAATCTTCTCCAAACTTTGTCACAGCAAAGGTCGCCAAACTTTTTGTATTTCAACATCAACCTGAGTACTTTCTGAGTGAAACATCTTTAAAGAGACTCTCTGAGTGTGTTCATCCCACAGTTCTCAAGGAGCTAAGTCAAGTTGTGTATTTATAGTTTATCACAGCGTGCCACACAGAAAACAAAGGGTTCTCTTCTCTACCGCTGTGATGTGATGAGAAAAACATTCCCAGCTCTTAACTGAGACAGGAGCGCAAAAGAGAAAACTTTTGATTTAGTGTGATTTAAATAAACATTGAAAATCAGGACTTTGTTATCTGCTGCTGCTGCTGCTCTGACAGCAGGAAACAGAATAATACATGGATGACAAACCCTAAAAATATGCAGACAAAAGGCTGAAAAATCCAGTGTACTTTGACAAATATGATGTTAGCCTCATATGTATGAAGTCCTATGCAAGCCCTATAGTGAAGTTGCACAAAGGTTATAGCTGGATCAGGTTACTTGGCAAGGACTACCAGACTTGTCGTGGTCTACAAGCAGCTGGTAAGAATTGATTTATTGGCCTCTGCGATTCTATGTGGTTACTGCCCCCTCTCTGCTCATTAACAGTGTGTTGTAAAAAAAATTAACAATTAAAAATTAACCCAGACAACTTTACAGCTCTGTACCATAGACTGTATACAGATTGTATACTGCCTTCTCACTGAGTGAAGCCACTGCAAGAACAGCACCCTCTGGTGATGGGCTGCGGTATACGTAACAAATCCTGCCTCCTCCAGCAATCCCTATGGAGTTGTGGACAAACTTTAGAAATTTATTACACAGAATATAAATTTTTCTCCCCCCTGGTTGCGATGTTGACGTGTAGTTACTGTCAGACTGGTTTGTGCTCAAGTCTTTTTTTTCTGTACAGCTCCGTTTTTAAAAGTTAGTAGGGTTTCATGTTTTCTATGACTGACACCTGATACAGCCTATGGGTGTTCAAAGTTTGCATAGCTCACCCGGGGGGATACGCTGTTTGAGTTGATTGTCATCACAGCGACTCTCCCACAGAATGTGTACAACACTACAAGTGGTGGTTCCAGGAAGTGAAGAAAATCCTGAAAATACTGAAAGCAATTCGGATTCAAATTGGTATAATGACGGAAGATGTGGCCAAGTTGTCCATAGTATATACAGTCTAAGGTCTGTACCTTTTTGTACATCCAGTGAGATAGATTAGTGTTTTTTTATTTGTCCCTTCTTCTCAACACATTAACTTGGAAAATAAGAGGACTGCTCAGGCCAGTTTGAGTCTCTCTCTGAGATGTGAAGCCAAAGGCTGCATTGAAAGGTATTTACATTTTACACTGGTGGGGTAGAAGTGATCTGGCAGGACTTTTGAATGGCACTGATTAAATTGCAGATTTAACACTGACGATAGTTCAGGTCAGAACAGGACAGATTCTTGTGTAGACTGGAAGCAGGCACTTTACTGACTTTTGTGAGAGTGTTCGTCATGTTTTCTTCTCTCAACTGTTATTTGTTTACAGTGATTTAATGCCAAGAAATGTATGCATTTGTTTCAGATTTAAAGGTTTTGGCAGTCATTTTTCTACTCTTATGTTTATTGAGGGATTTACTGTTATAGTTCTTCTGCCTTAGAGGCAGTGTGCGGGTGCAAACCTAGAGGCAGTGTGCGGGTGCAAATGTGTGTGAAGTTGAGTAGAAATGTCATGTTGTGCTTCAAACGTCAGGCTTTCAGCTGGAGCAGAGGCCTGTGTTAGTGAGGGGAAATGAACACAGTGTTCTTGTAAACAAATTGCCCCATACATATTTTAAAATGATGTATTTAATTTTTTTGTTTGTGAGAAACTTTTGTATGACATTTTCCAGTCTCATGACTCCCACCATCTGTCTGCTCAATTGTCTTATTTTGTGAGGATCTGTTAATTAGTTTTTTTCTCTTCATGACATGTCACAGTCCCTTAGTAATTTGGTGCTAAAAAATTGAAGTGATCGGCACAGAGAGACATGATGTTGAAGAGCTATGATTTATTTCTTACACACAAAAAAAAAAAACCCAGGTGTTGTGTTTAATGTGTATGTTCAGATATGACTACCTATTTGATTTTGATGGACCTGTACTGAAGAGAATAAATGCCAGAAAACATATAATTGGATTGCACTCACCAAAACACCTTTCCCTAATGGCACCGCCTGGTGATCGAAACCCTGCTGGATGCCTTTGATTGAACCTTTGTGCCAGTCATGTATTTATTTATTTAGTTCTTTACTTATTTAGTTAGTGATGCTGTAGACTGATTGTCAGTCCTGGTTGTTTATATAGCACCAAGTTTTGTTATTTGGCTAAGATTTGTGACTTTAATTTATCAAATCTTTAATGCAAGCATCAGATGGTTGGTAAATGATGTATGATTACATGAAACACAGTGACGGTACCTTGAATGATGACAGATGGAACAAGCTAAAATCCACACTTCTCCTGATTACACTGCATGAGGGGCCACAGTGGGTGAGAAAAAACATCCACTGTAGTGATCTGCTGTGTTTCATATGAAGAGTGAAGACTGAGGCGTAGTGTGTGTGTGTGTGTGTGTGTGTGTGTGTGTGTGTGTGTGTGTGTGTGTGTGTGTGTGTGTGTGTGTGTGTGTGTGTGTGCGTGCGTGTGTGCGCGTGTGTGACAGCAGGTGCTGTTCTCCTGTGGTGGACTCAGTGCACATCTCTCCTGCTGAGGCTGGTTATTAATGGCTACAGATTCATTACAGGCAGCCAGTCAGCCATGCTGCCAGCATGCCCAATGCTGTTAGTCACACAGTCACACTGATTGATGCACACACACACACACACACACACACACACACACACACACACACACACACACACACACACACACACACACACACACACACACACACACACACACAAGCATATTACACCAACCTGTGCTGCCCTAATGAAAACTTCTGTCAGTTCAGACCTGATATTTTACTTTGTGTTTGATGTCTTTTTCTCGCACACACACATAGCTCTTAAATATCTCTCCTGTCATCTTTTCTCTCATTTCAGAAGACGTATTTATCCTTCATGGGAAAGACAAAAAGAACCCTCTCATCTATGGCCTGTTTACCACTTCAAGGTATGCACCTTTTTTTTAAGTGGACAGCACTGTTGTTAGTGAGGCAACAGGGGGTGCCGTCAAGCTCATAGGGGCTTTTCTGCAGTCCAAAATGATTTATCACTCCTTTTGCTGGTGTATTGAGAATACACTTTAAAAGGATGGTTTAAAAGGATTTCCCACATGGAACGAATGGACAAGCTTATTCACTATTAGTGTATGAAAACATGAATGCTGATGAAAATAATAATGATCATCATAACAACTTCAAACAAGGACAAGACAGTCTGGCTGCAGATCTCCACTGTCAGGACCCTTCTTACCAGACCTCTAATGTGAGGAACTCCACTGAGCGGGCCAGAAGTTGATTTGAAGCCTCTCAAAATAAAAGCGAGTACACCAGGAAGTACCTATTTTTGTCTCGTGCAATTATATTTTTTTCTTGGGGCTTTATTTTATGTATATTCTGTTAGTATGATTTTTTGAAAAAAACATCACCTTGGATCCTCTCAGTGGAGATGGGTCCTGACAGTGGAGGTCTGCAGCCAGACCCCTCTCAACAAGAAGGCAAAAATTAGGTCATTTCTTTTAAAGCTGTGTGTGAGTATTTTACACATCCTTTCCAGTGTCTGTGTTGTGTTGAAGAGAAGTTGTCAAACAATAGTTCCCCTAAGAACGTGTCATTTTGGACTCTTAAATTACATTCATACGACTTTTTGCCTCTTTCCATGCAAAGTCTCTGATTGAAATCTTCTGACCTGGACTTACCTTGACAAGACAAACAAAAACATCAGAGTAAAATAGACCTGAAAACAACAAAAACAATGACACAACGTGGAAAGTATGAAGCATCGATGAGGCAACATTATGCTTTGTGTTTGTATTGACTGAGTGGTAATTGTTGAAGTTGAATGTTGGTTTGAGACAGTCATAACAAAGACAAGAGGAAGAACATTTCTCTGTTCCCTCCGGGAGACAGCAGAGACAACAAACAGAAGAGTAAGACTGCATAATAGAAAGCAGACAGACTCTTAAAAACTGACAGGTGACAGATGGATGGAAAAGTTCCTGACACTCAAAAAGATAAAGGTGAGCAGGAAGAAACATATATACACACACACACACACACACACACACACACACACACACACACACACACACACACACACACACACACACACACACACACACACACACAAGAAATGAAAAATAAGCACTGGCAAGAAGAAATAGGAGAAAAAGACAGCGAGTAATTCAAATGAGCAAGTGAGAACCAAAAAGCCTGTTTGTCATTTTCTCCAAACTCACTGACGGCAGCACATGCTCTGAGAATAACTCTGTGTCTGAGGCGGACGCCAGAGCTCTACAGTAGCAACACAAGTATGACAGCATTTGGCATCGCGGAGCAGGGAGTGGGTCTGTTTCTGGGTTTTGGAAAGTGTCTGGAATCTCAGCGGGGAACGGATGAAAATCTAAAGCATCGCCCAGGGTGGGGTCTCAACCACAAACCAGCCGAGTGAAGAAAGATCATTCCATCTGGGTGGAAACTTGTCTCTCTGCTTCAGTCACGGCAGCACACACAGTGTTTTGTTCATGTTTTTACTCATTGACTTTGTCGCTCAAAAGGACCCCACTTTATGAGTTTTTTTTTTTTTTTTTTTTTTTTTGGGGGGGGGGACATTATTAATATCTGATAAATCTAGTGAAACGATGACAAACTTTAATAAGGGACTGTAAGATAGAGATGAATTAAGAACAAGTGTGCACAGCTACTAGTTAGGATACAAAGACAGGCTTCTGAGTGGGGTATAAATTCATGCTAAGTATGTATAAGGGATATCCCTCTGAAAATCTGCCTACATTCAATTTCAGCACCAGAAATCATGCCAGAAAAACCTTCTTTAACAGGTCATTATTCAATAATGAAAAGTACGACGATCTTCAATATTTGAGGACTCCCCTGCCCGACTGTAACCCATAAAGTTTAGACAAGAAAGGTCGGAAGTTATGGACGTCCTAAAAAACTGAGACTAAACATAACTCATGTGTCAGCCGACCACCGTGATGCACCAAAACACAGCGTTTCTATTTGTTCTTTTGGCTTTCCCTGTTAAACTCGGCTGGAATCTTAAACTTGATACACTTCACTGCAGCTTTGACCATGATCTGAACTACAGAGGCTGGGATGTGCTGTGGTGGGGGCTGCTGCGCCATGAGCAGTGAGCCGGACTTCAGCTTTCAGCGCATCCAGAGAATTACTGCCTTCAAGCTGAAAACCCCTCAATGACTCATAGCTCTTCATATAGTTTATGCAGTACATCGCTCTCTTATTTTACTTACTCACTTAAAGACCATCACAACTCATCAAGTAAAATCTCCCAAGACATGCTTAAGGGATGTTTTATTTATGCTGTGATTAATATAAGTTCTCCTGGTTTTTATCTGTCTTCTTCAGTGATATCCTGAATGGTTCAGCGGTGTGTGTTTACCGTATGGAAGACGTGGTTCGAGCTTTTAAAGGAAACTTCCTGCATAAAGAAGGACCTCAGTATAAGTGGGCAGAGTTTATGGGCAAAGTGCCCTACCCACGACCAGGAACTGTAAGTTCATTTGATAGTGATGAGACTGTCAATAGCTCTAAATGAAACAAAAACAACAGGTCTTTGCTATCACTTTGTCTCTTTCCTTCAGTGTCCCAGCAGTACATATGGAAGTTACAGCTCCACCAGAGAGTATCCTGATGACGTCATCTTCTTCAGCAGGACTCACCCTCTGCTGCAGGTCCAGCTGATCCATCACTTTATGAAATTGCACTGATCTAATTAAATTAGGCAGTGGCCTCTTTTACAGCGGGTCAAGCCAGCTTTCTATTTTTGTCTGGATTAAGTAATGAAATTAGCCAACAATCGTTACAAAAGGACCTCAGTCCAGCATTGAGAACATACAGTATGTCTTACAAAGGCATGATTTAGCAGTCAGTCCAGAAATATTCAGTGTTTAGCATTGATTGTTCATGAGATAAACAAACAATCTTTTATTCTTTTTTAGGAAAATGTGCTGCCACTTGGAGAGCGCCCCCTTCTTGTGAGAGTAGGTGTTCACTACAAGTTCAGCAAACTGCTGGTTGACAGAGTGGAGGCTGTGGACGGTACCTATGACGTCCTGTTTATCGGCACAGGTAGAGTGTGTACGGTAGACACTGGTTATTCTAGGGCTGAAATCAACCAAAGAAATTCTTGGTCAATTAAAACCCTAAATTTTCAACCAAAAATTGACTAACCTTGGGGAGGGGGGGGGGGCAACGACTCTGAAACCATTCTGTGGTGGGGGACTACGCGGCTCAGTGGAGTAGGGGTTCTCTTTAAATACTCCCAGTAGTGCTTGGTACATTCCTCCTGATGAATTTAACCATAGACTGTAAATTGACGTGAAAAAAATCCAGTTGACCAATCAGAATTTTGGTTGACTCAGCATGTATTGACAAATAAGTCGACCAGTCGACTAGGTCTTTACAGTCCTAATCTGTTCATACTGAAGTATATTGTGCTCTGAAATGCTGACACTAAAACTCTCTTCTTCTTCTTGTGCAGACTCAGGCCTGGTGCTAAAGGCCATTCATCTGCCGAGAGAACATGGTCAGAGTCAGGAGGTCACTCTGGAGCAGCTGCAGGTCTTTCAGGTAAATCAAACTGTTTCTGAATCAAATCATCGTTGTCCCGCAGAATTCATGTATCTACAAAATGACTTTCCTCCAGGAAGTGAAAAAAACCTTTTATTCACAGGACTAAACCCTGCATGAGATTAAATGACAGGCCTTAAGAAATCTGACAGACAGGCATGAAGGGAGATCATTAGCTCTGATTTATACAAAGTTATGAAAGATTTGAGAATTTTGCCCGACAGGGACAATATTTGGGTTAACACCTTGTTTCCATGTATTAACAGAAGTGACTAAACCAGAAGTGCCCTCATTTCTAAAGGAATCTCTGATGATGAGCCTGAAAAACAGCTCCTCTCTGTAATATTTTTTGTCCAGACTCTACCTCAAGTACTTCAAAGTGGACTTTTGGTTTAGATTACTGATCAAATATAAATATATACTTTATAAAGTCAGACTGCCTTTAAAAGTGATCTTGTGGGTGGTTTTTATTGGGTTTCTAGCAAAGAAATGTAAAGAAATGTACTTTCTTGCATTGGACATGGGGGGATATTATCAGTTCATTCACAGATCTATAGACACAAACCACATAATGAAATGGAAATTTAAGTTTTGTGTCAGTTTGTCTTAAAGCCACTTATTCTGTATATTATGTATGTATTACTTTATCCATTGTTGTCTGAAAATTTCTCTTTTCATATCAAAACGTAATCTCAGACTCATCAAACAAGGGCAAACAATGAGATTACTGTCTAGAGATGATGCAGCACAGACTTCTCTGTTTTCGAAGACTTCATTGACATCCAACAAAAAAATAAATGCAAGCATGATGGAAACCAATCATGATGGAAAACCAATATTTTAAGCAGTCAGAAACATGACAGCTGAGTTGTAAATAATGCAGACATTTGTTATGCAAGGGAAGATACACAAAAACTTAGCTGGGCTCTTTTGAATCTCACTTTATCATTTGAATCCAACACCACCATTGCCATCATTTGCAGATAAACTGCAGCTGCACACAGTTACCAACACTGACAATAAGCCAAATATGAATGTTCAGGGAGGCTCTAGGTCTCTGTGTTGACTTTAAGCTGACTTACACTGAAAAAAGACAGACCATGGGTTTATTTTCTTAACTCTTTTGTTAAGTAAAGGCTTCATGAAACCCCCTTTTGTGATATGAAACATGTCCGATTACCAAAGGCGGTCTCTCAGGTCTCTCAATTATTTTACACTGTTTAAAATTACTGTGGTTTGGAGTCGCACGCAGGGATTTTAAACAAGTTCCTCATGGTTCTCTATGAAATGAGTTCAGCGTGTGAAACCTTTTTTCTATCTATCTATCTATCTATCTATCTATCTATCTATCTATCTATCTATCTGTCTGTCTGTCTGTCTGTCTGTCTGTCTGTCTGTCTGTCTGTCTGTCTGTCTGTCTGTCGGTCGGTCGGTCGGTCGGTCGGTCGGTCGGTCGGTCGGTCGGTCGGTCGGTCGGTCCGTCCGTCCGTCCGTCCGTCCATCTAACTAACTATCTGTGTTTCTTTCTATCTGGAGTGTGACTGTTTTCATTTGCTGTTGGAGTTTCTGATTTTTTTTCCTCTTCCTCACAGCACAAATCACCAGTGACAGCCATGACTCTCTCAAAGAAAAAGGTAACAGATGAGGGACAGACACAAAAACTCACTTTCAAACTTTCCGACTCCTCCACACACTCACGCATACACACACACACTAGCTCACATGTACACGAACATGCACAACACTACACTTATCACTCATCTCTCTACCTTGCGTCTCCAAGGACAGCTTCATCAGCAGTTGCTATGGTTACCCTACCTCACTCAGAGCAATTATTGTGAGATGCCAAACACACACACACACACACACACACACACACACACACACACACACACACACACACACACACACACACACACACACACACACACACACACGGAGATACACTCTGCATTATTAAAATGGTCTTGGTTTCATGAAAAAATTCAAAAGCTTGCCCACAAAAAGACATACAACTATAATCACATCAATGTTATAGAGAGCACTCTCTCTATCGCTTTCTCTCTTTCACACAAACACATCCACACATAAACACACACGCGCACACATACACACACACACACACACGCACACACACACACACACACACACACACACACACACACACTAGGTCCACATAGTGGTTTGTTTCAGTCTAAATTAGCTGTTTAACTTTGGCATAGGAATGAATCTGATTCAGCCGCTGATTTTCAGTGTGTCTTTACTCTTCTTTTGGCTTGTCCAGATTTATTACTCTTTTCTTCATGCTCTCCTCTAATCTGTCTTTTTTTGTCTTTCATCCGCCCCCCTCCTCTCTTTTCCTCGTCCCTCAGCAGTGGTTGTTTGTGGGCTCCAGTGAGGGTGTGTCTCAGCTGGCCCTGTACCAGTGTGAGCTGTACGGTCAGGCATGTGCTGAATGCTGCCTGGCCAGAGACCCCTACTGCACCTGGGATGGACACGCCTGCAGCCCCTACATGCCCACAGTGCGCAGGTAGGCCCATCGAGTCACATCCTAAAACCAAACAAATCTGATTGATATGCTCTGAAAATAAAAAAAAGAGAAAAACATGTGGAACCAATCTTCTCAAATCAGATTTGAACCAGATTTGTAGATTAATTGAAATACAGCTTACATCACATTTGAAGTAAAATCTTCATGATATAATTTTCTGCATTTTTCTCCACTTGACCAACAATGAGTCCCATTTCTCTGGAATAAAAAATTATATACAGGGATGTAATGTTTTAACATCACTGTTCACCCCAAACTGCAAAAGGAATAAATGTATGAAAGTTGCAGATACTCTTGAGGCTGATGAAATTTGTCAAACACTTCTACTTAAAAAGACATTCATGCATTGTAATACAGAGGGTGTTATTTTCTGTTCATGTCTTTTGTTGCATCTTTATTCCAGGAGGAACGCTCGTCACTTAGGGGAGGATGAAGATCCGTTAACTCAGTGTGTCAGACAGGGAGGTGAGGAGCCACCAGACTGCCCAGTGTTGCTTTGTTTACCTATTCTTACAAATGTAATCATTGCAGTATCACCTTCGTAAGGCAAAGACTCGAGCCTTAATGCCTTATTCATTTTGAATATAAGTCTTTATTGACTTTACTGTAACTGTAGTGGATGTATATTACTGTATGGTTATTCTTTTATCAAATGTCTTCAAAATATGAGGAAATACAGAGTGTAGTTTTTTGGTACAGTGTTACTTAGATGCATATCCTGTTTCTTTTTTTCATTTTATGGCCCAACATCAGAGGTTTATTTTATCACAATATAATGAGGGAGCCTTACATCCTGCAGACCTTGCAGCACCCAACATTCTTTGAACTTCTATTCAAATAGAGAAATGAGGAGACTCCAGAGAGTAAAACAAGCTTGATGAATGAAAGGCGAAAACAGGGACAGATATCAAATCTGTAAACAGCTTTGGGGGACAGAAAAGATAAAACAAGTAAAAAAGTAATAACTTTATTTATTCTTAAAGGGAAATTCAATATAGGAGGAAAGTCAAAGAAATAGTCATATGTAAAAATGTTAAAAAAAGGAACAAACTACATCCCAAATTCTGACATAAGTCAGGAGACTGTGTAAAATGTTAAAGCTGATTAAAGTCGTTTGCAAAAATATTTAAATCCTATATTTTGTTGAAAAAAGTGCAAAGGCAACATGAGCGACTGTGAAAAGCCACTCCAGAGAGGCTGGGTCCCTCAGGGTCAAGATTGCTATGGGTTTACCATAGCAATGGTAAACCCATAGCAAAGCTGAGGAGCTAGCTCAGGAGGTAGAGCAGTCGTCCAATAATTGGAAGATTGGCGGTTCGATTCCCCCCTATCCCAAGTCTGTCCGTTGTGTCCTTGGGCAAGACACTTAACCCACCTTGCTCCCAGTGTGTGTCCTCCACTGGTGTATGATTGTGAGTGTTGTGTGGTGGTGGTCGGAGAGGCCGTAGGCGCAAAATGACAGCCACGTTTCCGTCAGTCTGCCCCAGGGCAGCTGTGACCACTAAGGTAGTTTACCACCACCAAAAGTGTCACTGTGTGAGCGAATGAATGATGTATCCAATGTAAAGTGCTTTCTCTGTTAAAGCGCTATATGAAATCTGATGCATTAAAATTATTATTATTATTACCACCCTGTGAGAGACTGCATGAGGAAATAGTTTAGCAATTTCAGATTGATGCTGCTTCAGTGAAACATTGCAAAGCATCTAAAGATTTTATTATCTACAGTACATCATTTTATTAAGAGACTAAGAGAATCTGGAGAAATCCCTGAACAAAAGAGACAAAACCAATTCAGATCAGTCATGGCTCTGTGGTTGAAAATCAAAAATTCAGAGTCTGTGAACCCAATTAATCTCTTCATTCACAAATTGAAACTTAAACTGTACCATACTAAGAGGGAATACACATAAGCATAGTCCAGACTGCTGGAGACTTCCTTGGACTCAAGTCCATTTACTGAAAGATGGACTGAGGTGAAATGGAAAACTGTTCTGTGGTCTGACTCATCAAAATTTCATGTTTTATTTAACCATGGATGCTGCATCCTCCACCTGAAAGAAGGAAGAGACCATTTTGTTATCAGCATACAGACCAAAAGCCAATGTCTGTGACGATACAGGCCTGCAATGGGCAGCTTTTTCATGTGTGAAGGTTCCGGTCAGAATAAACACATTATGGAGAAACATATGCTGCTATCCAGACAAACCCTTCTTTATACTCCCACTTTGATCGTTTTTTTTTACTACTTAAAGAGTTCTTAGTGGTCTTTTAGTTGTGATTAGGAAGTTTTTAGCTAAAATTACATTACCTGCGTCATTTCCAAAGATTTTCTTCTGCAGTGCTCCAGTAGCCTCACCTCTGAGTCGTGGGTGGAGACAGCGCTGCTCTGCACACTCCTCTTCAAGGACTCTAATGTCTTCAGGGACAGGATAAAAGCTAATATCACAGTTAGCTTTCTTATCCTGCTTGTTCTGCGATTGTCCTCTCTATTTCTTCGAGTCTGGTCTGCATAGTGGTGCTCTAGGGGCAGAGCTTGCAGTTGTGACGTGGGAAATGTTACTGTGTCTGAACCTGCCGTTTGGGTCTGTCAGAGATTCCTAGAAATTTGAATGCAGAAATACTCAGAAATGCAATTTCTTACTTATTTTTCTTATGATATTTCCTGTAGCTTCAGAAAAAAGCCATATGAACATGTACACAACAAGAAAAACATGATTTTCATCAGAGTTGGTCTTCAAGGATGACACTGCATATCTCAGCAAGACAATCCCAAACCACATTCTGCTACAAAAAGGGCTCAGTAATAGAGGATTATGGATAGAGGATGCTGAGTCCTAAACTGGCCTAAATGCAGTCCTGACATCTCTTTCATGAAAACATTTGGTGCATCAATAAACAAAAAAATGGCGCAAAGTAGACCCTAAACTGTTGAAATATGCCCCTGTCTGACTTAAAATAAACTTCATAAAACTGAAAATCTTTCAGGTTCAACATTCCACGTCATCTTTGCAACTGTTTAATCAAAAACAGGATTGAAACTTTTGGCAATCCATTCAATTATTTAAGCTTCTCAACCTTATGAGTTCTGAGTTAAAATGAAATATAAAATAAATAGGAACAAGAAAAGACCTCTAACCTGTCAAAACGTGTCTCACTTAGCGGGCCTGCAGGTGGAGGCAGAGCAGAGGGTCATGATGGTCGTTGAGGGCAACAGTACTTACCTGGAGTGTCTTCCCCGATCCAGACATGCTGCTGTCACCTGGTACAAACAGGCTGGAGAAAACAGTCCTGAACTTAACCAGGTACATGCAGTCTAAACATTCCATGTTTATCCTGATAGTTTATGGTAAAACTGCGCAGTACACTTCACTCCTCCATCTGATCTCTCCCTCCTCCACCTCTTTAGGTGCTTACAGGTGATCAGCTTGTAGTGATTGAGCGCGGCATCCTCATCCGTCAAGCTGAATTGTCTCACAGCGGCGTCTACCACTGCCAGGTGGAGGAGCATGGCTACCACTGGACCGCCGTCACTGTCCGCCTCGCTGTCTGGAGCCCCTCTGCCAACAGTCTCCTCGCTTCCTGGTCTTCATCCTACCAGAGTGCAGGATTCCAGCCCTGGTATGAGGACGTGATGGCACTGGTTCACCCAGGAAACATCGGCCAGCACTGTCGGGCATTGGGATACCGACCTCCCCGCAACCACCGCCGCCACAGTGACATCACGGTGAAGCCAAACAAGGAGAAAGAAAAGGGGGAGAGGCACAAGCATGGGGGAGGAAGAGGGGGAGGAGGAGGGGGAGGGGGAGGGAGGGCAGCAGGGAGGAAGAGCAGGAGCAAGCCACAGCTGAGGGCACCCAGGAGCACTTGAACGTGTCGTCGAAGGAGTGCAGCTTTTTATTGACTTAAACACACACACACACACAGACACACACACACACACACACACACACGTTAATGTAAACATTCATATGCACACACACACACACACACACACACACACACACGCTTAACTTATACACTGAGATAGATCATACTGTATGTACAGAGACTGTGACATGCGCATGCACTTACCTGCCAACAAAAAGCATTCATTCTGTACCATGAGGAACTTTGAAACTAAGCTATAGACGAACAACTGAAGTATGTACAGGAGAGTGTGAACTGCAAAGACTGTTACAGCTGGACTCTTGTGAATTAAACAAGCACAGTCCTCAAAGTTGCATAGCATGTTGAATGAAGGACGAGTCATTTCCAGATCAGTGATGGAGAGGTTGTTTTGGATCAGGGGCATCAACAGAGAAAAACAAGTACAGTCTTCTAATAAGATAACCTGCATCTTAAAGAATCACCCCACTCTTCTGGGATGAATCCTGCCTTACAGGCCCGTACTGATGGCTTTGCATGCTACCACCCAACTTACATATACACTGATGATTATTCTCCAGAACAGAGCAGATGCTTTGGATTGACTTCTTACCCTCAAGGCAAACAGTGGCTGCAGATGCAAAAACAGAAAGGAGTTGCATTTAAATTTCCAAGTACACTCCAGTCATTTGGCCTTTGCACTCAAGCTCAGCTGCTCAAAAGCTTTAGATTGATAAGCTTTACTGTTTGGAAATGAAAGCCAAGGACAAATAAGCAGCCAAGGGATGCATGATGAAAAGATCTCTCCGATACATCAGCAGACTGTGAATCAGCAGCTAAAGTAAGCTGTAAAGAAAGTCATTCAATATTCGATGTGATGGAGGTTTTCCAGTCAAAAGCTGTTTTTTTTTTTTAAATAATCAGCAGAAGAAGTTGATTCAAGAGCCTTGAGACAGAATTTTTGAACTGTAGGTCACAGCATAGATGATTTCTCTGCATTTTTACCCCAAGTGAATATTTAACAGCTGTCCACCTACAGTGAGAGCATGTTGCTTACTTCAGATAGGTGTGGTCAGACCATGAGATGACAGACCACAACCACAACGATGAAAGGCTCAGAAACGCAAAGCCACGGCTTTGATGAGGTTACAGATCTACTTTCCCAGGAGGCTGCAGCCACAGAGACACACGGCAGGAAATGTTTCCATTATGTTTATCCTCAAGGTTCAGGATTCCAAGTTATATCTGGCACTGATTTTACACCACGTGGTAGAACACTTATTATCGGTGTGGTGGAAACATTTAAACCTGGTGTATTTTATTATCATTATGTCAGAGAAAATCACCCGTCCTTTAGTGTACATTTGTTGTGTTTGCTTGATGTCCAAGTAGAGAACATCTCACCAATTCAGGATACTTTAACTGTAGTTTTTATTGATGTATAGAACAGAGGCATGAGAGCTCTGGAACATATTCTCAGATATGTAAGAAAAAAAATCAAGCTGCTATTCAATGAGGCACAATCGAGCCTTTAAAAAGCCTTTAAAATGTACTCCTGACATTCATGACTGAATGCGTTAAACATGGTTTTAATGAGCTGAAATCTTAAATCCTAAATTATTACCACCAGATATTTTGGCAAGACAAGACAGAGAGGGTTATTTAATTGGTAGCGTTTCAAAATATTGGTGTGTTCGTTGTACAAAGAATCATTTTTTCCTCCAATATTAGTCATGACAGTAAACCCTGCACACTGCTCTGTGTCTAATATCTACAAACCTGTAGACAATTTCAGCTGTGTTTGATTCTACATGGACAGGAAAAAAAAACACAGCTCAACGGCTCAACATGAACTTCCAAGAGACTCTGTACAGATCATGCATGTCTTTCAGCATATGGACCTAAATAGGACACTGGTGACTTTGAGTTGGTTACAGCCCAGCTACAGTAGTGGAGTTATATATTGCCAGTCCTGTTCTTCCAGCTGGTAATGGCATCTGGCTGTAAAAATATGACGCAGGCTCAATGTATAATAAAGAAGCCTTTATAATGAAAAGTTGGAACTTGTGGCAGCGCTAAACTGGACTGATGTCAACAGGACTTTGGACCCTGGCAATAACTCGTTCCTTTTCATTTTAACACTCTTGTTTGTATTTATTTGTTGAATTTGGAGTCATTTTGTGGAAACATGTAAGCTCCTCATCAACCAATTTAACCACAATGACTCACAAACTCCTCCCTTATTTAAGCTGTATCTGTCTTTCTGTCTGTTTCTCTGTTGTAAGCATAGACTGTACTTTGATGTGCCCACTTTTGAGGACTGCTCCATAGATTTCCAAATGCTTCGTCTACCTCTCTTAGAGGACCTTCCCACTGCTAGAATCTGGTCTTTTTTACAGGCATTTGTAAGTAATACTGCCTTGAAGTGAGAAAACAGGAACTAAAAGTGAAATCAAAACTGCTGTCTCTTTGATAGTTATATTCTTTCCAGATCTAGGATTAAAAACAAAATGCTGAAACTTTGTAATCCTGCTCAACAGAGTGTACTTACAGTAAGAGATTTCACAGCATAGGGGATAAAAACAGGATATGGTATAGAAATGAAGGAGTGGAGGGAAAAAAAGTTAATGCTGCAAGAAAAGAGGAAAGCCAGACTCACTAATGAAATTAAAACTTAACTTTATTTTCTATGGTTTTCTGGGAGGGGATGCATTGAGTTGCACGGTTAGGTCCAATAAAAACAGCTTTGCCTACTTTTATATATTTAATTTCATCCCATGAAGATGATTGAGCACGCAATCCTGCCCATATTGGAGTAAATCTGTTCCATACTGGGTTCTGCAAAAGCTCCCATTCCTCTGCACTGCTGCTTGTTTGTTGTACAGTATGCTCCTATGTGAGAGGAGCTGACAACGGTCCAGAGGCTGAGCCAGTAAACAGGCCAAGCGGGGCACTCAGCTACGGATCAGACAGACTTTTGATGCTGTGAGAAAAATAAACCAGAGTGAGTCGTAGCAGAGAGAAAATTACCATGGGCTTGGCCCCTTGGCTTCTTGGCCTTGGCCACATGAAAGAGCTTGCCAGTTCAGAGTTACTTCTGAATGTGTGTTTGTGGAAAGAGAGAGAGAGAGTTTATAGACGAGTGTCCAAGTGTCAGGTACAGCCACGTCTCCAAATGAAAGGGTGTGTGGGTGAGTGTGAAGGTGGCAGAATCGAAATTACATCAAACTTTGCTCAGACTGTGTTCAAATATTAAATTGAGGACAGACAAGAAAACTTAATGTGAATATAGAGCCACACTACATAAAACTAAATAAAATCCAAATCAAAACAGATTTTTTTTCAAGATTAAAAGTTTGATAGTCATTCATAACTGTAGTGGCCACAAACATTTGAAGACCTGCTTACTTTGATAAAAAAATAAAAATAAAACTGCAAGCCTTACCAAAGTCTATGTGTGGAGATGCAGCCATTTATTGGCATACTGTCTAATAATACAATCCTTATAGTTCAATGTTTATCTCATCTCTAACCTTTATCCTCAAAATATGAAGGAAACTCTTAAAGAGGTCAGAGGTTGGGCTCCTAGCCTTGTTGGCTTATACTGAACACTCATATTTTAGAATCAGATTTTTTTTAAATTAATTTTTTAAATTGTGAAACTAAAAAGAAAAATAACTGTCCTGTTCATGTTTTAAGATGAAATACCATACAATTGTGCATTAAGACAGTAAAAAGTTTGTTCTTTTACATCAAGATGGTGAATACTCTGAGCATTACAAACAAAATATCCCATGGGGTCATTAACACACTCTGACAGCCTTATTGACCTAATAATAAAATCGCTGTAGTTCAGTTTTGTTCTGATGGTAGAAACAAGGTGAGAAATTAGAGAAACGTTCCTTTTCTGAGATTCATTTGCTATATTAGTTTGGCATTTAGACAAGGCACAAAAACATTCAGACAACAGTTTTTTTCCCTTTCAAATTAAAATTCTCAGTTTCTTACGCTTTTAAAAGACAAATAAAAAATCTCTGTGAACTAACTACAGAAGCTAAAGCAGCCTAACTTGGATAGGAGAGCTGGCATCACCTTAACTTGCCATGTGCAGCTCAGACCATGCTGACCAGCTTTTAGGGCCACATCCGTTTGGTTTGCTAGAAAAGCAGACAGTGACATTCTGCCAGCTAGAATCACCCCTGTGCCCATAAAACCAAATGTTTGTTGAAAATGTTGATTTCACTCTCAAACCGGTTATTTTGATTTACGAAGTTTGATTTCGCTTTGAGCTCCCTCCCAATTTTAACTGCTTCCATTATGTCTCTGCTCACAAATTCTGCAGCCTCAGAAACTATTTAACAAATCAATTCTGGCTCCCACTTGTGTATAATGTGTGTATATGAGTGTGTAATTTGTGACTGTTTGTTTGGTATCAAAACACAGCTAACGTACGAGGCAGAACTCCTGCGAGACTTTTTTTTTTTTAATGAAAACCATTTCAAACATTTAGTGTTTCCCTCAAATATGCGGTGCAGAGCAGCTCCTCATTCATTATGACAGCAGCCTCATCTGTTTCACTCTCACTCTGCTGTGTTTACATCTCAGTGCCAATTTACATCTCTGGTGATTTTCCACAATGACTTCTTAATAGATGGAATGACATTTTTCATATGTCTCTCCCCGTGTGGAAAATGTTTTTCTTTTTGTAAATATGTATAAAGGTCGGCCTTTAAATGATCATGTTTGTGTTTGTGATTTATTTGGTTTGGTTGGATTTGAGGAAAATGTACTGAAACTGAACTACACATACAGCTACATACTACACTACACATACTACATACACATACTATACTACACATCCTTCTTAGGTGGAAATGTTTGAAAATTGCCTTATTCACAATCAAAGTTCTCCAGAGGACTGTAACACACTATTAAGATAACAGTCACATTCCAAGTCTCTTTGAGTATTAGGAGGTAACATCAAAAAGTCTGTTTTAGAGCTCCTATGAAAAGTTTTTTTTAAAGATTTTAAAATAGACATGGAGTAGGAGTTCAGAGCTTTAAGTTGTATTTACTGAGCAGTTTGTAGTGATATTGGAAGTCCAACAGGAGGAATAACACATTTACCATGGATTCAACCTCCAGCCTAGCAACCCTAAGAACGTGGAAGCGAAGAATCCTCTGCATTGTTTCTGAATCCCACCCACAGGGACAGCATAGTTTATATGAGCAGATTTGAACTGGTTCCTGCTGTGACACAACATCGAGTGTTCTGCATAGGTTTGCATGCTAAACCACTCCCACTCTGTAGTTCTGCTTCCTCTTAAGCAATCGGCTTTTCGCTTGGGCATTACAGAGTCAAGAGCCAAATTCAAGCCCACTACAACAACTGCTCTGTCCTTGGTTGCAGAAACCCATCACAGAACTCTATATTGTATTTCGTTTTTATTAACAATATGCCTAATTTCTGTGTTGGTTTGTGCCACATGCTTCACCTTGCTCTGTTTTACCAACAAGGGGCAAGCACATAAAGTTACATGTAAAAGATGAGAAAGTAGTGTTTAAATGTTTTACTCAGAGCCATGCTGCTGCAATCCTCCCTCTGTTCCTGCCCATAGTCTGCATTATTTACAAACTTGTCACAAGTTCTGAGGCACTCACCATGTGTGTTTTGGTGTTTTTCTATCCCTGCAACCGTTGGCATCAATCTGCTTCCTGCCCTCTCAGACAATATTCAAGTTGCTGGTCAATGCAGCATCTCATCATGGTTGTATCCCACCCACTCAGATCAGAGGCTGTAGATCCTCCACAAAGGCTGAATGTGTAATGAATTGTTTTGTAACTGAATTCAAAACTTTGCTGTAAAAGACAATGTGGACATGTAAACAGCTGCAAGTACCAGTATAAGTGACTTTTATGCTCTGAAACACATGCACAGTCACCAGGGTTTGTGGTGCAGTAGCCTTTACTTATTTTTTAAAAGGTCCATCCAACCAAATCTGATGACCAATCAGAGCAGAGTTATATTTCAGTGATTCCTGCTAGTCTAGCAATATTTTCTCTCATGCACACTGTCCATCACTGTCTTCACTCCAAAACAGGAACATACCAAGCAATACCAAACCGCAATTCGTCTCTGCCAAAGTGACCACATACAGTACTTTCTCATTAAATGTGCAGCTGCTGGTATTTTCTTTCTGAAGGGTGAATGATACATTCCAATTGAGCTGCATACCATACAGCCATCATTTAAGTCACTGCTTCAAAACCCTGGAGGCAAAAAAGGAGGTCACCAGAGCCTCACTGTGTTTCAATGATGTTTTTTTATGCTGTATGTGAGCACTGCTTTCGAAACTCAACAACTCCTGGTCAATTGTGAGCAACTTTGGAATCCCTCTTTTTTTTACTGCTGAGATTCACTTTGTAAACATAATTACTGTTAGAAAACTCCCTGCAGATATTTTTAGGCTGATAGTGTCCCACTCTCAGAAACAAGATATTTCAGCAAAACAGAGAACTATGCATTAAAAAGTAATAAGTATATGCAGTGCCGTTTGTTCTGTTGGGACTGAAGCATTTAAGTTAAAAACTTTCTCTTGTGCCTGTGAGCTCCACTGTGCAAATATTAGAGTGCTGTCACGTTAAGATAAAGCTGTGAAAATGCAGGGTTGTCAATTGTCCTGTTTATTGACATTGCATTTCTACAATCAGTAGAGCATACTGTACTGATCCTAGATCAGATCTGACAAAGCCGGTAGCCTGTCATGCCCTGATTACATTCGTCAAGTGACACCTGCCATCCAGTGTCCTCTAATGTGCACCAGTTATACTGACAGAGCCAAGTGCACTAAATCCTGCTGAAATAAGGTTCATTCATGGACGGTGTTGTTTGGTTGGCTTGTGGAGAGGAAGTGTGAATAAACGGATAAACCTGTGGATAAACCTGCAAAAAAGTTTAGACTTTGCAGGTTCAACACACAATAAACCGTGGTGGTCATCTTCTTATGAAGATATCAGATATAAAAAAAACATATTTGACAACCCATTAGCCAACACCAGAACATGGCTAATATAGCATTCAACTACTTCCTATGTAGAATCAATGTTCAAAAATCATAGATACAACAGGAGAAGAGAAACGTTTGCAGGAGCAGATCAGTTATTTTATGGATGAATACTTTGGAGGAGTTAATGCTGTTGTTTCTGTCCAGCCAACAATACTATGTAAGGTACAGTGTGATCTTGTAATCTTGTGATCTTGTAAACTAAGGATTTTTGGTTGTAACCTTGACAACCACATTACCATTTAGATGAAAGTCGTTAGTATATAAGGACGCTGTTTAAACCGCAACACTGGTAGTGCTACCCTCATCGTTACAGGAAGTCTCAATTGTGTGCCATCTATTTACTTTGAATAAACTGATAACTGGTAAATGATATCAAAGAGATTCAGATTTCTGGCAAATGACCCTGGTGTTGACAGTAAGACACCTGTACAGAATTATACATATTGTATTGTTAGCTTGTTAACTTAAAACATGACCTGATATCTCCTCTGATTATCTCTGTCTATAATTCATGTGGCTGCTCGTCAATCAAGGAGCTCTGAAATGACCACCAGAATATTGAGCTCCATCCCACTTATGACCTGAAACACCATAATAATACATGAACACAACATTTGGGTTTCCCCCTCTGAACATGGTGCCACAACAAGATGATCTCTGGGGAATTAAGGTCTATTGTGAGTGAGGCTGACTTCGGTTAAATTGCTCAGTGGGGAGCCAACAGAAGCCGTCTACACCTTATACTGTCAGGAATTTTCATTAACCCACAGCAGTGAGCGATCTCAGTATGATGTTACATACTTGCACAAGATGACCATGCAAGTAACTACGGGTCATTCTTCATTCTCTCTCTGTAAAAAAAAAAAAAAAAGATGTCTAGAATTATTCTCACATGAGGTTCCAGTTAAAGTAAAACCAATGGATCACTGGTAGACAACCAACTATGATAAGACCCTATTTTCATGCTCAGGGTGGGAAGCTCCAATCTTGTTTTTATGTCTTACCATGTTTCAGGTTGTGAGTTGTATAGACTTTGATAATCTGACATATTCATGAAATTTATTTGATGTTAAATCAATTAAAAACATTTGACAGCCAATTAGCAAACATGAATACACAGCTTTTGTTTGTAGTCAGCCACTGCTTAGTTGGTTTAAAAATCATGAATGCAGTGGGAGAGATGACACATTTGCCCAAGCATGATGATCATTTTATGGATGACTACTTTGGAAGCACTCTTGTTTATGTTGGCGTCTGAGCTCAGGGTTAGGGTGTCTATTTTTAAAGTTTTCCTTTTACTAACTCTGAGACATGACAAAGCTATTTTAGCTACCCACCCTGTACTTAACACGACAAGGAGAACGTCATTGAAAAAATATAAATGGATAAAAAGACCTTTTTTTCTCCTGTTCTTCCTCCGACATGTCTTTTCTAACCTGAAAAATAAAATAAAATAAATAAATAAATATTAAAAATAAAATATGTTAACATCTGTGTTAGGTTTTGATGAATGTTACTTGGAAAACAGTAATACGCAAAGCTCGCCTGTAATTTTTCAACAGTCTTGATCCGTGTGAAGATGATGAGGCAATGAATCAAACCACATCTTGGAGTGGATCTTGAACATACCCACAGGGACCTGGCATTGTTGGTCTCTATCTGCAGCCATCATTTTAGCAGCTGTCATAGCGCTAAATGACTAAACCACCTCACCAAACCACCTTTACACTCTGGATTATCATCCTTGATGACTACCAGAACAAAGAGAATTCAGTCCTACGACGATGACAGGCTGCAAAAACAACTTGAATTTTCAGAAGTGGTGACTAAAAATGGCCTTTGTTTATTGCCATAGTCTGCTTCTTGCCAGCTGCTAAATGAAACATAATATTCACTTTAAGGAACATGGAGAGGAGTTGGAAACAAGCACTCAAGAGGAGACGCTTTTGGCATCTGCCACAACGTTTGACTCATCTACCCATTTGACTCTTTTTTTCCCAGGGCTCAGTCAACTTAAAGGTCTCCTTTTCACCATTCTTCCCACAAAAGTACTGCTTCAGTGTAATCAGAGATTTGTGCACTTCACCGCTGTATCACTTTCTGCCAAGTCCTAATGGTGTCTGTTCAGGCGGTCACTTAAGACTGACTGTTTTAGCTAACTGCCTCATAAGACCTTCTGTAAATCTCATGCATTTACCAGTACTTTTAAAGGCAGCCTTGCTGTTGCATTTCATGTAGTTACAGATAGATACTATTCACCCCTAATAAATGAATGTATGACTGTGAAAGAATTTTGGGGACATCTGCAGTGGGTTTCAAACAGCTTACACCAAATAGGTTCAAATGTGTTGCCTCTTTCAAGTAATACAATCTTTATTGATACTGTACCACTCCACAAAAAAACAACAACAACAAAAAAAGGATGTTATCTCAAGATGCTCAACAAAAAGAACTGGTCTAGACCTCACTTTTTGTGATATTTATTAAGACTGAGTCCCATCTTGTAAGATCAGACCCACTCTGATCCCATCTTCATCTACATGACTTTTAACAGGCAGAAACCTTCAGCAATATAATTCAGCGCTCATGCGTTGGGGTTGGGGGTGAGGGTAGAGGAGGATGCAGAAAGCGAGAGATTGATAGAGACAAACAGCAACAACAACAGTAGTACATACAGATATATGGCTACAGAAGGATGTGTACTATCAGCTGATATCAGTTTGAGATATAACAAACTCAGGTCAAGAGATCTATGCAGACAACATTGCAGGGATAGCATTTGTATTAATGAAGTTGAGGTAAGTTGTTTTTGATTGATACTCAGTTTTGATAAAAGTTTGAAGTTGCATAAAAAACTAAGAGATTATCCATAGGTATAGAGCGAAACTTGGTTCTCTGCTTTCTCAGACATTATACACTGTTATTTGAAAGGAAAATTAGTGATTTGGGGGGCTGACAAAGTATTTGAATGCAGCTTTAGTACTAGTTACTGAGGGGTTAAAATGTCTCATTTGAAAAAAAGGCGTGTTTGGCTGTTCTCTGAAGAAGACTGTTGACCTTCCCTTGAACTGGGATGTGATTAATATTTATGATTTATAGGCCCCTGCTGTCAATTTAGTTGCCAAGATCTCAAACGCAGCTTGCAGCTTTTATCATAGTTAAAACACACACACACACACACACACACACACACACACACACACACACACACACACACACACACAAAAACAACTTGAAGCACGTGCTTTGAATTTACTTTGTATCAATCACTTTCATAAATGGTACCTTTCTTGTGGTAGTAACTTCTCAAGTGAAATAGCTCTCCGCTGACCATAACCCCAAACCAAGTATATGATCTGCTGAGGTTCATGGTTGTTATTAAGTGTTCTCCTGAGAATCTCTGGAAACCATTGCTCTTTCCCAAGGCTAATTGTTTTCAGGTAAATGTTTTAAGGCTTTGATGTTAAGCACAAAAAAAGGGATCAAATGGAATAAAACAGTTAAATACCCATTAAGAGAGGGAGTGGGGGCAGCTGTCCTGAATGGGTGTCGTGGATTATAAATTTTATAAGACCTTTAGATGCGGTGAGTTTGTGGTTTTGATTCTTCTCCCCTCCTGTGAAAAAGTGTTAGTCATTTCTGGCCACATTCAAAGGTTGCAAAAGCCACAGGCGATTGCTTTTACTGTGAAGGCAAACAGACTGAATTAAAAAAATAAATAAAAACCTCCTGTTCAACCTGTTTCTCATCAGCTGGATTTATTTCTGCAGTGTTGCAGCTCATTAAAAAAGTCACAACTGTAATATGGTTCCTGTTTGTAACACTATCCTTGTGTCTGTGTTATTTATATAATGAATCATATCATCTGACTCTTACAGAAAAAAGGAAAGTCAGTGGGAAATTGTTTAAAACCATTAAGCATGAAAAATGATTTACTTGCCTGTCAGTGCCATATAAAACTTTTCAAACGCTGTATTACCCTTATTTAACTTCATTGTACTGTATTCTTTTGTTCTTTGTTGGTCTTGTTTTTTTTTTTCTTTTTGCATGGTAAAATAAAAAATATATATATTTGAGAGTTAAAGCACTGGACTGTTATGACTAGTTTTCAGTCCTTAAGGGCCTGCTGCTTGATGGATGATGTTTACATTGCAAAGAGTTGAATTTTAAAGGTACATTTGTCTGATTTTTTGTCACTTTACTCAGTTAAAGCTACCATGGAATGGCAGGTTCAAATGCGAATTTTATGTCAAGGTATTTAAGCCATTTATCGTAATTTCTGAAAGTATTACATCTTGGTTTAATTACTCATTACAATTAATAAAGTCCTTATTTTAGTTCAATTCCCTCTGCACATCCAGCTCTGACTTATATGTGTGCAAGGGCCATTGACAAAGCATATTACTTACAAAACTGCCAGCACTGTCCCTTGTTGAGCACCTGTACTGCCCATTAATGTCCCAGCATCTGTGATCCAGGAAACACAGGAAGGTTCCACTCCCATCTCTGTGAGCATGTCTTTGAGTATGGTAGGTTGGATGGTGTTGAATGCACTTGAAAAGTTGAAGAACATGATCCTCACATAAACCCCAGGTTCCTCCAGATGAGACAGGGCATGGTGAAGCATGTAGAGGACAGCATCATCCACTCCAATGTGTTCTTTGTATGCAAACTGCAGGGAGTCCAGTTTGTCTTTGACCTCAGACCTCAGAAGGTGTAGAATCAGCCGCTCCAGGGTTTTCATGATGTGTGAAGTGAGGGCCACTGGTCTGTAGTCATTGTGTTCAGCAGGACATTTTTTTTTTTGGTACTGGCACAATGCAGGATGTTTTCCACAGAGCAGGTACCCGCCCCAGCTGTCGACTCAGGTTGAAGATCTTGTGGAGAGGTTGACACAGTTCTGCAGCACAGTCTCTAACAGCCTTGGACACACACCATCTGGACCAGCTGCCTTCCCAGGACCAAGTCTTCCAAGCTCCATCCTCACCCCTGTTTCGGTGACAGACAAGGACTGGTGCTCTAGGAGGGAGGCAGTTGAAGTGGTTGAGACATTTGAACAAGATGAAGGAGGAACGGAGAAGTTGTAGAGGAGATTTGTTGTGGAGAGGAAGGTGGAGTAGCAGTGGAAGTGGGTGTGACAGCAGTGTCGAATCTGTTGAAGAACAGGTTGAGTCCATCAGCTCTTTTCACATCACCCACCACTGGCTGTCTTTTCTTTTTACTGCTGTGTCCAGAGATGGTACTGATTCCTCTCCACACTTCACAGATGTTGCTGTGTTGTAGATTATTCTCTATCATCTTTTTGTACTCCAGCTTCGCCAACTTTAGTCTCCTCTTCAACTCTTGTTGCACTTGTTTGAGTCGTTCTTTGTCACCATCTTTAAAAGCTTTCTTTTTCTGGTTAAGGATTGCTTTTATGTCTCTTGTGATCCAGGGTTTGTTGTTGGGGAAACAGCGAACAATTTTTGTGGGTATAACTGTGTCTCTACAGGAGTTGACATATTCAGTAAAGCAGTCAACCTGTTTATCAATGTTCATACTATCCACATCTGTTTACAGCAGCACATTCCAGTCTGTTGATTTAAAACAGTCCCTTAGAGCTTCACTGGCTTGAGGTGTCCATCTTCTGATTTTGACTTTGATCACAGGCTGCCTCAGCACAAAAGGTCTGTAACAGGTTTGCAGATAGACCAAGTTATGATCTGACTTGCCCAGTGGTGGTAAGGCAGTGGCTCTGTCGGCTTCTTTGACATTGACATACAGCAGATCCAGGGTTTTGTTTTTTCTGGTAGAACAGTTCACAAACTGTGAAAATCCAGTCAGGTGTGTAGCAATCAAGACAACCCTGGGTGTGAAACTCACACATTCCTCACAGGAAAGTTTCCTTATCTGATCCCAGGACACAGGATATAAATCTTTTCAGACTGGTTTGTACTTTCAGGTTACCTAAATGACCCGACCGGAGGTTGACTAAACCTCTGACTCTTCACGATTGGTCGATTCGGAGAACAGAGACAGAGTTTTTATTACCTTTCAAACTGACTCCATTGCTGACCATCTAAATAAACATTAACGTCTCAACCCAGATCTCCCATTTGAGATTTAGCGTCTTAAAGTGTGTGAACATACGGACCCCAGGATATGGGGGGACACTGACCTCCAGACCTCGGCCGTAAAACCCTGCTCGACCATACACTGATAAAGACTGCATTCCTTTCCTTTGGTGAAAGAATACAAATGACTGATCCTGACATCTTATGCATTCAGCAATGTGCTAATCTGTCTAATCATGAAATTTGTGTTAAAATGAGATGTTTCCCGTTTTTCTATGTGCTCCAGAAGCAGAGTTATCACTCTGACAGAATAAATCCTTTATTCTTTTGTTTCTTTAGACCAACAGCTTTTCAGACTGTTTCATGAACTTTTAAGAGTTAACTTTATTGACTATGAATCAGAACTTTACTCTTAAGTAACAGAAATGGTCTAGAAATGTTTGGTTTATATTTTAGCTGTTTATTTAGTATTTTTAACCATTAGGTGGTTATAATGTCATTGAATAACCTGAATGTGAGTATTTAGAATCCATTATTAATCATGAAGTTCATTCACATGTGTTTACTCTTTTGTTGTTCACAGTTTCCATGTGTTACTATCTGTTTCATTTCAGAGTAATTTAGCATGTTCAATGTGATACTTAAAACATGATGAGAATGTTTGATGTGATCCTACACTTCATTCATATGTGTTTAGTATCAAATCATTTTTCATGAAACAAAGCATTCAATGATATTAATCAAAGTGAGTGAGTATCAGATCTGACTCTTTTACCAGCCAAAAGAACAAGTTAGATCAAATAATCAGAGATCCCATGAACCCTCCTCTTTCTCCTCACACACACACGCCAGAGACACTCCCAGTGTGAGAAGATAAAACCAGTGAAGTGGGGTTGCTCTTTTCTTATCTGCTCTTCTCTTATGCCCCGTACTCTTGTACCCTTCCTCTTCTCTCCTCTTCTTTGTTTTCTCTTAGAACTTTTTCTTAGTCTTCTAAGTTTTACGCCACATGTTGATTCACGTTGATTTTTCTTTAACATCGTCTTAGTTCAAGTTTTGAAACTTCAACTTTTTGTGCACATAGCAATTCAAGATTAAGCCTTTGATTGATTTTCCTTTAATTTCGCGAAGCCATTTTTGAAAGTTTTCTCTGCTCGAGTCTCGTTTTTCTGAGTGATCTGCGTGATTTCAAAGTCACCTCTGAACGCAACCCAGCAGGCCCAGGTCATCCTCTGTGCCAGAGTTTTTGAGTGAGACCAAAGAAGTACCCAAACGAGCATCCACAGGATCCACAGGCGCCGGCTTTGTTTCGGGCCCGAGTGCTGCAACTCCTGGCTCATCCTTCGGCTGACTTCAGTCGTCTTCTGAGCTGAACCGCTCGAACCGCCAGTAGCCCCGGACCTTCGGAACCTGCTCCATCTTCTCCAAGGACCAGTCTCACTTAAGTATGCAAACCTCCAGAGCTCCAAAGAGGGCTGGTGCTGTCTCATGCATTCATAACTCAGATATCCACTTATTCTGGTAATCTTAGATTCCTCCAAATCCACATCCGAGTTTATCTCGACACCAAAGTTAGTGTAGGTTAATATGTTAGCGCATATTCACTCACTATCATTAACTTTAGTGCTCCTAGCCTGACTCAGAATCTTTATTTATTCACCTATTATTATTTATCCTCATTATCTTATCATCATTTATTGCATGTATGTTGTACCATCATTTATCCTGTAATAAACAAATCATTATTTTTTTTAAGTTCTTGTCTGTTAGTGTTCTTCCAGAAGTGGAGTCCCTGAAATTAGAATTTCGACTTAAGATATGAGACTGATTAATTAAAACTGACTTGATGTTTGATTTCTGAATTAAACTTTTGTTTTTCTTTATTTTCCCACCATTAAGGGTGGGTGGTGCCCCTTTCAACGAGTGCATAAATGTCATAATTTGAGATTATTAATCTTCAGACATTTATTATAAATTCCAATCGCTACAGTAGTATTTTGGTGCAGCCGTGTGAGGCTCATTTCAAATCGCTACAGGTGAGAGGAGAGGCTGACATGGTTGAAGTCTCCTGATATTATTATTAGTGCCTCCAGGTGTTGAGTCTGTAGCAACACTATTATGCAAAACATTGCACAGAATTTCTTCAGTTGATTTGGGTGGGATATAAACAACTATTGTTATGATATGACTGAATTCTCAACTGCCAACAGTTCAATATCTGGACAACACAACTTCTCCTTGACAGTTATGTGTGAAGGGTTACATCATCTCTGGTTGACAAATAAAGCCAGACCTCCTCCTTTCTTCTTGCTACTAGCTTGAGCATCTCTGTCTGACCTTTTGAGAGTGAAGCCAGGCAGACCCACACTGGAGTCCAAGTTGTTTTGATTCGACCAGGTTTCAGTAAAACACAAGAAACTGCACTCACGGTATGCTTTCTCAGTCTTCACCAATATCTCCAGCTCGGAGATATTGGGCAGAGAGTTGACGTTTCCCATGATGGTTAATTAAAGAAAGGGTTTATATCACCTAGCATTCAGCTTTGCCTTCACCTTTTCACCAGAACGGCAACCATGATAACACCTCCTGATGTCCTCAGTAATTGTCTTTTGTTGTCCATATTTGCTTTTCCTCAATAAAAGGAGCTCTTTTCTTGAGTAAACTCTTCACCCAGCAGAAGTATCCATCAGCAGCCAACAAAATGACAAGAATATGAAAAAAAAAAATCTAGCAAAAATGACAGAAATACAGAGAGACCAGACTTGCAGCAACCTCTCGGTTCAAGCGCATCATTTTCATTTTCATCATCTTTCACCCCTGCCAGGTCAAATTGCATGCACTGCCAGTTCAAGGAGATTGATCTACTTCACTGCGGGGTGCACTCTTTCATCTGTGTCTTTGTCCATCAGGATGCTATGTGCACTTTGTACAAGAGAATAATCTGAGTAGCTGTCGCTTGGATTCCCAGATAAAATATGAAATAGTACCAAAGGTTGGTGAAGGTGGTAGTGCCTCTTATGGACATGGTGTTTGTCTCCATCTATGGGGCATTAGGGAATAACGCAAGATAACCTATCGCCGCATAAAATCAGTTAAAAGGTCTACTTGAGAGGTTAATTTGTTTTAATGATGCTGCTGTTTCAAAAAGGCCAATTTCCAGCTATTTTTAAGCTAACAAAAAAAAAAAAAAAAAAGGATTTTTACTTATCAAAAAACATATAATTTTGTGATATACTTGCCTACTTTGTCAAAGAAGAAGAGCTTGCCTTTTTTATATTTTGAAAAGCTGCGTTGATGGAGTTTCATTTCGAGGGTTTTCCGTCCTTTTGTTCAGGTCGGAACTATTCTTTGTAGCAGTGAGGGGAAGGATTTTCTCATCGGACTCTGTTGCTGATTACATATTTCAGAATAGACACTACACTGGTGAGTGTTTTCTTCACAATTTAAAGCCTTAGGCGCTGACAAACGGATATTTAACAGCATCAGTACATAAGTTAAGCGTATTTGGTCTCTGGTGTTTGTCAGTTTCAGACAGTAAAATGTGAACTGTGAAAACCTGATGATATTAAGGCCTGGGTAGCTGACGTTAGCAGAGCTACGCTAACATCACACAACAACAGCAGACTAGCTCGGCGGCTAATGAAACCTGAACATCAACTTCCTCAGCGTGGACCTGCGTTTGCTGTTCTGTTTGTTCCTCATTTCTTAGTTCCTGTTTTCTGTAATGCAGCGCACTCTTTGTTCTCAGTTTTCTATCTAACCTCCATGGGCGTTGTTCATATAAAGTCTTGTGAATTAAATGTAAGGTGGTGTGAAATCAAAATTTGGAGTCAAGGCTCGAGCTCGGCTAAGCAACACATGACGTCATTTCACGAGAGAGGCACAGCTGTCCCATAGAGCAGCAGCAGCTGCTGTAAGACAATATTCCTCACTATGGTGAAAATACCAGTTGACATTGTGATCATTCACAATGGTAAAACTAAAAGTTGAAGTTGCACTCTTCACATTAAAAGAAATCATCTCAGGGTCAGACCGGCAGGCTCGGGGAGTAGAGGTGTTCGAGCAGAAGCAGTGTTTAGATGCAGTTGTAGATTTGATTTGATCAAACATTAATCCCAGAACCAATATGATGTAGTTTTCAAATACTACATTGTATCGTAATAGAAGTAGATGGTTTTGTATAGGAGGGTGTCCCTGTCCATAGAGGCCGACGTCTTGCACTGCCATGTTTGTACAGTAGCATTTGATAGATGTACTATTAAAGGCCACACATGTTGTTGAATTTAGTGTTTGGCTGCGAAAAAATGCACGAGAAGAAAGACAAAAAAAGGAAGTAACTGTCATGTGCACAAGAACATGCACCACAGGAGTTTTTTGTCCTCAAAGGCCACCATTTTTTATGGAACCTTACTGACTGGAGGGGTGAGCAAGGGGGCATTTTAGTCTTGAATTTGGAAATATCACAAACATTTTAACTTCTACAAATTTTAACTGTTTACAGTATGTCAGGGGAAGATATGATACCAATCTTAGGAAAACAGATTGGCTGATGGCTGATGTGTGATGCTGATGTCACAATGTGTGATTTTTAAAAAGTAAATAGTGAATCAGTTTGTTTTTCTTTTGCATTTAACAAAACAAAACTATTGAACAATATCAACAAATGAAGAAGAAATAGCTTAAATTTAGTAAATATTTAACCACATTTCTGATTAACAGCCTGAAATTGTTTAGAAAGACAAGTAATACATGTTAAAAAATATTGGGGTAAAATGAAAAAGACAGCCATCTACAGAGTCATTGTTTAATACACAGTGAAATCTAGTACAAATGGTTTTCTTGGCTTCTAATGTTTTAGGTGGGTCATTAACACATCAGTGGAAAGACACATGGTAAACGTGGCTTGTTGTCATTCCTAAATTAGGGTATAATGCAATATTATAGCTAAGCCAATGACTGTTTTGAATTGGATATACTGTTAATGGGTAGTTGGACAGACATGTTGTCATGTAGCAAAGATGATGATGATGTTGGCCTTTTGAGGTCCAATGTCTATTATGTTAAAATGCCAATAATCAGACAAATTAATCAGCTTGCCAAATTAATTGGTCTATCTCTAATTTCCACACACTGCAAACTGCCATAAAAATTTGACGTCATCAGACACTACAGAACTAGTGAATTTCCTCTCAGGGATAAACAAAGTTCTTCTTATCTTACTTCTTACATGACAGTGTAGTTTGTGCAATTGTGGCGATTTGTTTTTATATCTCATTTTATGCTAGATCATCGTGGCAGAGCTACATAAAAGTCTATCAGTAGACAGGACTACTTTGAAGCAGATTAGGTGACCATTTTAAAAAAATATTTGTTGTTAAATTTCCTATCAACACATTTTTAGATAACTCCTAGCCACAGTAACCAACATTTAAGTGAACCTGTCTGACATGTTGTACTCCTTCTATGTTTATTCATTGACATTTAACATGTAATTAAACAGCAAAGATTTTTCTCTCACGTTCTTTCTTTCTTTGCAAGCAGGTGGAGGGATGAGTCTCTCCCCTGTGATTGGCACAGAGGTGCCAGAAACAGCTAATGGGGAAGTGACTCCCGTCTCTTCAGAGAATGGCCCTCATGTTCCCACCATCTCTGGGAAATGTGGTGAAAGCAGGGTGCCCTGTTCTGTGGAGGAATCAGAGGACAGAGCCCTTAGACACACAGAAAATCATGTAGATGTGGAAAACATAGTTTACTATGGCGAAGGCCGCTTGGACACCGAAACTTACCATAATGAGAGAACATCTAGTTTATCATCTCACACATCCAATGTGACAGACCCCTCAGGGGATTCAGAATCGGGCTCCAAAGACACAGACATTCCCGAGGCCTCAGACACTGCTGAGCCTGCTAGTGCACCACTGCGGTTGGACTTAAAACAGCAAGCACACTCCAAAGACTCATCTTTACAAGAAGACCTTGCCAACAATTACAGACAGCAGACAGATGGAGAAAGTGTAGATGGAAGCATTGGCAGACAGGAAGAGGAGGAGGAGGAGGAGGAAGAAGATGAGGAGGAGGAGGAGGAGGATGGAGAGAAGGAAAAGCAGGATGAAGAGGATGATGAGAAGAAGGAAAAAAAGTGGAGAAATCAGCATGCAGGAGGAAGAACAGAGGTGGAGGTAAGTGCACTGAGGGAATGTGCAAGTTCATAAGATTATGTGTACCAGTGAGAGTGGGGGGAATAATGGGATCCATGGAGAAACCACTGAGGTAAGGTGCACTGCATGAATCACAGGAAGGGCAAAGAAATCACTCTCCACTAAGATTCAGAGTGCTTTGAATTATCTACAACATGGATCATCATTTTTCTAAACGTCTGACTTTGAAGGTGTGGTAGACAGCCCTCAAGCAGAGTGAAAGGATGGTTGATATGAAGCAGTAAACAGATGTTGCTCTCATCTTGTGTCTAAATGACCTGTCTGCATGATTTGACCAGATGTACTTAAACCTTCTTTCTTCTCTTCCACTCCACTCCTGGTCACACTCCACTCAACACTCTCTAGTCATCACGACACTACTCCTCCTCAGCCCCTGGTCCCAGCACTTCGTCCTCGTCCTCTCCACCTCCTCTTCTTCCCTCAGAAGATCTGCCCTGCCCTCCCCATGTCATGGCTCAGGTCTGGGTGCGCAATGTCCGGGGAATGCAGGACAGCAAGAGCCTGGATGAAATCAGCCAAGCGTGTGGAGGTTGGTATCTTTTGGGTCAGTTTTTGCATCCTAACTATCTGAAGATAAGCTTCCATATTTTAAGGACTCCAAAATTATTGTCACAAAACCTTCAAGTGATTGTGGCATGTGCTTCACAGGTGGTTCAGGAGCACGAGGAGGAGGCAGAGGTGGCCAATCCGAGGGTCGAAGGGCCACAATCTCCTCAGCTCTGGAGCTCGAAGGGACAGTCAGCCACGAAGGAGACTTGACGAACTTCATCACCAAGAACCTGGAGCAGAAAATCAAGATGAGCTCCAAGCCCAGTCTGGACTGCAGTGACTGTGAGTATGGAGCTTAAACAAACTTCACCACATTCATATTGTTATTTTGTAACTTGTATAACCCACAACACAATTTATTGATTCCACCTAATAATTTCAAAGTGAATAGAAATGCGGGCCAAAGAGGTATGTGCAGGTAGATGTGTGTTTTACAAGTGTTGGCACAAGAGGGTTCGCATATACACTCTAGTCAATATTTGTTTGTATCAGTGTTCATTTCATTATCAAAAATAGTAGTAATGAGTTGTCAATGAACTTACTTCTATGATGACGAGGTGATTATAAGCTAAAATCACATTGTAGAAACTCTTAATATTTGTTTTGTGTTTGTCAGCAAAATAGTTAGAAGACCTAATTGTTGGTGGTGGATCATCAGACATCCAAAATCTGTGATATTATCCTCTGATGTGAACCCGATCTCTCACTCATAATTCAAGCATTCTTGTGACTGAATGAATTAGCAAGATCTCTGACAGTCAGCAGCTCAGCAGGGACAGAACAGCAACAGCATTACATTGGTGGTAGAGTCTGGTCTATGTTTTCCAACTAGCTAAAGTATCCAGATATTACACCAAATAAAAACAACAAGACAGCAAAAATTGAAACACTGAGTACAACGCAGGTACTGTTTTATGATCAGCTGAATGGATGACTTCAAAACCAAAACATCTTGACTGAAAGTGATGACTTTGATGTTTCTGACTAGACTGAAACTAAAAGGCCAATAAAAGAGAAATTGTTACTAAAACTTATAAGCATTTTCTTCTAAAGGTTGAGGACTCAATTTAAAATAGCTGCAGAAATAAACACTACATCCTGATAGACAGACTGTGCTCATTCATGTCTGTTTTCTATGACTCTGTGACATTTGAGTGTAAGCTGGCTCTGTGGAACAGTTGTTTGAGTTTTCTTGTGCAGAGGGAGCTGTCAGACTTGGCATCTCTGCAGGTTAATAACATTTTTTATTGGTGGTAGTGCTGGAACTGCATTGCAGGGTATCTGACTTTGTCATAACCACAGCCAGTTATCCCCACAGGGGTGAACACACCCAGTCTGCCACTACTCATCTTTTATGCATTACTTTGGACTTGTCCTAACCATAAGAGGTAATGGATCCACTGTGTTAAGCAAATGAATAGCAGGGTCTGATGGATGCTAACATGGATCATCTCCTCCCCTGTAGTGCTCAGAGTACAGCAGTATGTATTAGCTTCTTCAGGAAAATTTGAATTGAACTCATATCTAACACCTATTTAAGACCCGATTCTTTCTAAATTGATTCTTAACTTTGTATTTATCCTTTTTTCTCTTTGTGACCTGGCCCTCCTTTTGATCTGAGCACATCTATGTTAGCCTTTGTAAGAGAATACAAGACTGTAGGTTGTTTAACCAGGCTGACTAATGCTGGGCTTCCACCAAACGATTTTCACAGTCCCAGACATAAAAATTGAAAGTCTGAAGTAAATCCTGGAGTTTTACTAGAGTCACAGCGCAGTCACAGTGCGCTCCCGTCATCTCGATCGTCAAGCTTAAGGTGGTAATCAGCACTGTTTTGTATCAGTCTTTTCCTAGTCTTGGGTCTGCGACAATATCAAATGTGTTTGATGTGATCGCAAATCGCAGTGATGTAACACAACCAACAACCGGTAGATGAGCTCTAGCAGAGAAGGAAACCTGACAGTCAAAACAAGAAGAACAAGAATCTATGAAGAATAACGGGATAAAAAAGGAGTGGATAGTGGAGCTGTGGGGAGATCAGCCTGGCCTGTTCAACATCAACCACAGGGTTTCCCTACATGTAATGGCGCACCACCATGGCTAAATAAAAGCCGCCACATCTAAACAATGACGTTTTTTTAAGCGCTACCTCGGACTCGGTATGTATCAATATACGCAGCACACATGGGCTGCACCACGGGGCGTGCGTGCTGAGTATTAACATTACTGAGTTCATAGTTGTCAGATGTGAACACACAGCTGATTAACGAGCCACCCCCCCTTCGAATCACACACCACCACAGATAGATTCCCCACCAGTGGGCAACACTGAATTGTCAAAAAAGGCTAAATGAATCTAGTTGTAGTCTTGTAAATAGTGACCCTGCAAGATTCACAGTCTTTGTAAATCTCAGTCTGAGACTCAGTCTGAGGTGATAGTTTTCCAGGAGTCTTTTCCAAATCTTCTCAAAGTCCTCTGAAGGAAAGCTGGCCAAAGTGAAAGTGAGGCCCTTAAATGTCATGTATAAGTGCACCCACAGGATGTGAGGAAAAGCTGCAGCATGTAAAGGCATGTTTAATAATGCAGTAACAAGATCACTCGCAATAAATTAGCTGATCCTGAAGCATGCTTACATTGTATGATGTTACCGTTCTTATGTCTTGGCCCTGTTAGGCATGTTTTAAAGAGTTCCTGACTTTGTCACACATTCACTTGACACCTACTGCATTTTGAAATAATTCCAAAATGCAGAGCTGTGTTTGTTTTTCCTCAGGAGGCCTTTGTTAACTTTATTCCCACTGTCTTTGTTTTACAATTCCTGTCTCGGGGAGATTTTTAGATAATGATTAAATTTAACTAAGAGTCAGACTTTGCCCTTGGTCACACTATCTTTTATCCGTTTCCGGGTAATTGAATTGGCCTGAAACAGTTTTAACACAGCTGTAGAAGCTTAACCTCCAGAAATGGACACAGATAGGATTCTTTAGAAGGTGACACATACACAGGTTCTTCATACATCAAATCCTTTTTATTAATGTAGCAGGTTGACCAGGTCTATTAGCTGCAATCTGTCTTGTCAAATTTTCTACGGGTAAGACAGAAATTGCCGCTCCTCTTTCAGAGAAAAAACCCCTTTGGTATACAGTGTCAGTAAAACCAGCCGTTTCATTTAAAGACAGGAAAACAGTCAATGTGCCCTGTGTGGCAGGCAGCCACTCCCTCTACCTGCTGATTCAATTAGGATGGATGACTCAGACTTTGTTTAGACTGGGGGGATTTATAACTGAGGCCCCGCTGCAGCCTGACAGGAATCATTTTCAGAGATGGAAACCTGTTTCATTTGGTCCACCGGCTGCAGGCAATTTGTCAATCCAAAGATGGATTGATTGAAGGCACACATGTTCCGCAAGATTGGTGCCTTCATTAGTTCAAATCTGTGCTGGCACTATTTTAGCAGGAGCACATGTCTTTTCAGTTGCCCTTGTGAGTTGATTTGTCCATGTCTTTTTTCAACACCATGTCTTTGAGCTTTGTGCTCGCACAGAGATTGAGCTGGCTGTGTGGTCCCTGACATCAGTTCCTTTAAACGTCTCAAGTGGAACCTGTATCTCCTTCATTCATCATTGAAAGTCTGTTGTTGACTGTGATTTGACTTTGAGTTTTGCTAAGTTTTTTAAAGCTTTTTTTTTAAGTCAAGGTCTTTTAATTGTTTTTTTTTTTTGAACAGTTTACAGCAAACATATAAACATCAATGATGTGCAGTCTCATTTTTGAACAGTGAAACACCTCCCCTCCAACCCAAAGCTCCAACAGAGCCCCTTTCCCAATGTACTCCATTTAACCCTTGTACCTTCTTTCCTCAGAATCCCTAATCTGGTATTAGTGGCACGGAACTGCCACTGTCACTTAGTGGCCTGTAAAATCATCTATAAATGAAAAGTTGCCCTTTTCTTATTATGGCTGTCATTATTGACTTCTGCTCTAACCACTCAAAAGAAAAAATCACTCAGTTTCAAACTTTTAACCCCTTTAATTTTAGTGTAAACACACCGTAAAAAATGCCAAAAATTTTAAAAAGTGGTAAAAACATTAAAAGAGTAATGCAAAATCAAATTTCTTTGTGCAAGATTATCAGAACCTATGAGTGGTATAAGTATGTGTAAAATTAGTTTTAGTTGCAGTTTCAGTTTTTGTGTCACAGCAGAAAATAAAAAAAAACGACTAATCTGGCATTAGTGGCACGGAACTGCCACTGTCACTTAGTGGCCTATAAAATCATCTATAAATGAAAAGTTGCCCTTTTTTTATTATGGCTGTCATCAGTGACTTCTGCTCTAACCACTCAAAAGAAAAAATCACTCAGTTTCAAACTTTTAACCCTTTTATTTTAGTTTGAACATACAACGCAAACGTGTGTGTGTGTGCTTGCGCTCAGTGGAGCTAGTGAAGCGAGCTAACCTGACTCCGCCACGTGGTGGCGATCGCTGTGTGTGCGCGTGTGCTTGCGCTCAGTGGAGCTAGTGAGTCGAGCTTTCCTGACTCCGCCACGTGGTGGCGATCGCTGTGTGTGTAAGTGTGTGTGTGTGCGTGTGTGGAGTGTGTGTGTGGGGTGTGTGTGTGTGTTTGTGCTTGCTTACGATCGGCGGAGCTGAGGGAAGGTATCTCCAGAACAGGTGGCGCGGCACAGTAATTAGTATGAGATACGTCGGACTGCCGGATGCAAAACCCCGTTAACCGGAAGAAGAAGAGGTCGGCTACCACCTCCAGAGCAGCCAGCGGCTCCCCGCCTTTGCTGCCGCGGGCCTAAGGCTATCTGATCACGGGTAACGGGGCGGCTGTACCCGGGGCAACCTCGGACGCTTGGGGCGCATGTGCCATGAACGCAATCGCTGGCTGTGACGAGCGCGCGCAAGATCATGCGCGTGCACAAACATTTGCACACGAACACACACGACCATGCACACACGGAAAACACTAACACATGAAAAAAAATACATGCACACCTGATTTATTCACTTCTACAGTCTACTTTTGTTTTTTTGCAAAAAATGGCCTCTCACTGAAGGTCAATAACGGATATGAAAACAAATGAAATTTCAGCATTCATGATTTGAAAAAATTGAATTGGAAATAGACTCAAGATAAAATGCAAAAAAATGGGGGGTAAAATCTGATTTGAACTCTTGTGGCGGTATATTACAAACAGGTAGCAGATTTTCCTTCCAAAAGACTGCATCTATCATAGGCTGTAGTTTACGGGTGTGTCAAACTGCCAAAATGGTAAAAAAAAACAAAAAAACACCAGAATAACAAATTTGAGACAGTTTCATGCCCAAATAAAGTAAAATGATAAAAATAAAATAAAAAATTGCTTCCTTTTATTAGAGATAAAGTTATGTGCATTTTTTGATTTTTGAATATTGTAATTTTTGTCAAATTCCCATAAGGAATAATGGGGTTTTGACCACCTGGCTAGATCAGCCTCTATTATTCATGAAAAAAAAGGTGCACCTTGTGGCTGAAAGTGCACAGTGCATCTTTAATGTCTTCTGAAAAGGGGGAAAACAGTCTTTGCTGAAATTCATTTTTTCCCACTGATATGGGTATATGTAAAGACAAGTGGTTTCCCATTGGAATGCATGGGGCACTTGTGTGGCGCTAATACCAGATTAAGCATATTTGAAAAAAAAACACACAACCATAGGGTTTTTTTTCTTCAATTTCACGTATATCATGCCTCATCACAAAATACACATTTTCTAGGAATTTCTTTGCAAGGGCATTAATAGAAAAAAAGTTGTAGCATCAAAGAGAAGGCCTTACCCCTCCAGAAACCTTAAGAAGGTACAAGGGTTAATAAAAGAAAAAAGAAAAAAAATTAAAATTAAATATATGCAAATATGCACAAAATCATACATATGCCAGATGGCATACAATTTCTGGTCATTGCCTCTTGTGATGTAACGTGTTTACTCAAATGTCAAATGATCAATAATATTATTTATCCATGATTTAAAAGTTGGAGGATATTTTCTTTCCATTTAAACTGTATCAGTGGACGTGCGAGAAGAGAGCCAAAAGCTATCATAATCTTTGACTGACGGCTGATACGTAGATCAGGTGGTACAACTCCAGAAATTGCTTTTATAGGAGAAGGTTTTAAGGATATCTTCAAAACATCTGTAGAAGTTGTAAATATCAATTTCCAAAACTGGTCTTGTTTTGGGCAGGAACAAAACATATGTGCGAGGGTGCCTGGTGCTTGTCTACATCAGTCACATATGGGAACAAAAGCAGGAGCATTTTACATAGCCTGACTTTGGAGGATGGAGGCGACGCAAAATCTTGAATTGAATCACCGCATATCTTAAGCAAATAGAAGAAGAATCTATTTTTTCTAAAGCTTCTTCCCAGACTTTCTCAAAAAACTCTGTCTCCAATTCTTCTTCCCAACATTTCTTTAAGTCAAAGGTTCCACGTCTTAAGAATTAATTAATAAAGTTGCTACATTTTTGTCTTTTATTTAGTGGTTATTTAGTGTTTCATTTGATGAAATTACAAATGAAAGTCTGTATTTGGTCAGCGTTGTTTGGAGGCCTATAGACATGAATAAATCAATCATTACAATCATTATCTGTCTTACCAGCGGACTGCTCAGGTCCCATATACCGAAGCCGGGGGCTGACACGGAGACCAGCAGACATCCCTCCGATTGACCCTGCTGTCCTATTGGATCTTCAGAAGCACACACAGGAAGTGGCTCAAAGTGTGGAGATGATGATGCGAAGCCTCAATGGAACCATCCAGAACGTGAGTTCCAAACTAGATTAGGAAGTGATATTTGCAGTGCTGTTCAAGCCCCCCTCCCTTGTTGTCTTTGACACTAGCTAGTTTTTTTTGGATCAGCCTCTCATTGGTTTGTTTCTCTCTATTCCTCCAGATGACCGCCTTGAGTGTTGGCTACATTCAGACCTACAGAGACTCAGTTGACAGTCTGGGGGAGTCTGTGGACATGAGTATAAAGGTGAATTTTGTCTTGCTTTGTGTTTGTTTGTTTGTGACAGGAATTAAGTGCATGCATTAAGTAATTCTTTTAAACTTCCTAAATTACAGGGTATAGTAATCCTTTAATTTTTGCCCAGGACTACAAGAATGTATTTCACAGGGCATAAACTATTTTGGGGGGAGAAACAGGAAATGTAGACCGTGGGGGTGACGAGCACTAGGTTCTGTTTGATCTTGGAATCAATTCGACAGTCAGTGCGATGAAGACTGTAGCAAGTACATAAAGTACCTGAGGGAGCAGACCACAGAGTGGCCTCGACATAACCAGTCTGTCTTTGAGTAAGCCAGCTGAGCAAAGTCTGAAGTTTGACTCACAGATGCCATCATGAAACGGGATTATAAACTTGAGAGGAAATAATGAACACAGACAAAAAAGTTATTGTAGTGTTGCTGCAACCCAGGAAGGAAAGGAAAAAAAAACTGTGCCACTCTGTAAATGAATTTATCAGTTTTACCACATGATAAAGGCCGAGTGCCACATAATTGACGGGTGCTGAGTCTATCAGCAAAAAAACAAGGGGAGGGAGACGGGGCAGGGGCTATTTATGAACAAAGCAAATTAATGAAGATGGACGGGACAACATAACCAGGTCTCACTGAGTGTGGAGTAAGTGGATTTGGCCGTGTTAAAAGAGAGCCAGCTCTGAGACACATAGAAACTTTCAGTTTTGGCTCAACACAACTGGCTACTCTTACACACACACACACACACACATCCACCCCATCCCATCCCACTGTCTGCCACCAAAGCCAAACCAGAGCCCCAACAAACATTAAAATAGACTCTGTAGAGACCCAAACCAGGAATGTGAAATGTTGAAGGGCCACAGAGGCTTTCAACTGTGTAATAGAAAGGACATTACAGTATGTCGCCTCAGGGCAACTGTGGACAAGTCTGTCCAAGTCTTGATTCCCTGTGCCGCCATCATTTTATCTCCCTCTGGTTTATGGCTGATGTCTTTATTTGAGGATTAGCTTTTTCATGGCTTGTACTTTTTTCCTCCTTCAGGGCATGTACACACTTATGGCTCGCTGTGAGGAGCTGGATCGTTCCATGCAGCCCATACACACCTTGGCTGCACAGATCCGTGACATCAAACGCACCCTGGATGCTCTGGAGGCGATCTGCAAATAACTCTACCGGTCCGGTACAAATAACACACAACCCAGCTGCACAGCTCTGACATCAAGCACACCCTAAACAAGGCTGCCTGCAAGTAATCCACCCTCCTGCAGGGAATATACACACACTGCAGCGAAGATTCAGTACTCCTCTGGATCCCAGGAACCATTGCTATTAGGCATGCTGGATGATTGCGCTCTTTGTCCCTCTGCTTGTTCATTGTTTGAAGGTGACCCCGTTTGTGTTGTAAGAATATGGTCGAGTTGGCCTTGATTTGTTCTTGGGGCTGAGCTGTCTCGTTTTTAATTTTTTAATGAAACAACCTCACTTTCTCTAAAGAATCCATCATGAAACTCACAATTAACCGGTTTGGGAGATGTTTTGCCAGGACACATATATACACACATGCACTTACACACCTTCAAATCCAATAAAGGGGTGGGTAGATACCCTTTTCTCCCAACTCACACTCCAGGGTGAACTCGCGCGTTGTTATCCGTCCAGCCCTCTTGGTTCAGATTGCACTAACCTTTCCTTCCCACATGGGGGCGATGTCTTTCTCTTTGTCTGGCTGATGGAGAGGCCAGTAGGAACTGCTCAGAAGACAGTGACTTTTGCACAGGAACAGAAAGTCTATTTTTTAATCTTATGCAAAAAAGATCAGATTTCTTCACTGCAGGATAAAAGAGGGCAAGGGAGCATTATTGTCTGTACGTCTGTCTGCTTGTGTGTCTGTCTTTTTCATGTGTTTATTTATTTATTCATTTTCTCAGCATGCTCATGTTTTTCAAATATACTGGTACTTGGTGTCACTTGGGACTGACCAGTTTGGCTGGATTTCTCCCTCTGACAACCACTGAACAGCTTCACTGGAGCGTTTGAAGTCAAAGCTCAAATCCAACTTAAAGGTACTCAAAGAAAGTCTGAAGAAAGTCGTTTGTTTTTTTTCTAAGACTGTCTGAGTGAAAATGCATGTCTGCTTCCTTACCTGTATTCTTTAATTTGGACAAAGATTGAACTTCCTCACCTGTCACGTAGCAGTCCAAAATGTTTGTAAAAATGTAGCTGGAAAACTATCTTACATAGCTTTATGATGCGACTTTAGGTATAAAAGCTCACTGAACCTGGGATTTGACTTTGAAATGTCTCCAATTCAAAGAGCATTTGCATTATTTAACCAATTTGAAGATTTTTCATGAAATCTTTTAGAAGCTCACATGTTGCTCTGAGCATCAGTAACTGGATCATGGTTTTCAGCTCTGAATTACCCAACTCAAAAACATATACAGTCATGACAAACACACCATCTAAAACCATGAAATTCTTGGAGCCAGATAAGAATTTGCAGCTAATCTTCAGCTCTATATGAATTACTTTGGGCTTTGGACTGTAATCGAGTTTTACTTACGTTTCTCATCATGAATAAAACTATTCATTCTGCTTCAGCTGCTTTAATATGCGAAGCTTACAAATGAAAATCCTGCAAATTTGATTCAAATCAGTTCAGGTCTGTAACTTATTGTATGGCTTTGTCACAGAAGAATAAAACAATCAGAAGTTGAACTGCTGTGCGGCATCTCCTCGCTTATTTTTGCTTCAACACAGCGGACAGGACTCTTTCTTTCACCAAAGAAAAACTTCATTTGGGAATAACAACTGGTAGGATTTTCTTTGCAGCCTTCAGATCTGAAGAAATTTTGATTTGTTCTGCTTTTAACAGAATAAAAAGGAGTCATTTCTGTTCGTGTTTTACTCATTGTTGAATCCACTGAACAACTGCAGGGTCGTCTTTTCTTGACTAAGCCGAAGCAGTTTGTTCTCATAAAGCATTGTACCTGAAGAAGAGACTGTGGTTTGTCTGTCATTGCACTGGTGTGTAGCCTTGTACTAGATTATGCTATTTGTACTACAGTGTCATACTTTTACATGTGCACTTGTTACTGCTGGCAGAAAGCCTGTAACCTGACATGAGTGGTGATGGTGTTGTGATAACTCTGTTAAACTTAACTTTTTCAGATTTCCAACACTCTTACTGAAAGATTTTCAAATCAACTACTGATGTGGAATTTGGGAAATTCAATCAGCTGAGTCATGTTAGGGCAATACTGCAGGCAAATAAAGAAGACATTTTATAATTGGCCTTGTACTGTCACTCAATGCTACACCTGCTGATGTGTTTTCACCACTTCTACAAAAGGTAGTTATTGGCTTCCCCAAAAGCCCTTAACCTCCTGCTACTTTCCCTGTTAGCAAGGATTCAAGAAAATTGTCAGGAGACATACAACTAAGAAAAGTAGCACCATTGAAGAGCTGGCATTCAAGAGAAAAAAGATCCTGGATCCCCCTGATGTTACTGAAATTGGTCAAACTTGGTTATGGTTGTACACCTTTTTGCAGATAAGAGTAAAACTGTCCAGAAAACCGATATTTTGGAGTCTTAGTAGATTTCTGAGGTGTGAGAGGACCTAAAGATGGAAGACATGAGAGGAAATGACATCTTGTCATCCATGATATTATATATATATATATACATAATATATATATAAATGTATAATTAATTTCTGTTGTAAAATCAGATGCGCCTGTGTACATATTGATCTCTTACTGTAACTAAAAAATGATTTAGATACCCTTTGTCTTGAGTGTATATTTTAATGAAAAATAACAAATAAATTTACATGAGCTGCAAAAACATGTTTCATTACTTCATTCCCGTGGTGAACTCCCTTAAATAGCGCTGAGTAGTTTAATAAAAACAAAAAACATAAACATGCTAGTTGTGTTATCATAAGAAAGCCTTGAGCAGACAGGAAATCCATACATTTGAGTTTCTCCAGTTTCCTGTCCTGACTAGAACCACCAAATGTGGTGTCTGAGATGCACCTCTAACACCTCTTGATGTGGTCTAAAAAAGTGAGCCCATTCACTTTTCACTCAGAGAAATGTACCAAAACAAGCAACGACTTCAATGCACAGAGCATTCTGGGTACACAGAGAGACATACAGTACCACTATTAGACACTTTAGACACTTTTCTCCCTCATTAAGTCCTAATTCTTCATTTGAATGAAAGTGTGCTTTTCTTTTAAGTAAGTAAACCTTTTGAAAGGTTGGTTTGATTGACAAGAATTATTCCTTAACTTAAGACAGCAAGTGACCAGCAGGGGTGAAAAATAGTGAGGGTCTTTATGAAATGCATGCAGGCAGTGGGTTTATCCATACCTCACATTTATCACTGCTGTTGAGGGTGTGATAACCTACTGTGTGGGTATCTGGCAGGGTGGTGATAACAGATGGTACAACAAAGAACTACACATTCACATGAAAACTGTGCATTGCTGACTGCTATGGAAGATCACCCAGAGAAAGACAGTTCAAACCTGTTGCCCTCAGGGAGCTCCCCCAAAAACGCACAGTAAATGTTGGGATGCATGTCTGCTGAGGGTTTGTGTCAGATGTGGAGTTATGTACTGACCACTTCTTCAGAAGTCCTTGGATGAGTACACATTTAAATTAAAATACACACTTATTTAACCACACTATCCACTTTAATTACAAGATAGTGAGAACAAGTGACGATATTCTGAAACAGTAGAAAAAGCACAGGTGCCACACGGAACCATGCTTTCCAGTTTAGCTAGAAAGTCCATGAAACTGAAACATACCCAAAACCAGGACACTGAACCTGAAGCATCTAAATGGAATTCAACCATCATTAATTTGGTGAGTCAAATAAGATGTATTTTCATCTGTGGTTTATCCTTTGTGACACGAAAAAAGATGGATGTCAGTTGTAAGGTTTCCATTGGACTCAGGCAGAGGGTGCTAGAGAGCTCAGAAAATGTGTCCTGCAGTTTGGATCATTTTAAACCAGTATAATCCCTCCTGTTATGAGCCAACATGTGGTGCTTCAGAGCTTTTAACAAACTGCAATGTTTCAAGGTGTTGGTTTAATTAACCCTCAGAAACCATATCCTTAATGTTTAAAGCACTCTTATAATGTTCCCTGAGCTCTTGACTGACAGCAACTCTTAACTTTTGGGTGAACAGACCCTTTTCCTTAAACGAGTGGATAAAATCCCTCACCTTGAAAAACAGAAACACATTTTCAGATGACAAAGCACTGACAAGAACACATACAAATGAAATGTGCAAAGACATCAAAACTGAGTGCTGGATAAATCCTGCTGTTGTGTACCTGCGGCTGTTTTTATTCTTTTAAAATCAGATGATTTAAGCCATTTAATAATTCATCTAAAATCTTATGTGTCACTTTTCTCATCAAACACAGCCAACACAGTTGGAGAGGAGTGACCAGCTTGTACCTCTGTCTCTTGGCACATGAGATTATTTATGGTGAACTGCAGAGCAGATGCCCGCAGCTAACTGAGATCCAATGTTTGCTTGTGGGCACTTCCAGAAGGCTCTGATTGCAGTGATAACCCTGACCTTTAGGGATGGTTTGTTTACGTTTTAAGGTTCTAGGGATAGACTCCCCACCACCAGTAACAGCAGAACAGTCAGGTGTGGGGCACTCAGTGGATTTGGTCCACTGTCTGTGCTTGCTTTCAGTAACAGGGTTGGACTTCCAGGTAGACTGCTTTCTCTGAACTCAGTCACAGAGGCAACTTTTGATGTAAAGGCTGCGTTGGAAGGAGCTGCAGTCCCTCTGATTTCCCTCACTGTGCCCATGAGAGATGCTCCATCTTTGGGAGACTGCAGATCAGAAACGTCTCTGTCTGCAGTCTTGTACCATTGGCACTGGAAGTCCTTCTTCCAGATCTCAGCCGGATCTGGTTCAGCCGGTTTAGTGTCTGTGTCTGGCTGGTCTGTGGCTTTTGCTGCGTCTGCCTGATAGAAAATTAGGGACAACGTTATGATTAGTAAGTTGTGCTTGTTGAGAAACTTCCATTTTTGTAACATACTGGTGCCAAAGATGGAAATTGAATGACATGACTCATATGGAAATATTGCTGCATTTACAGAGATGTTCATCCTTACATGCTTTACCACCACTGAATCATAGATTATCATAGATTTCCAAAAAATGAAAAGTTCACAGTGAAAACAATGTTTGCATCTGTAGGATCAGACTACACTCTCAGCTGCTGCTCAACTATTTTCTTTTCTGCTAACTTTCTGATCTAACAAAGATCCTCCAGCAACTGAGCCCCCTGCTGTGTTATTCCCTCTTTTTCAACAAACTCTTGGTTGTCTTTATCAGTCATAACTCAAAATAAGAAGCTTGGTTTCCAGCTTTTCACACAGAATGACACAAGCTGAAAACGTGTATGTATTTTTGTGTGCACACAGACTTCTGCAAATCTTCAGAGAGAGAAAAAGTGAAGTCAAATATGCAATCAGAGCTATTGTTGCGCTTTCTCTATCGGCATCTCTCATGTTTCAACAGTTGCAGATGTGTTGATCCTTCAAAAAACCTCACAGAGATGGTTGCAGCACAGCTATAATGAGGTAACTTCAATTCTACAACACACTGTAATATACAGGTGCAACTCTAAAAATAGATGACAAGGGGAAAGGATTTTTTTTTTTCCTAACTTAGTTAAAAAGGTAAACCTAAAGTCTATGTTCAGTACAAGTAAAATATATCAGGCCTTTGTTATCATAACTTCAATGAGTAGTTTATAGCTCTTGAGGATCAGAGATGCAGTTTCTCAAATATTCAAATATATTCAATTTTAAAAAGTATCAGAAAAAGTTTCTGACAAATGTGTTCATCGTTTTATACTTCATATTTGACCGGGATTCCTTTGCTATCAATTAGTGCATCAATGTGAAGGGCTCTAAAACCTCCTGTTATATGGTTGTGTTGACTGAATAGGTGAAATGACAAGGAAAATCATCAGAGACTGAAGAAAGTTCACTCTGGATCCTCTGTTTCCCCCACAAGCCCTTCAGACTCTTGATTTTTAAATAACCTGCAACCATATCTTAATTTAATGCATGCAGATGTCTAGAACATTTTTATAATTTTGATCGGACAAATTTATAACCAAAGATGTTATTCAACACTCCACATTACAGACTAAAAATAGAATTAGAGTCTGTACTCCTGTAGTCCAATTCAAGATTTTAACATTTATTGTTCTGCAGTTGCATTAAAAGGCAGTGGCTCAGGCCATTTGTTGACAAATTAAAAGAACTCTGCCGTCAGACCTGTTTGTTTTTTCTTTTAGAGTCTCAGGGGCAACTAAAGTACACCAATGAATCTTGGCTTTTTACAATGACAGAAACTAAGAATAAGGAGCTTTTGCCAGACCAAGAGCAAGACATGTCCAATTTATCAGAAAAGGGTCTAACACTCCCTTGTCAACACATCTGCGTGGCCACAGGCAGCATCTATTTTGGCAGCTAAGTAAAAGTCAACAACACTATGTCAGGCCTAAAACTGCAGACAATGAGCAATCTGCAGGAGAGAAGCCAACAATCTAACACATCAATCTAACAAAAAACCTGACTGTCAATACTCTTGAGATCTAACCGTGGACCACAAAAAAAGAAAAGACAAGCTGGAACCAGTCACCATCCACAGGTCTGCTGCAGAGAGCCTCCAGCTTTATCATCACTGAGGCCCTCTCTGGGACAGGTGACCAGCCATGTGGCGGGCAAAGCCTCTTTCACCTCAGGTGGCTTACAGAGTTTGGCATGAGGCCTAAGATCCTGCAGGCTTTCCACAGCTGAGGGCACCCTGACTAGATACAGCCCCACCTGGTAAGGGGACTTCACTGCCCTGAACCCAAATGCTCCACACAGGTTTTTTGAGTGTAAGATGGCGTGAGTTTAATTCGTTATGGAGGGTGTGTTGCAGAGACTTTGAGTGTTACAGAAGATCCCAGGCCATGTTGACCAAGGGCTGTTCCAGGAGCTACAATCTGGAAAATAATACTCCAGTCAAGGCCCACAACACCGGGACAGTTTTGTCTTCTCTAGGAACCAGAGCCTAGACCTGCTGTCTGTCTTACTGGCAAATTTAAAAGCACAAAAAGACATAGCTGAGGTTGCATTGCAAAAACGATGCAAACAGTTATATACAGAAATACTGTATTTACATATAAGCACATAGCTTGCACTCCATTTAGATTCTTCATACAATTAAACACAGTAGAACTGAAAACAGACACAATTTAGTGCTTCATATAAAAAAAGTCTCAAGTCTAAGTTTAAAGATGTAACACTTGTGCATTGTGATTTAACTATAAAGTAATCTCATTGTAAAAGATGTTAAATATTGAACTCAATTTACTTTCTCACCTTCTCTGTGGTCTTCTCCACCACTTCTGGTGGGGGTGGTAGGTGGAGGTATGCCGAGCTTCCTGGATCTTGACGGACACATCGACCCTTGCCTTGGCACAGAGAGGCTGAGCAGAGTGCAGTTGCAGTGGTCACATTCATGGAGTATGGTCCCAGGACCTTACGGACAAACTCTGCCAGATCCTGACACTCTCTCTGCAAAACAGATGAAAAAAAAGATGTAAATAGAAAGAAGAGTTAGTGTACATGTTTATGAAATAGCAGTCACTGTGTTCAATTTTGAAAACACAACTTTTTGGGATTAAATCAGTAGGATTGATAAATAATGTCACATCTATAATCATCAATTGCTGAAAAAGGTTGCAGACGCACTTTTTGTTGTACGTACTTCCTGTATATTTATAGTTATGTACCTCTGTCTTAGTCTCACGTCTCTCCCAGATGACAACTCCTGCTGTTCCCATGGCAGCACTCTCTCCTATGGTGCTCACCAGGTCTGCCTGTAGAGAGGCATTTAAAAGAAGCTTGAACTAAGTCAGAACACAGCATGATCCCTTGCTTTTGTACTCCTCACAACTGATACAGTGAGTACATCAGGATATTTCACCTTCGATCCTACTAAAATAACTCATATAATCCCTCTGAATTTCCTCTTCTCTGTTTTCCTCTGAAACCAAAATGGGAGGCTTTTGAACCAGAGGATAGTGTGTGCAAAGTTACATTTTTCCAGTCCTGCCTTCCCTCCCTGCTTGGCAATAATCTGTGACACCATGATCATAAAAAAGATGTTGATGTCTCACCTGTGAGAGGAAGGTGTTGGTTGAGGCATACACACTTTTGACCAGTGGAAAAACAGGAATATCAAACTCTGCCCGACTCAGTGATGACACTCGAAGTGCTTCTCTAATTTCACTAGACAAATACAACCTGCTCCCAGGTGTCCCACCCTATTAAGAAGGAGAAAAGTACAAATGATGATGTAACCAGAAACAGCAGTGCCATTTACTATTTGATCTGGAGTGAACGTAAGGTTCAAAGTAAAGAACAAAAAGTATGGTCTCTATCCACCTGCATCTTCTCCAGGGTGAGGAGAGGGAAGAGGGCGGAGCATCGTTTCCATAGCCACAGAAGCTCATCATTAAGGGCCTTCTCTGCAGCAGGGCACTGGCCGGTGTAATTGGCCAACATGGTTTGGGCAGGATCGCCATTGTAGCAGCTTGGGTAAGGGGAGACACCCCATAATGCTTTGGGCCTTAATCTCCTGAGCTCCCGTAGAGTTTCCATCATTACAGACTGTGCCGCTGCTTCGAAGTCCACCTGTGACAAGATCAATATATCACCTTTCAGTCCCTTCAAGACATTTTGATTTTTCAGGAGCAGTTGTTAGAGAACAGTTCAAATGAAAAGCCAGGCTGCAGTTATATTACATTTACTACATCTGATTGTAACCTGTAGTCAAGGGGACCTTAACCTTAAATCAGTGTCTTTAAAGCCTGTTGATGCACTCTCTTGTTTCTTCTTCTTTCTGGTCACATAATGTTGAAGACAGCTGAATGCAGTGATTAGGGGATACATTACTTGAAGCTCTTCCCTCTTGTTTTCAGTGTCTGTACTAGCCTGAGCAAACAAGATGTAGGTGGTAGCTTCTTATGTAGATAAATATTTATGTCAGGGGTTGATATATAAAATCTTCAAATAAGGTTATTGTGAAAATGTTGAACTAATGTCTCTTGCAGTTTTGCAGTGAACTTCTTCTCATCTTTACCTCTGAGAGGCCTGATCTTTCTGGAGTGCCTGCTTTTCCTGTCATGCCACTCACTTGTTGCGAATGAAGAAGTTTCGAGCTGTTCACATTGGTCTTACTTTTACTGTTGTGCACCTCCTCTGGTGTTTTTTTTTAATCCCTGTTTATCCCAGCTGTTTTAAAATGTTTTGCTAGTATCAAATCTAAGATGCTCCCATTATTACATCACTATTTCATATCATTACAGTCATGTTGCTGTATGATGGTCACTTGTATTTTCTCTAAACCCGTGCGTTTTTTCCACAAGATTCCTGCCCACTCTCACCCCTGCCAACAACTTGAATTCTCTTTATCTCTACCCGTTCCTCATACCCCCTCTCACCAATTTCTTTATCACCCCTTTCCCTGAACTATCCTTACCTTTGACCACTTCTCCACCACTTCTGGGCTCCAGTTAGGAAAGAAAGCCTTCAGCAGTTTTCTTGATGCCTCCAGATACATGGCCTGCTTCTCTCTATTCCGTGACCACTGGGGGATCCACTCAGCCCAGCGCAGCACCCCTAACCCCAGGTACCTTGGAGCAGGTAAAGCTGTGTCCAAGTCCTGCTGTGTCTTCTGGATGTGGTTGTCCAGCTTTGTGTTCTGCGGTAGCCCCCCATTGACCGCTGTGTCTTTGTCTGCAAAATAAGGATAATTTCCAAGTGTGTCCTCATAGAAGACGGACACACGGCCCTCTCGCTCTATCCCAAAAGTTCTGAGATCTGGCCGACTGGAGCAGGAGGAGTCAGGGATGCCCCAGAAGATGATAAAAGGCTGTCCAGACAGGAGAGGGGGGCGAGCTAACTGAGGTGGACCAGCAGTAACCATTTCAGCAAAGGCAGTAAGCAAGAGAAGAAGGGGCAGTGAAAATGGCTGCTGGGTTTGGAGAGTATGTGGTGAAAAAGTTGTGTGAGTCCTGAGATCATAGGGTATCCATTTTGGTCTTGGTTCTGGGTCTGGAGGCGACAATGACTTGGTCCACGCCATTGAAGCAGCCACCTCTCAGGCTCTCACCACTTCAGGCCCTCACAGCCAATCATGTTCCTGGAAAATACACAGCAGATTTGGACTTCTGGGTTAAAAACCTGAACCACAGTTTAGTGTGAAAGAGTAGTGAGTTGTTTTATTCATTCAGTGTCTTGTATAAGCCATCTAGCCAGCTCCACTAAAGTCTTACAGACAGGAATCTCTCCTCTGTTACAGAGCACTACTCTATTTTGTTAGTTTGGTCTCTCATTCTAAATGTTTTAAATATTCTTCAAGCTTTCTCATCTTCCTCACAACCCTGCACATCCTCTGTTTGTAAGCTGGCAGAGTACAATCAGTGTTGGATATGGATTTCTCTTGGGTATCCTCAGTCACACATGTCATGAATAAAGGTGGTGAATATTTTATATGCTCGGTGAAATGGGATACTGCAGTGGTTAGAGATTATGCACAAAGCTAAAGGAAGGATTGAAGAGGGTGAGATGCTGAGATTACATCCTAGCATCACTTGTTAACACTAGTAATCCTTGAAGGGGGTGGCATTATTCTTTTCTACATTTACCAAAAAAGTGAGGTATAAGAGAGTCTGAAAAAAATACATGATACCCCTTCTTTAATCATCCTTGCATCCATAATTTGCATATATTACCAAACATAGATTAATACATTTATTGACAAAAATGAGAGCCATTCACTGCCTTGTTTCTGTATGATGCTGTGACTACTTGACAGATTTCCACGAGTCACTAAACCACCAAGGGCAAAGAAACTGAACCAGGAGAAATTATTATCTAGAAATTATTATACAGCACCAAATAAATGGGTCCTAAACAACAACAACAAAGAAACCTTCATAATGATGAAAAACTCAAACTGTTAAAAGTGTAGTTACGAGACAAAAAAGATAAATATATATTTATGAATACAAGAAAACCATGAATGAAAAATGACAATCATGTATGCAAAATTTGAAATAATTGTGCCCTAAGAAGTGTCAAAACAATGAAAATACTATCCTAAAACTAATTACAAAAAAGGGATCTCCCCTCTAAAAGCTTAAGTAATATAAGGGATGAGATTGTACAAAGTCTAGTATCAGTTAAGTCGGTACACTGCGTACTACCATAACAGCCTTTTTAAGATCATATTGTTTGTTATATTCTCCACGGCAGAGATTTTTGTTGAGTGAATCATTTCAGAAGTGAAATAACGCAGGGTGACTATTTTCTGTCAGGAAGCATGACTTCCACATGAACATGGCAAAATCAACTAGGACGTGAAAGGTGTTGTTCACAGGGATCGTCCAACAACAAACTGAGAGATTCTCATAGAGGCTTTGAAGAAAATGAGTGATTATAAAATGAAAAGATTTTCTATCCTCAAACAGAATATACAATTTCAGGCCTCCCCGGGGGAGCTCAACAATGAATACACTTGCATTATTATTAATGTGAGGTTTGTTGATTTGACTGAAATCATTCAGTAGTTTCTTTGACCTCGAAATTCATTCACGCACTGTAACATCTTCATAGAGGAAAAAGCTATTTTCTCACTGCATTGTTGCTAAGTTATTTCATCACCTCCCTGTTAGCCTTGATCTTTCTTAGAGCAGATCTACAGCCTACACAATACTCACAATATAATAGCTCTTTGTGATGGGGCACAGTTCTCTTTTATTGAATGAGTGACACATTTAGCATGAAGGAAGTTGTCAGTGTGAGACACTCTAATGTAATGTAAGGCTCTTAAGTCTAACTGATGTCACATTCACCCATTCACACCACATTCATACTTTGATGGCAGCTGATGCTATTGTGGGGAATCATCAGTATTATCTTATTCCATTCATATACATTCACACATTATTGACTATGTCACTGGGGCATTTGGGTTTCATGATTGCAGGAGGTGGGATTAAATTGCCAACCTGATCCAGACACAACCCATGTTCCTCTGAGCCACAGTGTGCCCCTCAATGTACATTTTGTTTGTGTTTTTACAAACCTGCTGGGCATAATGTAGTATCACCGTCACATGAATCACAGGTTTAGAGAACTTTTACCATCCTAAGCCCTATTATAACTTCCATGAAGTGCCTTGAGATTAACTAAGAACTCTGAGAACTGCATAGATACAACATCAAAAACTTGAAATGACCATACATCTTCAGGAGGATGCAGATTTTATTCAAAGTCTCAAGTCTTGTTGTCAAATTGGATTGTCAACATTGAAAAGGTAAAGATGCATGAAGATCAGCATCATCTCCAGCCTCCTTATCAGTCCAAAGAAATTAAAGTTTTTTTTTGGTCATATTTTGACAGTTGGATTTTGTTGCATTGTGTATTTTGTTATTTTTTTGTCCATGTGCTTTTAACAAAAATGAAACAGAATTAATTCATCTCTAAATTCTCCTCGTATAACAGACAGGCACTCCAGGAAGTCCTCCAACAGGAAGGTAGTTGCTAATAATAGGTGTGATTAAGGAATTATTTGGCCAGCTGAGATACTGTTTATATACCTAATACAGGTTTGTTCCACTGCTTCACTGACAGACACTGCTGGTGTTAATTGTTCGCTGGTGTTCAAGGGCAGCACAAGATATGAAACAATGAGACTTTCATGGCATTATTTTTGCCATGAGAGGCAAAATAATGCCAATGCTACTTTTAAGTAGGTCTTAGTGTAAAAAACTGAATAATGTTAGAAGTGTGAGACATGGTTGATAAAAATGGTCAATGGACTCTGGACTCGGGAGAAAAGTATGTGTAGTAAAACTCTCGAAAAGATAAGCTATCAATAGTAATAATCCTGGCATCATTTCCTGTCTTTGGTATGAACCTTTCACACTGGACATGAACCAGAACATGGTTTAGTTTGGTCCAGACCAAGGTCCTGAGGAGGTTTCACACCTATCATTTTGGTTTGGACTTAACAGAAAAGTTAAAACTATTGAGTCTACAACAGAAGAGGGACAGCATTTTACTCTGAGATAGTCTTGCATTTCTTGGCCAGAACACTCTGGATAGAGATTTTTTTTAATTTCAAAGAGGCTTTTCTGGTTGAAAAAATAAATGCTGATATTTGAGCGTATTCTGTTCAACACTGCTCCTAAATCCCCCTAATTTTACTGCTACAGCCTGTAATTTACATCACGTCAAACAATCCAAAGTGCTGTGTTTGGAGGCAGCATGTTTTGTGTCTGCTTCTTAATTGTATTTTTCTCTGGTGTTAATAAAGAGCTGTAGCATTTATGTTTCCCACTTTCTTTTTCTTTGCTTGTCATATTTTCTGAAAAATGTCCAGAAATTGCTTGTTAGAAAGCAATGAGGGGGAACAGTGTACCCGGCCCGGAGGGACCCCGGGGCCCCACCCTGGAGCCAGGCCCGAGGTTGGGGCTCGCTGGTGAGCGCCTGGTCGCCGGGCCTCCTGTGGACCCACCACCCGCAGGAGGAACTTGAAGGGTCCGGTGCTTGACGAATTGGGCGGCGGACCAAGGCGGGGGCCTTGGCGGTCTGATCCTCGGTCGTGGAAACTGGCTCTTGGAACATGGAACGTCACCTCTCTGGCGGGGAAGGAGCTGGAGCTTGTGAGGGAGGTTGAGCGCTACCGACTAGGTATAGTTGGGCTCACCTCTACACATAGTGTTGGTTCTGGAACCCAAGTCCTTGAGAGGGGTTGGACACTCTTCGACACTGGAGGTGCTCAGGGTGAGAGGCAGTGGGATTCTTGCTCACCCCAAAGCTCCCCGCGGGGATGCTGGGGTTTTCTCGGCTGGACGAAAGGGTTGCTTCCCTGCGCCTTTGGTCGGGAACGGGTCCTGACTGTTGTCTGTGTGTATGCACCGAAAAACAGTTCAGAATACCCACCCTTTTTGGAGGCCCTAGAAAGGCACTTGACAGCGCCCCGACTGGGGACTCCATTGTTCTGCTGGGAGACTTTAACGCTCACGTGGGTAATGACAGCAAGACCTGGATGGGTGTGATTGGGAGGAACAGTCTGCCTGATCTGAACTCGAGTGGTATTCAGTTGTTGGACTTCTTCGCAAGTCGCAGTTTGTCCATAACTAACACCATGTTCGAACATAAGGTTGTTCATTGGTGCTTCTGGCACCATGACGGCCTAGGCCGTAGGTCAATGATTGACTTTGTAGTCGTATCAGCTGACCTGCAGCTGCATGTTTTGGACACTCAGGTGAAGAGGGGTGCAGAGCTGTCAACTGATCACTACCTGGTGGTGAGTTGGGTCAGGTGGCGGGGGAAGCCACCACGCAGACCTGGCAGGCTCAAACGTATAGTGAGGGTCTGTTGGGAACGCCTGGTGGAAGAACCCGTCAGGTTGGCTTTCAACTCCCACCTCCGACAGAGCTTTAACTGCGTCTCAGGGGCGGAGGGGGACATTGAGTCCAAATGGGCTTTGTTCCGCTCTGCCACTGTCGAAGCAGCAGTTGCGAGCTGCGGCCGCAAGGTCGCTGATGCCGGTTGTGCCGGTAATCCCCAAACTCGGTGGTGAACAGCAAAGGTGAGAAGAGCCGTCAGGCTGAAGAAGGAGGCCTACAAGTCATGGTTGGCCTGTGGGTCTCCAGAATCAGCTGAGTGGTACCGGTTGGCTAAGCGGTCCGCAGCCGGGGCAGTTGCAGAGGCAAAAACTCGGGTGTGGGAGGAGTTTGGTGAGGCCATGGAGGAAGACTTTCAGTCGGCTCAAAAAAGGTTCTGGCAAACTGTCCGGCACCTCAGGGGTGGCAGACGGCAACTTGCCCACACCGTTCTGGATGGGGGTGGGGAGTTGCTGAAGTCACCTGGGGCAGTTCTCCAGTGGTGGAAGGAATACTTTGAGGAGCTCCTCAATCCTACTGTCATGCATTCCCAAGGGGAAAAAAAGTGACGGGGGACCTGGAGGTGGACCGTCCACTCACTGGGGTAGAAGTCGCTGAGGAAGTAAAGCAACTCCGTGGCGGCGGAGCTCCAGGAGCAGATGAGATCCACCCAGGGTATCTGAAGGCT